GGGCAAACAAAGATTTTTTAGAGTCCTAATATAAATCACTTTTGGGCATCAGCTTGCCTCAGCTCGAAACGTCGCGGTATACTACCTCTGGAGGCTAATGTTATCTTAGGTTTTACGTGCACTTGTTTTGAGACCTTACTTCATGACTCTGCTCTTTATCAGTCATGTGCTCCAACATTTCATTAGGCTGCCGTATATCATCGCGAGACTACTATAAATACTACACAACTTTACACATTGGACGTCTAGTGCTGGTGTTGCGAACGTCGCACTTCACCAGAAAGCTGAAGTATTTAACATGTTTTGCACGTGACGTAATCGCACTAGATACTGGTTGTCATTGCGAGTTGTTCTTGCTGAGAAAATCAAATCCGGTTTGGCAAAATGCAAGCTGCAAAAGTTTCGCGCTCAGTGCAAGCTATGTATTTGAGAGGCACACATTTTTCTTGTTGGTACATCGTCGTTAGGCACGGCGCGAGTATCTGGCACGACGAAAACGTGCTTTCTGGCAAGAGTGTTTTTACAAATAAAAGTTGTACCAACTACCCATCTGTCACTATCGTTTCCAGGCCACGCTTTCTAGTCTGCGCCGAAAATGTGGGGCAGAGGAATCTTTACGACACAGTATGCTTTAAAACTACCCCCCTCCCCACTCCCTTTTTTTTTTAGTTGCTCCTCAAGATACTTTTTATTCCTCAGGGATTGCCTGCTCCGTATTGAGTGGTGTTCACTCGACAATTATATTTGTGTCACTTGTTAACAGTAATTCTTCCTTGCTTTAACTTTGCACCAAACTGTGAAGGTTAAACAAAATACAGGGCGGTCGAAACTTGGAGAACTTGAGAGCGACACTCCTGTGAGACTTAGAGCGGCTGCCAACGTTCGGCTATCCCCGTAAGGCCACTAGGATCTTCTTTTCAGGTATCCCTCCCGTACACACTAATAGTTCCATGTAACGTCCGACTAATACGTCACATTTAGACCCTTTAACACTTCTATTCTCGGGACAACTTTCTGAGGCAGTTCAGCAATAACGAAAACATGTTTGGGAGCCTCAATGATGTGCCTACATGTAAAATGGGTCGTGCAGCATTTTTTTTTTTTTACCTTAAGTTCAATAAATACCGCTAAGTTGTAATCCTTGACGTTGATAACTTGCAAATGCATCCATTAGTTTGCCCCTCCGCGAAATGGCAGACAGTCGAAAGAAAGAAATGAAACAGCTTTCCCCTCCTCAACTCACAATTAGAACTATCAGCCACGTGATCTGATCCTAATATATACACCGTCAGTGTTTATCATAGTCATACGCAGGGTTGGCAAAGCATAGAGCATGGGCTGATCTTCAGATATAGCTTTAGTTGGGCTATAATGCCCGAGCCCCACTAAAGCGACAAACAGAAACAAACGACAGCGGCTAGCCTTAAACCAGAGTATTTCGCGATTTGACAGGCTTTGTAGAATAAAGAAGGCTATGTTCAAACACTACTATCTTGCACACGATGGTACCATTTGCAGGCTTGTAAACACTCGTGCTAACTTCGCGAGCACCGAACAACTCAAAGCCGTATAAAGGTACCATCGCGAACATGCTGCATGTGTCTGAGGCTTGTCGCTTTCGTTTGTTTCTGTTTCTAGCTCTAGTGGGACTCGGGCCCATCATAATCTTTGAGTTGAACACGAGCGTTACCCGAATGCTTGGCGATACTGGTTGTCATGAGCCAGAGCATTTGACTCGAAATCATGACAATCGGGTACATCATGGTGTCACGTGACTCTCAGTGTGAAGTTGTGATGTCATGTGACGTCACGGTATCAACAACGCTAATAGATCTAGCGACGTCCTCAATTCGAATCGACTTAACGCGGTGAGTCACGTGACGTCACGGGGTCACGTGATGTGACATTACTTCACAGCATAACTTGACATCATGACGTCACGTGACATTGTGACACATGGCTAATCAGAGTGCCAATAAGAAAGCGCCGCAAAAAACCAGGATTTATTATACATTGCAATTCTGTATATGACGATTTGATCAATACGTAGAGGAATACACGTGCCAATAATAATAAATTTGTAATACTAACAAAAAAAAATACCGTGAACCGTTTTGAACCGGTTACCGTTATATTTTTTTCCGGTTCAGTTCCGGTTCAGTTCCAAGATGGCGGCGAAGATTTCGGTTCGGTTCAGTTCCGGTTCGGCTAAAAATAACGGTTCTGTTCCGGTTTTCGGTTCGGTTCGGTTCCGGTTCGACACCCTGGTCATGGCCACCGTGGGACCGCAGCCTTAACCAAAGACGGGTACCTCACAACTGTCTCCCTCCCTCTCCCTTTCCAAGTTTGCTTTCCAAGGCGCCAGCGAGTCTGGTCACGTGATGCTGACCTAAAAAGGTTGGGTTCACTCTCCCTCTTATTATGCCTCCTCTCTCACTCGTGTCGTCCCGTCTCTCTCCTCTCCCCTTCCAAGTTATCTTTTTGGGAGGGGAAAAAAACAATATTCGTCCAATCGTCGATACCGGGTTTGTGTCGGTGCAATATAACAGATATTGTGTGGACATCGGCCGTGACAAAATGGCACCGGCTTTCTTTCAATATTATTTTCGAATAGGACAAAAATGCCTAATACTGCGCAGTTATTGCCGATTCAAAAACGATATTCAGGAAAAAACACGGTTCGTGTACCATACATACCATGGCTGCGTCGCCGGAATATAACTGATATTCTGTCGACATCGGCAGTACCAAAATGGTACCGGCACCATTTTCCCGATACAACGGAAAAATCAGCAATACTCGCACGACTTTCCCGACCCGAGGCGAATATCGCTCAAATATTGTGTGCTGCCTGGGGTTGTTTAGCAGGCAGCCAACCCTGCTGCCTTCCACGTTCATTCGTGCGCACTAGCTCCTTTGAAGTGCGAAATGTGGGTTTGCTTCGGCATTAAAACACCAAAGCGAGATTCACTCCCCTCTTCTCCCCTTGCGCTTTGCTCCGAGGCTCGTTTTTTGTACTGCATTTGTAGTGTAAGTCCGCCTTTTATTTGGTCTTTTTTCCGATCAAGGAGGTTGTTCCGATGCTCGTTTTCTGTGTTATATTTTTAGTGGAGTGGGGTTACAAGCAAGCGAGCGGATTCCCGCTCATTTCCTTTGACTTTAGTCTCTGCATAGTTCGTTTCACCTTGCGATGGACCGCTGCGGACGCTACGAGTCACCCTGGGCAATCCAGCACCGTGAGCGGGACTGGGTCACGCGACACTCAGAAGCCACTGGATTGGTTTCGATGGCTCTCGTGCTGTCTGTTGAGGTCCATCGTAAGGTGAAGTAGACTATGAACTGACAAGAACGAAGGGCGAGGGTAAGACGGGCCGGGGAGGAGGAAGCAGACGGAACGCTGGAGAAGAAAGGGGGAAACCTCCTTCTCTCTTTAGCGTTCCGTCTGCTTCCTCCTCCCCGGCCAACACCACCTAGAGCAAAGGCTTCGGTCCAGTGTCCAGTCAGAACCATGCTAGTCAGCCCTGCCCTGTGTTCTGGACTGTTTTTAAAAGTCCAGCCGGCCAAGCTGACTTCCCGCGACCGCTTTTCCCATCTTGTGAGGTGGCGCTTCGCCGCCTCTCCCACTTCCGCTTCCTAGCTGCCGTTGAGGCGGCTGCACTGGCTGGTCGTGTCTAGGAGTGTCGCGAACTTTTGTCGAACCACATTTTTAGGTCGAACTTTCGGGGTTCGACTGGGTCGAACCGGTTCGACCATTCGACGAACCTTCGAACTTTTCACCAGATTCGGCCGGTTCGACTTTGTGGACAGTGTGGCCAGACCTTGATACAAGCATGTCTAGGTTCGGAGATATTTTTTTTTATGCAAAGGGTTATTTTTAATTTTGTGAACAGCTGCAATTAAAAGAAACTATTTCTAATCACTGAAGAAGTTAATAACTTAATCGTTTGTACTCTATTAACTGATATAACCAATGAGCGCTGCTCTTAATTCATCCCTTAGCCATCACCATCTAATCCGAAGCCAACTGGCCAGCCTGTCGCGCATGCGCACAGGAGTCGAACCTCAATACAAGGTTCGTCGAACTTTCCACTAAAAGTTCGAAAAAGTCGAACCAGGTCGAACTCGAACCTCGGCCGGTTCGCGACACCCCTAGTCGTGTCCGACCTTTCCGACCAAGTTCTCGGTGTTTTTAATAAGTCCCAAAACTTCATCAAGGTCTCTTCCCAACGTGTCGCTGGGTTGCAGGTGCGAGCATCGTAGAAGACGTGCTCTAAATCTTCGTCCTCGAGGCGCCTGCCTCCTCTTGCTTGCTCTGACTCCCCGGTACCTGCCCGTACCTCTCAAGTTTTGAGCAGCGCTCCAGGCGGGCAAAATAGAATATTTGGCTCGCGTTTCGCACATGCGTCATTACGCTTCCCCACTAGAGTTTTTTCCACTCCGTCCCATTCTATACTTCGTTTCACCTTATGTGCGAGCGAAGGCAAAGCTGGAAGCACGAGCACGAAAGCTCCGTGCGTTCAGGCTTTGCTCGAGCGCGCGAGCTGGAGAGAAACGCAAAAAGCGCTGGTCTCGCGCTTTTAGCTTTGGCTTCGCTCGCAGATAAGGTGAAACGAAGTATAAGTGCCAGCGTAGCAGCGGCTACAAGCGCGAGCTACGAGCTTTCAGTAGTACATTGTACTTTCAGCGTCCCTGTCAAGCACGCGCGCTCGTGCAGTGCGAGCATCTTTCAGGAGGACGTGCTTTTGCGAATAGCTTCGACTTCGCTATCACGTAAAGTGAAACATACGTGCTCGCTGAAGCTATGAAAGAAAGCAAAGACGAAAGGAATGTTTAATGGAACACTGCGGCCGCGAGCACATAATTCTTTTTAAATTTTTTTTTTTTTAGAGGTTTTGTTATTGCGCATCTTCAGATTCTTGCATTCGAACGTGGCACGTGCAAAATCGAACGTTACAGAGCCACCTGGATGGTTCAGCCATCATAACGTGGTCGCGTCTTGCGGATCCGCTCGCGCCAGCTCGCGCTCCCTGCCCCAGAGCAACGGGTCAGAATTAGTTCAAGGCTAGGTGGCGCAAGCTACCGCCCGGTATAGAGGGACCAATTAATATCTATCTAGGGGGCGGGGTAGTACAAAGTTGCTCTGGTCGCTTCTTATCCAATCCAATCCGGACGGACATCCAGTGCAATCCAATCTGAGAGGCTCGTTGAGGTCGCCGCCTGCTCATCCGTCGCACACGTTGATTGCATTAGACCGGCTGACGCACATCAAGGTACCTGGTTCACGTCACAACACCGATAAGAGGGTCGCTTCAGGCGTCCGCAAGTCCCCGCGCTGCGTCGTCGGACACCATCGCACCGCGCCGAGGACTGACTCGACGCTCTTGACAAGCGGCCGCACAACGCTCGGTGCTACGGTGGCCACGGTGGCTACTGCTTTGATTGCGTACGAAGTGGTCGTGAAACTCGCGATGCTGACAGACAGAGTTGACTTACGACGGGTATAAAGGTGTCGGCAGATCAAGACTCGACCGACAAGGGCGGGCTCGATGATGGCTGGGCGAGACTCGCTCCTCAAGAGCGATGACGAGGAAGAGTTGGTTTTCGATCAAACCGGACTCTTGACGAACAAGCTCTCATCTCGGCACAGCGTGTTTTCCAGGACGCTCGTCGTGAACAGCGGCGGGCGCCTGACGATCGCGCGGACTGTCAACCTATGTCTCTCCTTCTTTGGCCTGGTAAGTTGTCTCTATTCCGCTATAGTTCAGTCACTGCCGCGATTCGAACGGTACGTTTTAACATCGAGACTTAGACTTCGACCACGTCTCTGAGAGGCGAGATCTATGCATAGACGAGTTGAGAAATCAAATCTCATTAATCAAAACTCTGGGACGTGGGGACACCGGGAAGAGGAGGGGGAGGGAGGGTTGGACGTTAATTTTTATTGTAACCCTGCAGCTTCGCGTTTTTTTGTCCTCTCAGTCCCAACATTCCAGGATTAAAATGTTCGTATGAAACCACCTCGCCTGCGTCATGGCTTCAACTTCATTATATAGATAATACCTACGTTAGTTCTTACCTGTACTGAAAGAGATCCATTCTGCCTTATCAGAGAAAGGTAAATTATAGCCTATTGTTTTGTCAGCTTCTTGGTTTGATATTTTGTATCCTGTATTGTGAGGATAGTATTTATCCCTCCCCATCTCGGACATTTACGAGGGGAATTTGCACCGAGAACTGAATTGTAAAATTTGTTTGTTCAAATGCTGTTAGGATTCAAAGATCACGTCTATGTTGCACGACGTCACAACTTTGCAGAACGTCGCACGCTGCTATGTTCTTGTCGGCAGATGTTACTAGAAATAGTGTCACTGCGACCTTCTACAAAGTCTGAGAAAGGTCGGGAATCAAGACCGGCCCAAATTTAGAACGCAATTTATGAAAGTATGTCACAAAACTATTTTTATCTTTTTAGGGATTGTGCTTCGCGATACCTACGGCGACCATCCAAGACCTTCAGCAGAGAACGAATTCGGAAGCAAGCATCGAGCACATATACACGGCACGCTACGGAGGTTACATCTTTGGCTGCCTAATAGGCAAGTTCCCCCATTCGGTGCGGCTGCCAATCGGACACACGAAACCGTCAAATGGGGCGTGGTATGGGGACATCTATCGATCGACCGACGGCAAAAATAAAAGTGCCTCGATACGGTTACATTTGCTTCCCACAAAGTCGCGAGGGATCTCTCAAACAAGAGCTCGATTTCTTCTCCGAGTCTCTATTTGAAGGCTTCGATGCCGCTCGCACCCATGCAATTGAAAATACGCTTTTCCTCCGCCCCTTTCCTTTTAATTGCCAGTCCACAAAATCTTGTTCAGCAGGGCTAGCTTTTCTCCTTTCTTTATTCCTGCTCGTCAACGACGATCCACGCATCTGCATTTCGGTGCAATCGGCTCCGTTTCAGGCACTTGCAACGATGAGGACAGACACACTTGCGTCGTCTACCCCTGGAACACTTCAGACGTGTGTATTTTACGTACTGGAACACTTCAGACCCATGTGTATTTTATGTACTGGAACACTTCTGACCTGTGTGTATTTTACGTACTAGAACACTTCAGACCTGTGTGTATTTTACGTACACCGAGACATTAATTCTGACACTATTATAAGGGATTGTCTCTCGTAGGGAGTACATGGATTTGGTCTTGCAAGTACTGCAAAACCTAGTCTAGACTTACGCTGGTTCGAGCTGTTCCAGGACTACCTGACAGGTTCCGTCAGTGTAGCAGTGTGTTCTTTTGCGAGTGATTATTATGGCGGTGGTTGCACTCAAAAGCAAATCTGTGAACCAACCTTAAAAGAAAAGCTCCGGTAGTGTTTTTGTTTTTTGTAGCTGCTTTAGAAACATTTTTGGAATACCCGGGCTTTGCTCTTTCCGGTTCGCTATTTATCGTCTCTAAATTCGAAAGCTGTTGAAAAGAAAAGAGAAAAATGAATGCAACGCCAACACCGACACTAAAAGTTTCCTGCACTCTCCGACGGGGCGACGTCCGTCGTGTGCTGTGTAACCAGCGAGTCTAGCGGGTGGCCTAAAGAATGTGGCATTCTGCGCATATCTTTTGTTTTGTTTTGCTGGCGTGAGCTTAACTAGCTTTCATTTGACACCATCATACTCCTTGTAGCCTCTCGGACCAAACTTGAAAACTTATAGTGACTTGCAATTTGGGTTACTAGGTCAGATGTGTCTATTAGTGTCTAGAACCAATTTCGTGGCCAATCGGCAACCATCAAAAGTTCACCAGAGCCCGCCTTTAATTAATGGGGGAAAAAACACCTCTTTGGACAAACTGGGAGGGTCAAGGTAATGCACAATGGACAGGAAAGGGTCCTCAAGTGTGGCTTCATTGCCTAAGGCTATCTGGAGCAAATTTCCATTTTCCTCCCTCTCTACCTAACAGATGACCTCTAGACGATGCATCTGCCTTTAGAGTCGTGATACTAATGTCTTTGCTACCGTTACTGACAGTGTGAGAACAGGCCATCCCTTTTGAACACTTTTGCAGGATGCAAGTTTTCCAATTTCTCTCGGCACGGGCACACAGCAAAGCTTTATGCTTGGATGCCATTTTAACTACCAGCAATTGAAGCTATTGAAGCTACCTGCTTCAATAGACGAAACATGCAGATGGCTGAACTGTACCGATCGAATGGGATAAATATTACGAGGTCGCCGAGAGACAATACCTTTGGCGGCGCCAAGATCAGAACATCGGGTCTCTCGATTCCCTTACCAGACCGGCATTTAGGAGACCTAGGGTAGTTTGCCAGTGAATGCGGACATCTCTCCCGGCAACTCAAATTACCGCAAGAGGGATTCTCTCATCGCATGACCCGCTTGACGAAAACGAGGTGCCTATAAAAAAAACCAAAAAAACTCAGCATCAAATATTTTTGATACGTCGTCGAGGCTGGTGTAGCTTCCAGGGTGTTGCTGCTCGGCGTTGCTGCGAGAGCACGTGGCTTCGTCTTGCATCTCATTCGCACGTGCGCTCATGCGAAAGAGACACCAGACAAAGCGACGCACTCGTGGAAGTGGCTTTGACAGCGTAAGAGCACTGTGGAAGCTGAGCCAGCCTCGACTGTGCAGCATAGAATAGTTGACGCCGAAACAGGCAAGCAGCTACCGTGAGTTTGTCCTCGCTTCCATTATTAGTCTGCTTTAGCACAAAATAAAAGAGGGTGAACCGGCTTAAAATGCAAGTGAAATGAACCACACTTGTGTACTTTAAGAATGGGTAGTAAGGTTATTTCTGGGGAAGATTGTGTTAATCGAGAAATAAAGAAAATGACGGATAAGGATTACGGCTGCCAAGTGATATTGGCTGGGACGCTAAGCACTTCCTGCATCCGAGCTGGTCACATGGCATAAAAAATTCTTGCATACCCACCAGGAGGAATAGCCGCATTCGCTAGCAAACTGCTCCTGGAGTTTGAATACCGGCATTGCCAAAGATTTATTCCACTCAGTCGGTATGCTTAATTCATCTGCACATTTTGACTATTTCCTCTTTAGAAACCATGTACAATGATGAATATTGACAGTGATATACCTGCGACACTACGCACTGGCACTGTGGAAGATAGTGCAAGTGCATACTGTTCCACAGTGTTTCCGCAGAAGCTTTCTGTGAAATGAAGTATGCTTCCCCCCCCCCCATAGAACAGGCAGGCCATATTAGTAATCACGGTTCTAACTTTCGTAGCATGTAGCTCTGCTCCTTACAAATCGCTAAATGACCTGCTGCAAATGCATTCCATAAATTCTAGTAACGCCCTTCGAGCGGCCCAGCTTTCTGCGAGTATAATCCTTGAGCTGAAAATGCTGCCAGTTTAGTTTACCCTATTCAACCGTTTCAGGTGGCTTCCTGTTCGACTGGTACAACAGACAGTTCCTGCTGTTCCTCAGTATTTTTGCCACCTCCATTGGAATTGTGGTGATGCCCTTCTGCGCTCAACTGTCCACACTGATGGCCTGTTCTGCCATCACCGGCATCACCATGGGCTTTCTGGACACTGGTGAGCGTGTTTGGCAACGTGGAATTTCGTCCTCCTGCAAGGCAGAACATCCGCTGTAGAGCTGCTAAACAACCCAACCTTCGGAGCAACGCGACCTCGTCGATTTTGTTGCATAGGACCAGTGTTGTCGGTAGTCACCAGCTATCACCCAATGTAGAGCCACTACACATGCTACATTTCAGCCATTTTGTTACATAGGGGTCGTTGTTGCCAGCAGTCACCAGCTGCCACTAAACAAGCTACGTTTCAGAGTAACATCTGGCACTCTTTGGTCTCAGCAGCCCTTGCGCCATAAAAACCCAATCCATAGTAACATCAACTTCAGCCATCTTGCTGCATAGGATCAGTGTTGCTTGGGAGAAGAGCGTGTTGGTTTTGGTCATGGATGAAGAAAGAATAAAACAATTAAAACAGGGACAACACAACCACATCTTTCAACTAGCAACAGACGAGTAAACTTTCAAACAGCGAGCAGCCGACTATACCCGGTAGGAGGAGGGAAAGAAGGGGGAGAGAAGGAAAGGACAGAAAAGAAACGCGAAGTGCAAGTCAGGGTGGTAGGGTTATCTCGGATTTTAAAAATTCAACCTCAGTTTTCGTCAGCAGGAGGGAAGGGTTAGACACGTTGTTTTTTGCTGTGGTCATCTCGAATGATTCTATGATTTCCCTGCCGAATCTGCTGTCATGTCCCCCCAGGATTTTTGTGCCATCAAAAAGGGGGATGACAACGCATTGCGTTGTCATCCCCCTTTTTGATGGCACAAAAATCCTGGGGGGACATGACAGCAGATTCGGCAGGGAAATCATAGAATCATTCGAGATGACCACAGCAAAAAACAACGTGTCTAACCCTTCCCTCCTGCTGACGAAAACTGAGGTTGAATTTTTAAAATCCGAGATAACCCTACCGCCCTGACTTGCACTTCGCGTTTCTTTTCTGTCCTTTCCTTCTCTCCCCCTTCTTTCCCTACTCCTACCGGGTATAGTCGGCTGCTCGCTGTTTGAAAGTTTACTCGTCTGTTGCTAGTTGAAAGATGTGGTTGTGTTGTCCCTGTTTTAATTGTTTTATTCTTTCTTCATCCATGAGGATCAGTGTTGTCAGTAGTTTTCAGTTTTTACCCACCGTGGAGTCACTAAGCAGGCTACATGTCAGAGTAACGTCACTTTAGCTATTTTGCTGCATAGGATCTGCATTGCCAGCTGTCGTTGACGTCGTTAATGTAAAGGAAAATGCAAGAAGCACTTTCCATCACCCTGCTTGCTAAAGCAGTCCATGAAAGAGCAAAACAATCTAGCCAGAGTTGGAGTGAATTGATGTTGTATCTAAAACTCAAAGGTGTCGAATTTCAGAACCAGAAATGTTGTCAGTGGTACTTGCGTGACTCTAGGCAGCAAAAAGGCGGCGTCCCACATTTCAGCGGTCACTTATGTCTCGTGGGTTTTATTATGTTTATAAATGAAGATATGAAAAAGGTGGCTTATTGTTTCTAAAAAAAATTTAAAGTTGTGCATCATCATTGTTTGTAAGTGAGAAAAAGAGGGTGAAGGAAGTCTCAAGCAACTATTTGTTGTAGAGAAAAAATATTTCGAGTCCCACATATTTTCTTTTGATTGTCGGGCCCTGCCGTTACTAAAATGCTCCGTTGGGAAACTCGCCTGTGAAATCTGGGCCGCTTGCGTCTACCGAGACCGAACTAAATAATGATTACAGCAACGTCCTTTAGCGGCGAGTCAAAAAATTAAACTTGCTTTATATAGCTACTGTGAAATAGCACTGCGAGATGGCACCACCAACCCTTGCACAGCTCCCGGAGTGGCCGCTGCGGGAGAAATGGCGGCATTGTAATTGCGTTTAGTTCGGTTCTCGAGTACGGATTGGAGCAGCCTTTTCAAAGCAGGCTCTTATGGCAGTTTCCCATCCGAGTTGTTCCAATAACGGACCCTGCTCAAAGGGTCTAGCCAGGTTGTACGTCTTGGGAACATCCTTTCGGCCCCCTTCAAGGTGTAAAGGTTTTTAGTGTGAAGCAAATCTAGGTACATGTAAATGTCTTGTCGGAGGCCCTCGAAACCTTCGGCTACTGATCAATCACGAGTGTCACTCGGGCCGTTTATAACGAACCAGAAAATCCGACCAGGAGTCTGGCTCGTGTTTCAGTTTCGGAGCTTGCTTTGTCAGCTTTCAAGTTGTACCATCTCTCCCATGACTCGGATGCTTTATCTAAAACCGGCAATTTGCACAAATTTGGCCTTTGCTGTCCACGTTATGTTTCCAACAGTACCACACAGTGAAGAACTACTGAATGAACACTTCAGGTGGCAAGAAATTAATAGTGTGAGCAACCAACATCATATGGAGGCCTAGTGTGTTTGGGGTAACATCGAAAAGGTTTGGCTAGAGAACTTCCTTGCAAAGACAACCACATTAGGTGCACGTGTATTCTTTTTTTTTTTTTTAATGATTTAAATTATTGTTTGTTATGAAGGTTACGACTGTTAACATCCACTCACTCATCCAGTGAATGTTTCCTTTAAAGGGACACTGACAGGGTATTTATTTGCCTAGGTTTTTATTTGTACATGACATATGAAAGTCCAATTACCCAGAACACAATTTGCAACTCGAAATTTATTTTCTTTCTGCCCCAAAACGATCGATCGAGAACCGGCCGGTTCGAGTCACGCTCGCTGTCTTCTCCATGGTCCTGTGCCGTTTTCTATGGTGTAGACACAACCATGAAAGATAATCAAAGTCATCGAAGGCACACACTCAATACTAGAAATAAATAAAAAAAATGGGATACCCATTTTTTGCGACTTCTAAAAAGCTGCATATACTGCCACACGCGTCGGCGAGCAAGCGCGTGCGTGGTTACCGCGCTTGATTTTCGCGTGGTAGGTGTAGGTTCGATTCCAGTCAGCGGACTGTCCTTTTATTTATTCTTTCAATTTGGCCTTCTCATAAGTTCGAGAACATTCTCGTCTGATCTAGTTCCGAATATTCTATGCACCGAAAGTTCTACGCTGAATGATCCAGAAACCCACGAGGGTACATAAGGTGCAAGGCGAGCGGAGTCAGTCTTGCCCCAGTGCCCGATCCTGCGGTTTCGCCGACATCGACGCCCACGACGCTCTGCTGTTTTCTTCTGTTCCCATTTTGTTTTGTTTGTTTTGGGCACAAATTCGCCCCATTAAACGTTTAGTTTATTCAGTTATTACTGCCTCATCCATTGTCATTCGTGACAATACATCGACTGAAGAAAAAAAAAAGTTAAACAGCCACATGATTTCTAATTATCTTTCTCCTTCTCCGTATTTCTTCATCCCCAGCCCAGTTTCGGTTTGTTTCTTTATTAAAAATACATGTGACGCTGCAGCAAAATATTGATTGCATAGCTTCCTAACACCCTAATGAATCACCTGGAAAAGAAATAACAAAATTTCTTGGGGGATGTCAGTGTTCCTTTAATAGAGCCTTTTCAAGACCCCAACAAGCAAAATTGGCGGTCAGCATTCCTAGGGCACGAAGCCTGCGATTGGATTCGAGTCCTGGCCGAATGCCGATGCAGCGCTCGTTTTCGACATAAGCCAAGCAGAGTTTACGCCGAATTTTGACACGTCCCCCGCGTCCAATAAACGCGAAGCTAATGCCCAAACAATGGCTTACTCAAACAATTAATGCAGCAACCACTAGACGGCGCACACTTTAAAAAAAAAGTGTCAATTAACGGGTTAACGAAAAGATTGCGTGTCTTTGTGCAGGCGGCAACGTGTGGTGCCTGGACCTGTGGGGTCGCCACAGCGCCCCCTTCATGCAGGGGCTCCACTTCTGCTTCGCCCTGGGGGCGCTGGTCGCCCCACTCATTGCCGAGCCCTTCCTGTCGCCAAGCGGACCGATGGGGACTCTGCAACACGTCCAGCCGCTGCATCCAGGCAACTCGTCAATCCCAGTTGACAACTTCGGACACATTCCGTCCATCGGGATTCACCACGGCATCGCCGTCAACCGGCCACTCCCGCACACGCTCGTGTCGGGCGCGACACCAGGATTTTTTGAGCGCGACCGTCCTCGACGCAGACGACGCAACGCGAAGCAGACGACTCCCTTACCTCAGTTGCCGGAACCGAACAGTGCGACGGAACGCAGTGCCGACGTTGGCGTCCAGCCTAGAATAAAGCAGTTACCATTCGATACCGTCCGAAGTACGTCCACGAGCAGTTCAACTGCTAGAATCTTGTTGGCGGCGAGAGCGCCACCGCCAACTACCACCTCGAGTGCACCTACAAATAGTTCGACCGTCAGCATGCAGCCAAGGGTACTAGAGACGTTGCCGCCTACTACGCTCTCAAGTGTGTCCGCCAGTAGTTCGACCGCTAGTCTGGCAACCAGTGCAACATCTACTAGTCCAGAGCCAACTCTAGTCAGTAATACATGGAACAGTTCAAGCACCGGAGATGCCGGTGGAAACGGCACGGACGTGGTGCAAAGTAGAACGGATGACAATACCACGGTTTCGTCGACGAGCGCGTCGGCGGACGTCACGACGGCTGCCAAGAAACCGACGAAGCCACTTTACGCCGAGGGTGCGGCCGCAAAAAACAAGTGGGACCGCGAATCTCAGAAGCCAAGCCTACCGCAGTCGGCACCCGCGCCGAAATTGAATGCGGCGGCAACGGGCAATTCCAGCATCTCTGCAAACGCTACCGCGAACGGAAACATGTCGACGACAGCCTCGAGCGTCACCTCCTCGTCGTCTGTTCCTCCGTCGACAATGGTCCCGAGTGCAAGCTCCTCCTCTTCGTCGGGTCTTCCTTTGTCAATGGCGACGCCAACTTCGAGCTCCGTCTCGTCGTCAGTCGACTCTTTGTCGACAAAAGTCTCAAGCACGAGCCCCACGTCATCTTCAGTCATTCATTCTGCAACGACTGTTTCCAGTTCGACCGCAGTTAAGCCATCAGTAACAGACCTTTCAAAACCGAGCAGAGTGTCGCCGGTCTCAAGCACGTCACCATCGGTTCCTAGCACTCAAGCCCCACAACCATTGCCTGGTACTGTGGCGACTGCAGCTGCTACAGTCTTTACGGACGTTGGGCCGTATGGCAATTCCACCGTGCCGAGCACGACTGCATTGCCTACAATCTCAAATATTAATGCGACAACACAATCGAACCACGAAAAGAAGACGCCGTTGCCAACTCACTTACCAAGCACTAGTCGAGAACCGGCGACAACTACGACTGGAAACGTTGCCAGACCCCATTCCCCACTTTTGAGTTCAACTACTACCGTCCCCAGAACTTCAAGTGTTCCAGCTACGGCCTCCGAAGAAACTCCTACTGTCACTAAAAGCCCGACAACAACTGTGACGGACACAGCGACAACAACAACCAAGCGCAGCAGCGAGACACTTGCGCCGACCAAACCAGATATCCCGAAAGTGCACCACGAAGTGCAGACCGCACCCAGCACTTCCGGCAGAAAGCCTTCAGTCGCGACAACTATCACTGCTGCAACCGCCGCCGTAACAACGTTACCACCTCTAGAAACCGCCGTCGTCACGCCATCGAGTCATCCGGAAACCGCGTCGAACAACGTCCCCTCGAACGCGACTGAAGCCGACGGCTCCGCCTCGGATCCAAACGGACCGCTCCAGAAGGCGTCTGAAACCGGCCCCACCGAACCACCCGGGCTTACCTCCTGGCTTCTCGACAAGTTCAAGCAGAACCGTCTGGGCAAGCTCGAGTTTGTGTACGCGATCCTCGGCGCCTACCTCTTCGTCGTGTCGGCAGTCTTCCTCGCGTTCCTGTGCACCAACCCGCGCGAGACCCGTTCGCGCCAGGAAGAAGACACAAAAGTCCAGGGGCCATCGAGCAAGTGGAGCCTGGTGGTCCTCACCTCCCTTTTCTTTTTCCTCTACATGGGAATGGAGGCGGCCGTCGGCGAGCTCCTACGAATCTACGCAGCGCCGCAGACGCCCGGCGCCCCATTGCCGCGCGGCTACCTCCTAACCTACGTCTTCTGGGGAAGCTTTGCGGCGGCGCGCGGCATAGCCGTTGTCGCCGCCATCAAGGTGTCTTGCCGGACGATGCTCCTGGGCGACCTCGGCGTATGCTTCCTCGCCTCAGTGCTGCTCGTCGTGGGCGCCGACCGGATGGACGCGCTGCTCTGGGCAGGGGTCGGCGTGCTCGGTGTGGGGATGGCGTCGGTGTTGCCGACCTCGCTCGCGTGGCTCGAGCGCCATGTGCGCGTGACCAACCGTGTTGCGTCGTTCGTGCTCCTCGGCGCCGCCGCAGGCGAGATGGTTCTGCCGTTCCTTGCGAGCCGCCTTGTGGACCGCGAGCCGGCGGTTGTAGTCTACGTCAACGTCACCGTGGTGACGCTCTGCTGCCTCAACTTCGGGGCGCTGTGGCTGGCGGCGGCGAGGCGCGGCGAGAAGTATGCTGCTGACGAGCCGGACCGGTCCATGTACCAGCTTGCCAACCTGGACGACGCGGACGAGTCGGCCGATTTCACGCTGATGCGGCCGCTGTGCGCCAACGGCGACGACGGACACGCGCTGCTGATGGCAGGCAAGCCACGAGCGAGGTTCCTGCGCGGTCCAGACGTGACCACTTCGTGAGAATGGCGGCGACGGACTTCTCAAACTTTTGGCAACGATCTGGGGACCTTTGGGGCTCGCCACGTTTCTCTAGGAAAGTTTAGTTTTAATTAAAGCGGACTCGTCGAGTTTTTCGTCGGGCGGACCAAGACGCTTTTGTAGCGCTGTCCGAACGTTCGCGCTTGAACAGTTTTGTTCAGTTTTAAAATAGGACCTTTGATGACGAGCTCCCGGCTACAAGTTGGTTCCAGCAACGTTCGGAGCTAAACCAGAGTGTATTTTTTAAATGAGAAGTGCCAACGGCCGCAGGCGAACTGCGAGACCTGTCGATAGCGTCCAGTATTCTGCGGTATTTCGTGCTTGCAAGAGTCTCTCGTGTACCAGTGACTAGTCAGCTCCTTCGTGCAGACAGATTTGGAGCAGCGTGGGAGTGTACTTAAGAATTCGATCCAATCTCGCCAAAATGCCGATGATCTGTGTTCCCTCGCTTTCTTCGCACATAAGGGCACCTTCGCTTGCAGTAGTTCTTTGGAAACTTGAACGAGCATTGTAAAACCTTAGAGGGGGGGGGGGGGGGGAGATGACGCTTGTTGTATATCGTTCAAAGCCACTCTATTTATGATGTTTGAGGAAATATAGTTGAAGCTCAATAAAAACAAAAAAGAATGGACTGTGTGTCGGCACTGGCCCTAGCTGCATGCCTTGTAGGTCGGAGCACAGTCGGAAGTGAGAAAAGCTCACGAAAATGTGAACACACATACTAAAAGCAGGTGATGGATCCGCTATGCTTGAGGCCGTGCATGTCAGCACGGCCGGCGGCTAAAAAGTTTAATTCGCTTGATCGCGCCGACAAAGAGTGGGAAGCACAAAATTTGCCCGCACGTCACGGGACGTGAGGGACACTAGCACAAGCCACACTGTGTTTGGTTTCTGCTAGGTTTTTCATTGTGCACCACAGATGTTAGCCAGGGGAGACCAAGCAAAGGAGCGCTCCGCACAAGTGCTACCTTTTGCGGCTCTTGCAAGATGTCAATGAGGCTAGCAGTCGCATGGTATGGCATCGCACCACTCTTGTCGGCACGTTTTGCCGGGAGACCAATCCTTCCAGAGCAGCCGTGCTACGCAGCTTGGTGGCTATGGTATCCAACTGCCACCACCAGATGTATAACTCAGACTTGTGCTTCAGTAAAAAAATAGGACATTTGTGAGAAGTTCTCAACAAAAAAATTGGAAGGCGGCCACTGCGGCTGTGGTTTCGGCAGAGATGTCCACGTGGAAAGGTACATTTCAAAGTGCTGTACTTTTGATGGAGACAAAATGATGCAACACGTTTTTAATGGAACATTATGAGGGTCTAAAGGAGAGCGATTCCTCCAAATATTGAAAAAGATTGAAGATGTTTTTTTATTTTTTTTAATTGCACGTTGAAGTTTCGAAACTTCTCAATTTTGGGTATGTTTTAAGCACTGTAAATAATTTGAATTATAAACTAGAGCAGGAATTTATTTTGAGATGAGGGGCACTTTTATGAAAGATATGAAAAAAGTGTTTAATATCTTTAACACATAATGAGTTACAAAAATAGGGTTTAAATGTAAAAGCAGCCAAATTTGTGAATGTTTACACACAATATATAATTTTCAGAGTTCTGTAAACATTCAAGAACATAGTAACTATTATTCCCTGCCTTCTAGAAAATAATCAGGTTTTTGGTGTTTTTAGTTTGTTTGTTGCATGCAGTCAAACTTGACAGAACCGTCAAAGCCCAAAAACAGCACTGTCGTCTTGGGGCAATCATGTTCTTTTCCTTTAGATTTCTTTTTTTTGAGAAACCATGTGATTTTGTTCCCTTCACATATTGGGGAGTAACACATAAAAATATAAAGAAAAACGGGAATGCAAACCGGACTGACGTGTTCAATCTTACCTGAACACACCCCTATATAGGCAGCAGGGGCCACCGAGGAATGCCGTCGGCTGTAGTAATTCGGGCAGTTTATCGTAGAAGTGCCGATAAAATAGAGGCTACCGCAGCCGCAGTCACCGAAGCATATCTGCCGGAGTTTCCATAGACTGGTCTGACGCCGAACGCTTCACAGCTAAATTCGTATCCGTATCCACCGCTGTGCCACCGCCACACTCTGTTTCGCTTTAAGTGTGACTGCGGCCGACTCTACGACCCGACAAAGCCGATTGAGCAGCGCCAAAAGTGCATTGTCACGGCGCTTGTCGTCTTTGTGCGTTCATTATTACCGACTAAGTCAATCGCGCACAATGAATGCACCGGCATCTTGCGATCTGTTCTGTGCACTACTGCCGTAACCGGCGATGGCAAACCCGCAAAAGCAACGAGCGCCGTGACGACGGACTGTTAGTGCTGCGGTCGAACTTAAAGGTGCACTCCGGCAATCGTCTGAGCTACCCCCACCGCGTTCTCCGAGTCCCCGGCCTTTACTCTTTCAGATTTGCCGTTTGGTATCAGAATGCAGTACTACCTAGTTATTGTGAAATCAGCAAATTAAAATGATGCAAAAAACCCACTCTCAAATATTCCCGCGCTTTCCAGTGCCGCGACGTCGGTGTAAGGCAGGCCTTCCGGTCGAGCCGACAATCTAAAAAATAAACTGTGCCGAGCATTTGTTTCGTGTTGCTGGAGCGAGCTTCCTAAGCATTCCTTTGATACCATGACACTGCTCGTAATCAGTTGGGAACAAATCCTACATTCCAAAGAGGGAATGCCTGCCTGCCACAAGCATCACTTATTCATCATTGCCGGTAGAGACTCGGTTTGAAAAACACGGACAGAACCAAAACTGCAAGTTCAATAACTTTGCAGTCGGGGTGTGCGAATATTAATATTTTCGAATACAAATAGTTAGCTTCGAATATCGAATCGAATAGTCGAAGGCAGGTGCATTTATTCACAGCATTTTTATTTTCACATGTGGGAACTGCAGTTGACATTTTTCTTTTGATTTTTAAACTGCAGGTGATTTTTCTGCATGACAACTTGTAATCTTCTCTGCAACTAGATTTTTCACGGCACTCGTGTTAGCGAGAATAAAAACATAAAAACAAAAATTCTAGTTGTAGGGAGGATTACAAGTTGTCATGCAGAAAAATCGACTGCCGCACATGGTCAGGTAGGAGGCGCTCCCTTCGAGCGTAAACTACACCTCCAGCCACAGAGAAAATCTCTCTCACTCGGCACTGAAGTGGCAGGTATTGCCGGGTATTTTATGCAAAGCTTCACCAAACTCGAATATCTTAAGTACCCGGCAGTTCGGCACCACCCACACGGACCACACTCTCTCTTTAGCAGTGCCTCCTCCGCATACGCTACAACTTTCCATTCTGAAGCTGAAAGCACTTTGCTTTCCATTGCACTTTTGGCTAAGTGGTCAAATGCTTGCCAAACATCTGCTGACGGCGTTGAGCCTAATTGCTCTCGTGACTGTTCACAGCACTGTGACTGGTAGCCATGTGTCGAGTGTTCACTGTGGTGTGAACCACTTCGTGTCGAGTGTTCACTGTGTTGTGAACCGCTTCATCATGAATTTTGGAGTGAGAAGACTGCAGGTGAAGTTCATAACTTTCGCTGGCGCGCAATGTCCACATGTCGCTGTTGAAGGCAACAGCGGTAGTGCCACCTTTAAAGACACTGTTGAGCTTTGATTTCACCTTCTTTCGGGTGTCGTCACATTCGTGGCACAAGCACACGCGAGAGTATAGAGCGTGATGGTTGGCGATAGATGGTAACGGCTTCTGTGAGAAGTTCTTTGAAGCCGCAGTCTTCCACAATACTGTAAGGCTCCAGTGTGAATCAAGCACCACCACGGCGGCCCCCTTGTTATTTAGCGCTCGCACCCTCTTTTCTAGCTGACGGACTTCGTGCAGCGCATGAAGTCTGTCAGCGTCGGTTGATCTTTTCCTGACGTACTAGTGGTAATCCCACGATACTCTTTCAACAACGCAGGAGGCATACTTTGAGATGGTTGACAAGGGGCGTTGCCGTACCTGTGGGCGTTTTAAGCGTTGACTTGCATGCCATACATTCCGCCATCGATGCCGGAATTCTTGCAAAATATCTCCAAATAGCGCTCCTCTCTCTTCGTTTTGGTGCCGTTCCCTGTTCGTTCATCCGATTCGCAGACGGTTCCCCTCTATCCCTCCATCCGCCATAACACGGGTGGGCGAACACTGAAGTGAGCACAGTTTAAAAATCAGGAGTCGCAAGGGAGCAGAAACTCGCAGATTACACCGATGCAAACCTCCTTGCACCGACGCCACCAGTTTAGTTTGAAGCATTTGAAGGGTTTGAAGCAGCCATGCAGCTATGTTGCTGTCAATGGGCCTTGCTTACCGAAATTGCAACTGAAAGCAAAACTTAGGCTTGTGAACACATTATCGAATATTCAATTAATTTAGAATATGCGTGTTACGACGAATATTCGGAAAATACCAAAGGCTTGGTTTACGAATCGAATATGAATATTAAGCGTATAGTATTCGATTCGTATTCGAAATGTTTAATGTTCGCCCACCCCTACTTTGCAGTTGTTGCAAACATTCACAGAACCTTGAGGTTCAACAAACCTTCAAGCTTTTGACAAAGTTCTACACAGTTCGACTTTTGAAGTGCTGCCAGACTTCTGCACAAAACATTTCACAATTTTTGATGAACTTTTGCGGTAGTTTTTAGACATCACTTTGTACGTTAAGCAATACAACAAAATTTTGGCGCTTATTCCTTGGTCTATTCGTGTTCAAGGAAACCCAGTGCCATATCACACACACCAATCTCTCGTTGAAAAAGACACGGAAAGGAATTTTAAAACCAATTAAACGATTAGCAAAGAGCACCTGGTGAATGTCGCTAACGCCTCGTTTGTAATGCCCATCTAGGAACCTTGAGAGGTAGTGATGATGCCCGTATTGCCTCCGGCCACCACGAGAAGAGTGGAAGGAGGAACTCCCCCCTCCCCGAGACTCTCTTATGTGTTCCAGACGTTGGTTTTGTTCCTCTACAAGGTTGTAGAAGATCAAACACGTCACTCAAAATTCGTACAAAAGCAGCTTTGGGGTTAGTTACAGTGGTTCGATCGATGGCGTGCTTCAGCCACTTCAGTGGCTGGAACGGCTAGGACATCCTGTCAACATAAGCCTCACCACAGCTTTGCTCGTCCCGAAACATTCTACGTCACGATTGCAACAGGTGTCACGTGCTCTTCGCTGGCTGCCTTCCGAGCGCTCGCCAAAGTGGGCCGTTTATAACGAAAAATACAGCCATCTGGCTCAAAATACAAATGTGCGATTGTCGTTTAGATATTGTAGATCATATTCAGCCTATTTCTAACACAATGCAGGAAAGTCCAGTATGTGCACCGAGCGTAGCCGGCGTAGGTAAATCCATTGAGTCTATTCCCAATAAATATTGCGCCCATTTTCCTAGGTGGCGTTGGCTCGATTGCAATTTCCGCGCATGTGCGTAACAGCTGAACTTCAGTCAAACTCTGCATTAAAAGTTTGATAAAGGTGAAACTAATGGAACTCAAACGTCGGCAGATTCGTCTCATCTCTGGCGCTGTGTACGGTATTCGCCGCTGCTCACTAAAACACTTACTTATTGACGACTTCTGCTAAATCGACGGCACCTAGCAGCTAGAATAAAAAAGAGGCAGCATCTCCACGTGGTGAATGATGTTGATTGGGGCGAAGCTCTGGTGGTGCTGATGATACTGATTGTATTGTTCATAGGCAGTGCCGATTTTTTTTTATTGCTCATAGGTAGTGATACATTTCGGGTTGCGTTTCGACCTCATTATTACTGCTTTATGGTTGGTGAAATGCAGAGCCAGTGGTTCTTCTAGCGGATCAGCTTAGACCCGCTAGAAGCCATGGGAACGCATCTCCACCGCTTAAAGGGAAGCTACGGAGCTTCTTGAAAAAAATGAGTTAGAGGTGAATTTTAGTGTATTTTTACCCCGTGAATCCGAATACCCAAACGATTTGCTGCGTAAGTATTGTTAAACGCGAGAAAAATGAAAAAGACAGTCGCTGTCCGTGACGTCATCGACGGCTCTTTTGGCTGCCCAAGGCTAGGGAGGCGGGGCTTCAGTCCTATTTTGAAATTGCTCGTATGGCTCTCCAGCGCGTCGCATTGAAATACAATTTTGATATCTGTTATTCTAAAGGCCAAATGAACGCAATTCAAGCGTTTTTTCTCAAATGTAGAAGTGCCCCATCTTCCCTTTAAGCTAACGGTCCATGTCAGAAAGAGAATGTGTGGCATGGATCGTGATTATATACGCAGTTGAGCATTTGACCACAGCGCCCTCTCGTCTATAAACGTTGAGCCAATGCATGCAAAGTTTAACGCGATTATATACGCATTTGATTGCAGCGCCCTCTCCTGTATAGACGTTGAGCAGCAACATGCAACGTTTCATCCATGACATCCCCAGGTCTTGAGTTACTACCACATCTCAAGCCGCGTTTACATAAATGAGATTTAGTCGCATCAAATCCAGTTGTCGCCTTCGACGCGGTCATGTAAACGGCATAATGAGCAAAGAAAGCGCATCGCATTCAAGTTGCTAGACAGAGGTGGATCGAGATGGCGAGTGCGCATTCATTCAGCCCATGTACACGGAGGTCGCATCGCATTTTGGAACAAGGAGGATTATCAGAAGGCGCTCGCTGCGGGAGCGAGTGAACAGCTGAGAACATGGCGGCGGCCAACCTCGTCGGCGGCGCAGAGAGCAGTTCCGTATGGTCGCCCGCATTTTTTTCCCGAGAACAAACGCGAGCTTTTATTTCCATCATAAGTAAGCGGAATATAGCGGAGCTGCTCGGTGAAGACGGCCCCCGTCCAAGCCTTGCGAAGTACGACTTGCGCGTCCGAAGGAGTCCCAAAAGCTTCGGCGCAAGCACGAACGACACCGAGAGCTCCGAGCACTGTAGAGCACTGCATGGTAGCGCAGAGCGAGCAGCTCCTACCTCGGTGCCGTTCCTGGCTGCGCAGGAGCCTTTCGGACTCTGGGTCCGGTCGGTCCGGTCGCGGTCGGCGAGGTCTGGCGCGGCGAAGCACGGAGGCTTTCTCAAAGCGTGCGCACACACGTCGCCTCTGGTCCAGAGTGACCCGGCGGCCCGGCCTGGAGCCCTAAACACTTGGGTTTTGATGTTTCTTCCGTCTCGTAGCTTCTTCCACAGCACCGAAGACGGCGGGCAAAATCTTTACGTTCACTGAACGCGTCGAAAGGCCAGAAAAGCCTCCACGTGGCCTATGTGCGATGCACCAGAAAACGTGGTGCGGCTGGTGCCTGAACTGCATAACTTTGAGCTTTGACACGGCATGGCGCCACCTTCGTGTTGGGCTTGGTGCGCATTCATGTAAACGTTGCCGCGTCGGCTTTGTTCGAAGAACGAGTGGAGTCGATACGATGAAGTCGCTGTCATGTAAACCAGGCTTCAGAGCCCCCCACTCGTCCCGCAGTCGTGGCCAAGTGGTTACGGCAACGGACTAGAAATCCATTGGGGTCTCCCCGCACAGGTTCGAATCCTGTCGACTGCGCAAACATTTTTTTTTTTTAAAGAAGACTGATGGGATGGCAATCGATGTGAGCACGGACGCCGGACGGACAAGGCTAGACCCTAAGGAGCTTCGCCCCTAAAAATTGTAGAGGCAGGTTCGCTCGCCAGCTTTCTCAAGCGAATCGGATATTCACGGCGCCCGGCGACCTGAAGACAAAGCCACAAAAATAGGTTCAAAAACATGCAATGAGTCCCCAATAATGCTGCCGGTATTTACTGGAGCACATGTACAAACATGAACCACTGGAAGACACTTGCATATGCACAAAAAGAGCCTTCACAAACTTGGAAAGCTATAAAACAGCTTAACACGCTTTTCAAACATACTTTGGGTAGTTTCACGAAATAACCATCCAGGGCAAAATCTCGAGGTTTTTGAAACGTGAAGGCTGGATCTGACGGGCCATTTATTAGGTCCACTGCAAAGGTTACTGATCGACAGGGCTGGTAGTAACTGACTCGCTCATAAGGTTTTCTTTATGGAATGCTTTGAAACAGCCTAAAACACTTTATAAATTAAAAAGATTAAAACTTTTTTTTTTTCTTTCGGTAACCGAGTCTTGAAATTTGCAACTTTAATTGAAGAAATTGCAAATGCTGTATTGCAGAAAGCATTACTTCAAGGAGCGAAACCTAGAGAGAGACACGTTTCATAGACTCACAGCACTACCATGAAAAGGTTGCAACCTTAGTGCAAACAAAAGCAAGTTAAAAAAAAGAAACATAGACACACAGCTATCTTGCCATTGTAAGAGTAAAAAAAAAGAAACTGCTATACATAAAATCCCTCATTAAAATTCTTCAGATAGCTATCCTCTTGCAACTTCAGGAGCATGGCACAAATCCAAACCAAGTAAAACCAACAAGTCTATGCATAAAATGGCTATACAAAATGACGAAAAGTTAAGGCTGTTTCGCACGTTTGCGTTTGTCGGTATTCAAGGTTGAAACCTTAGTGCAAACAAAAGCAAGTTAAAAAAAAAAAAAAACGACACACAGCTATCTTGCCATTGTAAGAGTAAAAAAAAAAAAACTGCTATACATAAAATCCCTCATTAAAATTCTTCAGATAGCTATCCTCTCGACACTTCAGGAGCACGGCACAAATCCAAACCAAGTAAAACTAACAAGTCTATGCATAAAATGGCTATACAAAATGACGAAAAGTTAAGGCTGTTTCGCACGTTTGCGTTTGTCGGTATTCAAGGTTGAAACCTTAGTGCAAACAAAAGCAAGTTAAAAAAAAAAAAAAACGACACACAGCTATCTTGCCATTGTAAGAGTAAAAAAAAAAAGAAACTGCTATACATAAAATCCCTCATTAAAATTCTTCAGATAGCTATCCTCTCGACACTTCAGGAGCACGGCACAAATCCAAACCAAGTAAAACCAACAAGTCTATGCATAAAATGGCTATACAAAATGACGAAAAGTTAAGGCTGTTTCGCACGTTTGCGTTTGTCGGTATTCAAGTTTGAAACCTTAGTGCAAACAAAAGCAAGTTAAAAAAAAAAAACGACACACAGCTATCTTGCCATTGTAAGAGTAAAAAAAAAGAAACTGCTATACATAAAATCCCTCATTAAAATTCTTCAGATAGCTATCCTCTCGACACTTCAGGAGCACGGCACAAATCCAAACCAAGTAAAACCAACAAGTCTATGCATAAAATGGCTATACAAAATGACGAAAAGTTAAGGCTGTTTTGCACGTTTGCGTTTGTTGGTATTCGAGTGCGTTGCATTCTCTTAAAATGAGATATCACACTGGCAAACTGGTGCCATCACTTGGGTAGCCCTGGAACAGGATATAACTAGACTATGGGCTTTGCAGGATAAAATCCATGCACCATACACGAGAAACAGCCACTTATAATGTCGTCACAATCATTTCAAGCCCGCAGCAGGAGAATGATGTGGAAAAAATGATGAAACTTTATACATTGATCGAAAAGTTTCCAGGGCCATCTAACAGATGGCGCTGTTAAATCTTTCGTCACAAACGATTACAACCGAACACAACGTACTCAAGCATGCTCAGACGCAAATGTGCGAACGAGCCTTTGGAACGCTAACCGGAATGCAAAGCAAACTTCGTTGTGCATAACGAGGAGAAACTTGCTACGCTTCGACGAACACGTGCACCCTTCCGCTTGAGTTCCCGCCGGCGACGACGAAGCGGTCGGGATGAACGTCCACGAGCGAACAGATGGACGTCAGGCTGTCTCCCTTCAGCGTGTGTTGCAGGGTCCCAGCAGACGAGAACACCTCCACACGGCGCGGGTACTCCATGCTCCCGACGAGGAAGAGGTCCTCGCATCCGGGCATCCAGACGGCCTTGAACGGCGTCAGCCAGCGCCCCGTCATGTTGTTGTGCCTGTTCCGAGCGTGTATAGAGTACATGTTAGAGAAGAAATTTTAGTGAAAATGATTGGAACTTGCCTTTTATGAAGGGTACTAAAGCAGTGTGTGTCAACGCTTCAGATTCTAGTATTTTTTGTGTGGACTATTCTAACGATTCGCTTCTGTGAGCTGTCCTCTTTTGTCTATATGAGTAGAAACTGAGAGAAAGGAGACTAGAGGGTGCGGGGACACTAGAGAGCCGAGCTCTCTAGTGTAGATAGTGAAGAGTAGTAGATAGACAAAAAGCCGGCTGCCTTTGTATCCACTCATTGTTCAAAATGCGTTCAAACTAGCTTTGCGTCTACTCGCTAATCGTGCCAACCAGAGCCCGGCGTTCTGTTGTCTTCTCGCGCACTCATCTCCTCCTCTCTCTCAAGTTCTACCCATAGTGGGCCACGAAACCAGTGGCAATCAGTTCGTCGAACGACATTTTGTCAAGAGGTCGTTTTGTTGACACGCGACATTTTGTTGAAAGGCTTTTTGCGTCTTGCCTGGTTTACAGGAGGGGAGAGGGAAGGGGTGTCCCAAAGCTGCTGCCTCAGGCCCCCTATACACCACGGTGAATCACGCTAGCCTTTAACAGCTTCCAGATTTTATTACGCACTTAGTGAAAAATATATTGTCGACAAAACATCGCAAGAGCATGTGCCCATGAAAGGAGTCTTCACGAAACGCCAGGGTGTCGATGAAACGTGCCTACAAAAAGCTGTTCACGAAACATCCCAGAGTCAACGAAATGTGCGTCCACAAAGCGTTTTTTCCCCGAAACGTGTTTCGATGAAACGATTACGGACCCCCGTAAAACTTGTTCCAAGCATGCGCAGTAGAGCTCTTCCGCAGAATATTGGACGTCGGAAACGTCTCCACAGCCTAGCGACTCGGCAGTTTTCGCCTGGGTGACAAGTGCCGAAAAGATGTATGCTTAGAGATGTGAAGCTTCCAGAAAGTGTGGAAAGATTTGTAGGGGTGTGCGAATATTCTAGACTTCGCGATTGATGCTTGCTATGCAATTCGATTGGCTTCACACTTCCACTGTTCAAAGTATTTGAGTTCTTCAAATACTGCGAAAACTACCAATAACGCGTAACTCGCTGATTAGTGTCAATTCATGGTCAAGCTTTCTGTTTTGTTTTTGGACTGCACAGTTTGGTTTTGAGCTTGGCAAACCCAAAAAGCCGACCTAAGTGCCTTTTTGTTTGTGTGATGCACTGGAAAGTTATTTGCTTGCAATAGTGCGATCTGTCATTTGCTTGCCATTTTATCTGGATTGCGGAGATGGCGAAGTGATCCTGGCACAAACGCTGCAATAGATTCGATGAGGGACTACAATTTGCAACGGCACGTGCATCGTCGTGAGCACAAATGCGACGGACAACACTCACTGCAGTCCTTCCTACAGTCACTACAGTAGCCAAGGTGCTATGGATTCGGATATGGATTTACGGCTGACCTCGGCTATCGGCGATATCTGGCTTGTAGTATTTTCCGCTTAATTTTCCAGTTCGTCAGTTAACCAGTATTCCTTTTGTTATTTATTTCTACCCATTTGCACTGGTAAAAGTGAGTAAACTTCTACTTCTACCTGTTTTCACTGGTAAGTTATTTACTACTACCCGTTCGCACTGGTAAAAGTAAAAAAAAAACACTGTTTTCTTAATTTATTGCCTTTTTGTGGTGCCCTCTACCGGCAGAGCTATTGCACACGGAAAGAGATGGCACAGTCAGTGCGGCCACGCAACGCGATCGCACAATTTTCAACTCTGCTGTGACCTGCCAACCCGCCCCTGCCTGTGTACTTCCGTTTACGTTCACATGGTTGCGTTCACCAGCATGAAAAGAAATTGCACAAAGTCGGTGCAGCTACGCGATACAATCTTCGACTTTGTATTGTGGCTTGTCAACCCGCCACCGCTCGTGTACTTTCGTTTACATTCACGTGGTTGCGTTCGTCCGCAACGCAATCTCCGACTGCGCTGCGGTTTGCCAACCCGCCTCCACTTGTGTACTTACAATTACGTTCTGTAACTTCACTCCTTGAATGGTGTTTTACTGACTCATCTTTTATTTCATCTGTTTTTTATCAATCACATCTGTGACATTTTTCTTATTGCTATAAAATCAACACTTTCATAAATGTTTGTTGGAAAAAAAATATTCCAGTTGTGTTTTGATTGAGAATTCTTGTTGAACTCACATCAAATAGAAAAAATTTGTTTTCAAAAATGTTCTTAATCGAAACTACTATTCGTATTCAAAAATATTCAATTCAAATTGCAAGCTTTATTCTTCGATTCAATTGGCTTCAGAGATTCTGATATTCGCACACCTCTAAATATTTGGAAGGTCGCTGCTATACTCCGTTTCACCTTATGCTGTACCGCAGAGAAGGCTAGAAGCGCGAGCTCATAGCGTTGGGAGCTGCTCTTAACGCACGAGAGCTTGTGCCGCCGAGATGTGCCCTAGAGCAAGGAGCCTGCGCTTGTGGCCTTTCCTGCGGTACATCATAAGGTGAAACAGAGTATAGCAAATGCATTCATTCCCACGACATAACCTAATTTCGGATGTGCATATTCCTTGGCACACGTCTCGTCGTCTCGCGTGCACTTTTTACAAGACGGCGTACGCGACTCGTAAAAATCCTAAATTTCAATATCCTAAATTTTTTAACATTCAAGAGTTTGTGTGTGTTCTTTTATTTAACAGTATTTATTGTATTTTTGCCATTGTATTTATGTTTGTGAGTATCTGTTTTATTTTGTGTTTCCCTGCTATAATGCTTCGGCGCTGCAGGTTGTTTGTGTAAATAAATAAAAACAATTTTCCGAGTTTACTTTTACACCGACGAACCCCGAAAATCAACACCCCGAGCCGGTTTTATCGAAATCGGGGGAAAGCCGACAGACCCCCATTTGGAGCCGTTTTTGGGTAACAAAAAGTCAAGCTTCACGCAAAAGAAATCTTTATCTACGGCTTTATCCAACGTCAACCCGGAACACAGCCCCCACCGAACCGTCCGCAAGGCTGCTTTTTTCTTCGGAACGCCACACCTTATTTCGTTTCCATCTCTTATTGGTATGAAACGTTTTTCAAGCGCTCGAGTAACATTGGAGCTTGGAGACTCTCGTGCCTGTGTACTGTTCGCTAAACAGAAGCCCTGAAAAACCCAAATTTTTTGTCCGAAGCCAAAAAATTATACACAAAAACACGGAACATAAATGAAAATGAATAAACCCCTACAAAACACTTCCCAATTAATAAAAAAAAAAAGAAGAAGAATTTTAGAAACACGGGACCCCCTTTGAAAGTCGCGCAATGCCTCCTGATACTCTCAGACTGTTTGCCTCTTGCCTGCGATAGACTGTCTGAGGCATAGGTTCTCAACCTCTGGTCCCAGTAACGTTCCCCAGAGCAATACTTTCATGGTATCTCAGATTCGGCCGTCCCTCCCCTAAGCAAAGAGTTTTTCGAGTATAGGCACTCTTTAATCAGGCCAGAGTCACCCATTGACGCATAACTACGAGCCCGGCACTCTTCCGTACGAGCATTTTTCTTTACAAGGTCTGCAAGCTTCCGCACCGCTTTACTGGATCGATGACGAGATCACAAGGGGCTACTCGAGAGTTGGAGAACCCCCGAATTAGAAGATCGGTGCTGTTAAACCAATCATATTTTCCAGTTTATAAGTCACACCATTGTAGATGTCGCACCTCCCTACAAATGGCCATTTTCGTGGTAACGTTGGCATCTTTTCTGCTGCTTTCTGCTATAGGGGCCTCCTCAAGATGCATATTTTCAGCTTTTCACCTTGTCTCGCCCTTTGTTTGTGAAGCAAAAGAAAAAAAGATCAATATTATTATTACTATTGTGGGGGGCCGCGAGGCCCTGCCACGTTATTTAAAGTGAGGACATAGAACGAGACAAGCGAACGACGTGTCTGCCTGTCATGGCGGCTTCAGAGCATTCTCTTGCACGCGCTCTCCGAGGCGCGTCTTCTCTTGCACGCGCTCTCCGAGGCGCGTGCGCGTGCTGCGCCTCGAGCCATCTTTTTTATTTTCATGAGAAGAATGGATCTGTGGGTGCGTTGTACCCTACAGATATGCCCCCCCTTAGCGAGGAGCCCCAACGAGCGATTAAAGAAAACGAAAAGAACAACGACAACACACAATTAGGGCGCTAGCTCTGGCCATGAGTTTGTCCAATGAACTTGAGCAGACTTCCTGCGAGACTTCGGACTTTCCTCGCGCGTCTCACATGTGATGAGGTTCACGGGTGCGTGCTCGAGATGGGCTGGCTTTAGACGCTCGAGAGCGATGGTGTCTCGTCGTCCATTGATCTGTACAACGAAGCCACTTGGCTTCTTTTCCAGAACCGGGAACGGTCCTATATAGTGTGGTTGGAGCGGTTTCCGTCTGGCTGTTTGGCGCACGAACACATGCGTTGCACTGTACAAGTCCTGAGAGACGTAAGGAGTCTTGGCAGATACCGCGCGCGTAGGAACTGGTCGTAGGTCTGCAAAAACCTCCTTCAGCTTTGTGGCGTAGTCTTCTGGCCTCGTGTTTGGAGACGGGTCGACCTCGAAAAAGTCCGATGGTAATCGGAGAGTCGTCCCATAGACGAGTTCAGAGGTTGCACAGCCGAGGTCCTGCTTCAACGCCGTTCGAACTCCGAGTAAGACGAGTGGAAGCTGTTGTACCCATTCCTTGGAGTTCGCGTGGGCCATGAGCGCGAACTTGAGGTGTCGGTGGAAACGTTCCACCAGGCAGTTAGACTGCGGATGGTATGCAGTTGTCCGAGATCTCGTCATGCCTAGGATTCGGGACAACTCGGTGAACAAGTTGGATTCGAATTGACGCCCTCTGTCGGTGACGATTTCAGACGGGCATCCGAAGCGCGCCACCCAGGACGAGACGAATGCCTCGGCGACGGTGGCTGCAGTCATGTCGGGCAATGGTGTAGCTTCCGGCCACCTTGTGAAGCGGTCGATACAGGTCAGGATGTATCGTTGCCCTTGAGATGTCGGAAGGGGCCCGACCAGGTCGATGTGGACCTTGTCGAAACGGGCATCTGGTGGCAGGAAGCTCGTGGATGAAGGCACGGAATGACGGTGAACCTTGGCTCGTTGACATGCCAAGCAGGTCCGCACCCAGTCACGCACGTCGGACTTCAGCCGAGGCCAAACGTAGCGATTGGCCACTAGCTTCTGTGTTGCCTTCACGCCGGGATGCGACAACGAATGAATGGCATCAAAAAGCGGCCTTCGTAGCGCCATCGAAACGAATGGGCAATGCGTTCCTGTGGACGTGTTGCAGACGATGGTGATGCCTCCTGGGAACTCAACATCCTCTAGCTGGAGAGAGTTGTTTGATGTGCGGAGCTGCTGTTGCTCCTCGTCGGATGCCTGATGACGAGCCAGCAACGTGATGTCGAGTTGCGGAGCAGGCGAAGGTACGGCGTCAATTCGGCTCAGTACATCAGCGGGGACGTTTGATTTCCCTTTGATATGCCGGATGTCCGTCGTAAACTCCGACAAGAAGGCCAGCTGGCGGATCTCTCGAGGGGTATAGACAGAGCTTGAGTTGCGGATGGCGTAGGTGAGTGGTTTATGGTCCGTCCAGATGACGAAGGGGCGACCTTCGACAAAGTGTCGAAAGTGCCGGACGGCCAAGTACGCTGCGAGCAGTTCTCTTCCAAAGACGCTGTAGCGGGTCTGGGCGGGCTTTAACTTCTTGGAAAAGAAAGCTAGGGGCTGCCATTCACCGTCCACCTGTTGTTGTAGGACCGCCCCAACAGCCGTAGCTGAAGCATCTGTCATGATCGAGGTTCTGGCATCGTGTTGTGGATGTCGCAGAAGTACAGCGTCTGCAAGTACAGTCTTTACTTCGCAGAAGGCTTGCTCCGCGTCTTCACTCCAAGGCAGGTTGGTAGTGGCACGTGCAGTCTTTGCTAGTAGAAAATCAAGAGGCTGGAGTAGCCTCGCGCAGTTCGGAATGAACCGGCGGTAAAAATTTACCAGGCCGAGGAACTGGCGAAGCTTTGTGATCGAGCTAGGTCTTGGAAAGTCCCTGATCACTTGCACTTTCGACGGCAAAGGTCTGATGCCGTGTCGGTCCAGTCGATGTCCCAGAAACTCGAGTTCTGATCTCCCAAACTCACTTTTTGCGGCGTTGATGATGATGCCGTGGTCTGAGAGTCTTTGGAAAAGAAGACGGAGGTGGTTGGTGTGCTCCTCCTTTGTCGAGCTAGCGACCAACAAGTCGTTAACGTAGGCAAATACGAAGGGAAGCCCGCGCGTGACAGCGTCGATGAATCTCTGGAATGTTTGAGCCGCATTACTGAGGCCAAAGGGCATGCGGAGAAACTCAAACAGACCAAACGGAGTTGTAATAGCTGTCTTTGGGATGTCTTCGTCAGCGACGGGGATCTGGTGGTACGCGCGGGTAAGGTCAACCTTCGAAAAAATGGTCGCGCCTTGGAGGTTGACAGTAAAGTCCTGAATGTTTGGGAGGGGGTATCTATCGGGCACTGTGCTCTTGTTCAGTGCGCGATAGTCGCCACACGGTCTCCAATCTCCGTTCTTCTTGGACACCATGTGTAGGGGAGACGCCCAGCTGCTTGACGAAGGTCGGATAATTCCAAGCTCGAGCATGTGCTCAAATTCTTCGCGAGCGATGCGGAGTTTCTCTGGAGCCAGACGACGGGGTCGGAAGTGAACCGGTGCGCCCCTTGTTTCGATGTGATGGTGGACATCGTGCGAAACCGGTCTGGTCCAGTCAGGAGCTCGAGTGAGGCTTGGAAAATCCTGGAGAGGAGGTCGGAATGGCCCGTCGATGTTAGAGCAGACTGACGCGAATCCTGCGGTGTCAGTTGTTGAGACGCCTTGCACGGAGAGTCGCGTTGTGGAGTCGAGCAGACGTCTCTCCTTGACGTCTACAAGGAGGCTGTGGTGTTGTAGGAAGTCAGCGCCGATGATCGCGTTGCCTACGTCTGCGACCAGGAATACCCATCGGTAGACTCGTCTGAGGCCAAGATTAAAGGCCCGTTCACACTCTTGCGACCGAGTACGACTGAGAGAGACGAGATCTCTTACAACTTCTTAAATGTTTCTAGAATGAGGGGACACACTGACATTGTGGCGCCATCTATGCGGTGACCCTAGAACTGCATTTCACAAGAGCGAAGGTTTTGCGGGATTTCCGGGGTCAAATGTGCGTAATACACATAGAAAGGCTCGCTTATAACATTGACAAAAGTTTTTCGAGCCAAAAAAAGAAAGGATATTGCGCGAGAAATAAAAAAAAATATGCCGGACCGCCGAGTTTACACTGCTTCCCAATAGATGGCGCCAGTGTGTTCTCTGGTTTAAGAAGTTTTAAGGAACCCAGGTTTAAGAGGTCGCAAGCAGTCGCAAGAGTGTGAACGGGCCTTTATGGTGATGGACCGTTCCTTGTAGACGGGGATCGACGAGTTGTTCACAGCCCGAAGGTAGTAGATGGGCGTCTGTGATCGATCCGCGCGTTTTGCAGGAACAGCGCTTACCTCGGCCCCGGTATCGACGAGATAACGGGTTCCCGTAGTCCTGTCGGCGATGTAAAATAGGCGACTTCCTGGTAGGTTCTGACTACTCGTTGCCTCTATCGGTTTGCTCCAGGAGCAGGGACGAAGGCAGTGCCGGGCGTCGGAGCCATAGCGACGATGGTATACGCAGACGTCCGCTGAACTTGCGGAGCGGGAACGGTCAGCATTTCTGCAACGAGATGTTGAACGTCCACGTCGTTGTTGAGTGCGTGGACGATCTCGCCGGTGAGTTGCCGCGGTAACACTCTCTTCCAACCGCTGGCAAAGCCGCTCGAGGTTGCCGTCAAACGATGGAGTGCCTGGCGGGGCAGGCATAGCTTCACTTCCGTCTTCTGCCGCTGATGTAACGCTGGCGACGGGTGGAGTGGCAACTTCAATAACGGCGTCTGTCAGGGCTGCGAGGCCTGTGAGGTCGAGAGCCGTAGCGGTGGCCAACACCATCTGGACGTTGGTTGGGAGGCGCTGAATAAATAGCTCCCGCAGCAGAGCGTCGCCGACCGTGTTGGCGCGATCTCCAAGGAGCTGAGTCATCCGCCTTAGCAGCTGAGACGGACGTCGATCGCCGAGTTCTTCCGCCGAAAGAAGTTCTTGAAGGCGGGAGCAATCTGATGCCTCGGTTCTCTGCAGGAGAGCCGCCTTCAGCTGGTCGTAGGAAGCTGTGGCCGACGGTTGCGCAAGGATGTCGTATACTTCGTCGGCTGCTGCCAGCGACAGCGCCGAGACGACATGATGATACTTGCTCTCCTGGCTCGTCACACCGCTGAGATGAAACTGGGACTCAGCCTGCAGAAACCAGACCCTCGGGTTTCTGTCATAGTACGGCGGAAGTCGGACTGCAACCGATGAGATGGAAGCCGGGGATCCGGCCGCTGCTCTTTGGGGTTCGCCGTTGTCCATGGTCCTCGACCGGGTCACCAAATATGTGGGGGGCCGCGAGGCCCTGCCACGTTATTTAAAGTGAGGACATAGAACGAGACAAGCGAACGACGTGTCTGCCTGTCATGGCGGCTTCAGAGCATTCTCTTGCACGCGCTCTCCGAGGCGCGTCTTCTCTTGCACGCGCTCTCCGAGGCGCGTCTTCTCTTGCACGCGCTCTCCGAGGCGCGTGCGCGTGCTGCGCCTCGAGCCATCTCTTTTATTTTCATGAGAAGAATGGATCTGTGGGTGCGTTGTACCCTACACTATTAAGTCGCTCTTCTTTGTTTAGGTCTGCATCTGCACGGAGTCGCCACAGCCGCGAACCCATGCCGCTACGCTTCGAATCGTCTTTGGACCGCCAGAAGAGCAGGTCGTCGAGAAGGCACTCTGCCGTTCCTCCTTTGTCGTTAATCTCAAGATGGCCTACTCCTTGCATAATTATTTCCGTGTGCAAAAAAACCAAAGAACGTAAATTACATTATTTTACAGGATGCACCGACGGAAATTTAGGAAAGGAACTGCGACTTGAATGGTGGAAAATACGGTAGCTATTTTCTCAACGTAACCCAACCGAGGAGGAGCATGTTACTCGGCGCACCTCCTTGTTGTCTCGCCGACACCTTTCACCAGACACGTACAATGCCTTGCAAGGCACGTGGGACGTAAGAAAACTGTGTGATACCAGAGTCTCGCACAATGATCGTGCAGGACAGCTTACTTGAGCGACACCTTCAACTTGACCTCGCTTGTCAGCTCAGAACTGTCGAAAACCCTGTGTCAAAGAGAAAGAGAGACAAGTATTGCTCCATCAGCTTGGCAGACACTTTACATATGTGCTGTCTACAGTTCCCCACAGTTCTCGCGTGTCTATCACAGCATAAACCTGAATTTGCTGTGTCTCGGATCTGCGTACGCGATATCGGTTCCCGTGACATGCAAGTTCGTAGCAACTTCCGCGCATTTATCGCACTGTGAAACTCGAATCAGCTGCTCTGCTGTGCCAGCGATCTGCGACATCAGTTCCCGTGTTGTGTGGTTGATAGCGGGTGTTGTGGTGATTATCGGTAATTTTTGACAAACTTTCGCTGTCTCGTTCTCAAAGATCGCCACCCAATATTTTTCGCCATTTCTCTCTTCAAAATGGGTGGGCATTCATACGAGATTTTACGGTTGCTTATTTTTGAAGCGATAAGAACAGTAAATTTTTTCCAGGGACGGGCAGCATTACACATAAATAGAGTGACGGTGAAATATAGAACAAACACGGGACTCACTTGAGGGTGTCGTCGAAAGAAGTGGTGAGGATCTGGTTGCCCGTAAGCGGCGAGAAAAAGGCCGCGGAGCACGAGCGGTGATGAGCCATGGTGGCGATGGCCTCTGCCGCCTTTTTGCTCCGAGTCTCCTTGAGGTTCCGCACGTCCCACAGTTTGGCCGTCCTGAAATGCGCCACAAATACCGGTCACTCCCCTACGCGTTTCTCAAAGATTAAAAAGGAACGAAGACGAAAATTGGCTGCCTCTTTGGCAATTCCCAAAGGCATTCTAAATGCATAGCATTCATACAGCTTTCCCCCACTCCTCCTTTTGCGGGCACAGTATGGAGGCTACTCAACGGCACGCTGCAAGGATTTTGTGAATGTATAAAGCCTAAATCGTCGCCGTGTCACGTGACGTCACAGTGTCGTGATGCTGCGATGTAATCGAGGCTACGTGCCGCAGGTGTAAAATCTTCGAGGCTGGCCCATAAATGCCAGGCATCTAATACCGTATCGGCACCAATATACCGCAAGGTTTCTTTTTGAGAAGACATGCTCGAGAACACAGAACACACATTTTTCCTGGCTTGGGACAGCCGCGAAGCCACATGAAGGCGAGACCCACACCGCAGAGGCGGGGAGATCGGTGGTCGAGTGTGGTAACGCACCGCAGCTCGGATCACGTGGAGCGAGAGCTCGCGTTGCAGAACCCAGGGATCATGTGTTCCATCCCCGCCACTGTCCGTTTCGATGCGGACGAGCCTCGTACCGGCCTGCAGTCGCGTAACACTACAGCGTTATGCACATTAAAAAATTCCAGGCTTGCAGTGGTATTGCACTGGCTACATTTCTCACCTAAACCGTCAACCAGCGTACCTCAGAGGCAGACCGACCATATACTTTACACAAACATAAAATTTTCTTTCTTTTTTTGTCATACGAGTGTAATTATGGAAGGCACGACATCATGTGATCCAGCTCTACGTTGATATGGTGCTGCTCGACATCACGTGACTGTGATGTCACGTGATCGCGCCTACGTCGTGTGGCGGCCTTTCGTGACGGCTCTTTGCGACAGTTTTCTTGCAGAATTCGTCGATGAAACACATTCCACGTAAAGATTTCATACAGTCAGGTAATTTCAGGTGTCCGAGGGTGGCAACTCAAATCGTTACGTGAGCAACTCACCCGTCCGTGCTGCCGGTCAAGAAGCACCACTCATGCACCGGATGAACATTCACCGTCCGGACTTTCCTGCTGTGCAGCGTGCACGAGCTTGTCCTGACGGAAGAAAACGCCGTGGCAAGATTAGCGTACAGTGCAACGACTTGTGTCAATCCAGTGAAACAAAAAATGTGTGTTGCTCTCACTCGCTACACACTAACACGCGTTTACGAACAGGCTCCCTTTTGCTCACATCAGGTGCGAGCACTGCGCATGCGAAGAAACGAGATTCGCATGAGAAAATGTGTCTGTACATGCGCAATGCCGACAGCGGCGCCATTGGAGTGGCCCGACGTCGGAGAGTTGAGCTGGTGTACACGAGATGTTTTGTTTTAGGCTTCATAGATTTGTTTAAGAAAGCAGTGAAAGCCACACTAATGTAGTCTGTGCAGGTCAGTTATACAACCACGGAGACATAATAAAGGGGGATAATCGTCACGATAAGTCGGATGATTCTAGAAGTCATTAACTTTTTAATTTGTAAAAGTAAACATATTGTTTTAATTAGGAAGTTGCTGGGCATTATCAAAAAACCCTAAATCAGTCATTGTAGAAAGACTTGGTGCACATGCTTCGTTTTTCAGGGTCCCCAAAATATGTCTGAATTTTTGTTCCTTTCGTCCCATTTTGACGCCACCAGCCTTCTGCCTCTTGCATGAGTGGAAACTTCAGCGCACTACTGCCCTTCCTCCATGCTCGAAATCTTTTTAAATTTACTGATTTAGTGGCATCTGATGACACTCGGCAAGTTTCCGATTGGAACCATTTGTTTATTTTCATTAATAGAAAGTTATTTATCAGATCTCAGTTAAATATCAGACTTATTGTGACGATTAGCCCACTATATTACGTCCCCCTGGCAGTATAACTCACTTGCATAAACCACATTAGTGCACTTTTCACGGATTTTCTTCAATAAAGCCAAGTGACTTATCTTCAAGCCAGGTGGCTTATCGTCAAAAAAGCTAGGTTCCGAATTTAAAAATATGATTCAAAATAAAAACACAGTCTTTGGGCCATTTAGTTCTTCTAGTGTATTCCGAAAAATCACATTAAAAGTTTCCTTATATAAAATGTATAAGACTGGCGAAACACCCAAATGTGCAGCCAGTGACGACTGCCACGAAATTTGCTACAAAACCACCTTTCAGTTTTGTTTCAGTCAAGAGTTGGCCCAACATGCACATTTTTTTTTAATGTTCTTTTACTCACCACCTATTCTCTCGCACGACTTGAAATAAAATCGCCCTAAAACATTATTAGTCTGAGCGTGTGCACGAATTTAAGACGGTTAATCTTTGAAGAAGTTAACACTAACTCCAATGAAGCAAAATAATGTTCACATTGGAATGGCACATCTGGCGAAGCGGACAAAAACCACTCACTCGCGTGTCCTGGGGTCAACCAAGGACACGGCGCCGTCGCTGTGGCCCACGATCAGAGAATTGTGCAGTCCCCAGTCCAGGCACAAGACTCCATTCTCATCTAGGGAACGGTACACCTGCAGTTCCAAAACATGCGGTTACTGAAACTCGTCAGTAAGACGAGAAGTTAACTACTCAACCCCGTCTCGTCAAACTTCTTGGCTCTTTTTTTAAGCTACGACGTCGTCAGGTTGTTAAGTGCTAAACTTTGTCTCGCCGTAATTTGGTAAACGATGGAGGTTACGGCCCAATAAGCGAATCGGCATGTCGGAGGAAAACGGGAGATTTGAGTCTCTCTCCGAGAAGCAAGTCAAAGTGCTATTTTGCTGTGATAATGCAGCAGAACAGCAGCTTTTTTGGGGGAAGGTGGCACATTCTTTTATGAGTTGTGACCAGGTAAACAATATAAAAAATACAAACTGCAAATTATTTCAACGTTAAAATCGTTGCACTACTTCTTTTAAGAAAGGATGGCGTACACACTCACCTCGTCGAAAATCCCGCGTTCGACGTCGAGACAGCGGACGGTGTCGTCGTAGCTTGCGGAGAAGACGCGCTGAGGCTGGTTTTTGTTGACCTTGAGGCACATGAGACCGGACGTGTGGGGACTGTAGCTTTGCACCAGGCTCTCCCCTTCGCCCTACGGAATATTTTGGTCTTTGTGTAATAGGCAGAATATTTAAAGTGGCAGCTCTATGAGATTACGTAAAGGGGCACTAAAGAGAATTCTGCCATCATCTGTTCTTGGTCATAACTGACTCTAAGGGTCCTAAGCATCCTAAAGATTCAAAAATTACATTCACGCCTTGCCGATTTCCTTATTAAAAGCGTGATAAAAAGGTCGGGACACACCACTTTCTGAGCAGACTTTTCCATTTAGGAAAGGCAGGGCAAATTCCAGCAGCGGTGTCAGCATGGTGACAAAAAAATCGGCGTCGCGTGATGGTAATTTTTGCATTTTTAGGGTGCTTAAGGCCCATAGAAACAGTTATCACCAAGAACAGACGATCGCAGAATCCTCTTTAGTGCCCCTTTAACAGTGGAAATTCTAGTCGTAAATTGGTTTGCTGAAACACGTGCCATCCTAATCGTTTTTGTGTGCAGCAAAGTAGTTGCTCAACATCAGCACCTGACCAAAATCAGATGGCAGTCACAGCAATACAGTCGAGCCCACTTATAACGGCCGCAGATATAACGAACGCTCGCTTAGTACGAACAAGGGTGGTGCTACCGTCAAAATATACATTGGGGCAATGGCACAGTGTCTCACATAGAACGAACTGTTGCGGCCTCACCACTCGGTTAGAGCGAACGCGAAGCTGTCGGGCCCCCGTAGTTGACCGAGCCGGCGGTGCTTGGCGCGGTTTCGCTCGACTGCGAACCCGCGGCAGACGAACTTCACCCACGGAGCGTCCCCCGGACGCTCCTTTGCGGAGAAAATAAAGAAAAAAAGAAAAAGCGCGCGTTGAAAAGTGAAAACGAAAAAGCGCGCGCGCGCGGTGACGAAAGAAAGTGGCGCCGCCCGCGTCGTCGGGATGCATCCACGTGATCTGCGTCGAACAATCCGGAAAGTTCGGCGCCTGCTCTACCCGCTTTACCGGCCCAAACCGGTTCTCCATTTGTTGCTGCTCCGTTGCCACCCCGGACCGCGGATATTGAGCCGTCGATTCTTTCTGTGCGATGGCACTGCGTTGACATCGTTGCCGCATTCGTGCTCTTCCCAGATCGGGGATTTGAAGGTTGCCTCAACGCGCGAGTCCAAGGGCTTGACTTGCGCCTGGCGCGATGGCGGACTGTATGCCGACCTCTTCAGGTGCTAAAAGGAAAGCAGTCGACATTGCAACGAAGATGGCCACTGTTAATGAACTTGCTCAAGGTGCAAAAAACGGCGATTTGGTCAAGAAGTACGGACTGTCGAAATCGACCATTTCGACCATTGCTAAGGACAAGGAAAAGATTCTTGGTGCTACCGTGAATGCCAACCCGACAAGAAAGCGCCTTCGGAAGGCGACCTACGCGGACGTTGAGGACGCACTGCTGAAGTGGTTCGCTGACGCCCGGTCTCGCAACGTTCCGATCAGTGGACCGCTGATGCTCTCCAAGGCTAAAGACTTCGCCTTCCTTTTGGACTTTCCCGATTTCAGCCCAGGCAATGGATGGCTCCACCGGTTTAAGGCTCGCCACGGAATTGTTTTCAAGGCGGTCGTCGGCGAGGCCGCGTCTGTGAACAACGAGGACGTCGATGCATGGCTTTTCGACAACCTCCCAACAATTGCGAGCTATGCTCCACGGGACGTTTACAATGCCGACGAGACTGCGTTGTTTTATCAGATGTTGCCATCTAAAACGCATGCCTTGAAAGGCGACAAGTGCGCGGGAGGTAAGAACAGCAAGTTGCGGATAACCGTTCTTCTCTGTGCCAATATGGACGGCAGTGACCGGCGGCTACCTTTTGTTATTGGCAAGTCACGTAAGCCGCGATGCTTTGGAAGCTACGTGCCCGTACGCTACAGGAACAATACGAAAGCCTGGATGAGCCGCGACTTATTTGCCGAGTGGCTTGTCGAGTTTGACCGCGACATGGCACGAAAAAACAGGAAGGTCCTGCTCGTGCTAGATAACTGTGCGGCGCACCATGTGCAGCTTTCCTTGAGTGCGGTGACAGTACTCTTCTTGCCTCCCAATGCAACCTGCAAAATTCAGCCCCTGGATATGGGCATTATTCATGCGTTCAAGGTGTGCTACCGGCGGCGCGTCATCCAACGCTTGTTGATCGCAATTGATCGGCCAGATGCCGCCATGCCGGTTCGCATCAGCTTGCTTGCCGCCGTGGAGATGTTGAAGGCGGCGTGGATGGAACTCACCGCGGAGTGCATAGCAAATTGCTTCCGCAAGGCGGGTTTTATGGGCCCAGGCACCGAGGACGCCATAGATCACCCACAGGAAGGCCGGTCGCACGAGGACTTGTGGCAACGCGTCGTTGACACGCAGCTGGCCGGACCTGACGTTGCCTGGGACGATTTCGTTTCTGCTGATGACGACGCCGACATCGCGGAGCCGTGCACTGACGAAGCTATTGTGCGTGAAGTGCGAGCCCTTCCCGACTGCCCAGAGACCGACGATGACGAGGATGCTGCTCTACCGCCGGTTGCTGTGAACGCTTCAACCGCGATCGGTTACATCGCGTCGCTTAAGGAACTCGTGTGCAGCAGAGGTCTTGGTGATGAACATATTACCGCGCTGGAAAAATTAGAAACGGCAGTGATGCGATCAGCTTTGAAGAAGCAGACTTGCATCATGGACTTTTTTCAAAAATAAAGTTAACTTTCTTCTCGCTTGCTCTTTTTGCCTGTATTATAGGTGGTCCACTTACTACGAACTTTGGATACAACGAACAAATGCCGCGTGGCGATCAAGTTCGTTATAAGTGGGCTCGACTGTAGACTGTCTACTACTGGAGTGTTTGATCATGGTAGTTTTAGCAGTCCAGGACATTTTCACAAACATGAGGCAAAATTATACCATTCCCTAAACCATCGTCAAACGTGATTTCTAGGGAACCCCCCGAAGCTCCTAGGAATAGTTTGAGAACCCGTGCTCTATCGCAAAGTCAGTCTTTTTCGAAAAATATCTGCACCACATTTTTACTATGTAAACATCCTAAAATGACTATACTAGTATTACAGGCATACTTCCCCCCTGGTTCATTATATACATACATTTGTCATATCAGTCTCTGCAACAGAAAGGCTGTATCGCATATTATAGCAGCAGCTTGTTCTTTACGTCTCCCAAAAGCATTAAAATATGGCACGATAGACTTGCCATTTTCCGCTATTCTTTGGGGAAAAATGGAGTGGAACCTAATTTTGATGAAAGTTTTCTTTCTTTTTGTTATTTGATCCCCAATTGACCAGGAGGTTAGTCAGAGTCTAAGGACTTGGTATCTGACGAGGTCTCTCCCATTACAGTTACAGCTAGAGGCACCTGACATTATGTCTAGCACAAAAACTCTCGTGCATAAAAAAAAAAAAAAAATTGTATAACTATGCAAAAAAAAAGTTTTTTTTTTTTACACTTATAAATAGGGTCAAAGAATAAAAAAAAACAGCCCCACATGTGGAAACATAAATATCAAGAAAACATAACTCATACAAAATAAAGATAGGAAAGCAATGTTCAAAATGCAAGTTTCAGGGGAAAAAAAATAAAGGCCCGTTCACACTCTTGCGACCAACTTCGACCGAGAGAGACCAGACCGGTTTTTAAGCTTTTTGCGACTTCTTAGGACCGGATGCGATGCAGCGGAGCTGGACTTAAGAAGTCGCAAGAGGCTTAAAAACCGGTCTCGTCTCTCTCGGTCGAAATCGGTCGCAAGAGTGTGAACGGGCCTTTAATAAAACTGGTTTTACTCATAAGCAAAAAACCCTAGTGATAAGATATTAGCAAAAATTACTGACTTTGGTGAGCAGTGTCAACATATACCAAGGTCAAGGTAGAAGCGTAGCAGTCCCATTCCTAAGTGGCAACCTACTATGAGCACCTTGCATACAACTTGTAGGCAAAGTAGTACGGTGCATTTGCGTCGCACCAAGGCAAAACCACCAACTCTACCAACTCACCATCTTGAAGTAGCCAAAGTTTCCAAGCTTGTCCCCCGCAAAGACGACGGTCACCGAAGACGACGGGTGAACGGCGAGAGCGGTGATGCGGGCAGGGACGACCTTCTTGATCGTCGTGTCGTCTATGGCCAGTCGGGTAAACGCGTCGAGGCACCTGCAGAACCGTTTGGGGAGTCGTTATATTGCTTCACCTCATGAAATGCTGCAGCAAAAGTTTCAGTTGCCCCAGATCTGTAAGAACCAGTCCGCACATTTGCCTTGAGCGCACTCAAGTGCGTTGCGTTTCCTTGTAACTGCTGGCGCCATCTATCGAGTAGTTCTGGAACACTTTCAGCCTGCGTATAGAATTCTTTGTAACTTTTTCTAAGCATCATTCTTTTACCCTGGGCTTCAAATAATCCTGACAATGCTGTAGATGACCACTTCCCATAGATACTGCAACGGTTTCACCTCGCAAATACTGTGCAAAATCTTCGGTCTAGTTATATGCAATTACAGGGCTGCTTGATAGATGGCGCTAGTGTGCTCTCATCGTAAGCAGTTACAATGGAATGCGATGCACTAAAGCTTACTCAAACACAAATCTGTAAACCAGCCTTAAGCCAGATTACTTCAGCCAATTATGTATATGACCAATTTCTGGGCACATCGGTACTTTCGCCCAATGTTGTAGTACAAGACATTTCGTTTGAATTGCATGCTAGAAACATACTTTTTGCATAAGGCTCGTCAAACTATCAGGCACTGGATAAAATCAGCCACATGCATTAAGTGCTTATTTCAAACTCTTTATGTTCACGTTTCGCCCATTAAAAAGCATGGCGAAAGAGCCCAAGTACGCTCCTGATTATGCCACTCCACCTGCCATCTCCTTCCACACGATTAATTTCGTCTGCTGTGGTAGGCATTACCATGGCAACAAAGCATCTTCTTTATGAAGGAACATGCAAACCAGCATCTGAAGCCAGAAATGGCAGATGCCATCTTTACAATGTTATCTGTCAAATATGAACGTGGCAACACTAGCCAAAAGAGGACGCGCTGTTGTGGACATTGACGCCGACAGCAGAAAGTAGTTTCCTGGCGAACCCTTGGTTTTTCCGACAAGGTTTTTTTATTTATTTATTTATTGCGTATACCCTCAGGGCCCTGGGCATTAAAGAGGGGAGTGGTTACAAAAAAGCTTGGTAACCACTTGGGCTCGAGATTATTATAAAGTTTCACCGAGCGAAGTGAGGGGTTGCCGTGCATAGCGCGGACTGTTGACAGCCCAGCTTGGAGCCCAAGCTAGCATTGCCGCATTGGTAGCTAGTTGGCTTCAGACGCTGCGTTTGCAGGCGCAACTATTGACGTTCGATGACCATAGCAAACGTCCTTTATTGTGCGGAAGGAGACGGTGGTAAGGCGGGATCAGGGGAGTACTCGGGCTCTTTCGCCATGCTTTTCAATGGGTGGAATGTGAACAAAAAGAGTTCAAGACAAGGACTTATTGCAGATGGCTGATTTTCTCCAGCACCTAATATTTTTAAGAACCTTACAAAGAAAGCATGTTTTTTGGACGTCCGATGGCTGGTTTTTTTCCCCCGGAACATGGGATTAAAGTATCGAACTGCCAATTTTTGTATGGAGACCTTGTTAAGTAGTCTTCACGCGTGGGGTTCCGTCTGTTATAATTATTATCCCACAGTGGCTCATTTGTGCACCTACATTTAGTTAATTAATTATTGAAATTTTTCAGTTACTTTTTTTTCCTTTAACTAGGACTAAGAAGGCAATCCGATTGCTTTTTAGATAACTCTACTGGTCTACTACTAACAAAGGATAGGTAGGTTGGTGTGGCATCCACAATCAGAGATAAAAGAATTTGGTACATTTTTAAGAACCTACTTTAAAAAAAAAAACATAAACGAGACCCAGAAATAGGGGTAGTCTTGCATATAAGCAACGAAAATTCAGCAAATACAGCAAAATCATGTATTGCATTTCTTAATAGATGTATCCAAAGAGGACAATAAGGCACAGTGATTATGTGAAATAGCCGAGTACTAACCTGGGGGAAAAAAACTGTACCTTTGACGTACAGTTTTCAGAGTACAGAAGCATTATAGCAGAGCCCTGCACATTTGCGGATTACCCAGGGATTATCCACGAATATTCGTAGTTAACTGGCAGGTGCGGATAAAAATGAACCAGATTTGGCTGAGTGCGGATCAGAAGCGGATGCCAGGGGCTGCAGATGCGGATCAGATAAGGATATCCGCGGGTCCAGATCTACACTTCTCCTGAGGTGGCCCGCAGAGTGTAGAGTGAACAAGTGAGTAATACTATGAAGTGCAGGGGTTCTCAAACATTTACAGCAGAGCTGTTAAGAGCTAGTGTCCCCAGAATCGTGTCCGTCCTCAAATGGCCTGATGACACAGAACTCTGGACAGCTACCGCCACCTATGAGCGACGGCGACAACCAGGCAACCGGCTTGCCAGCTGTCTGGTTGATGCCGTCGCTCATAGATGGCGCAACCTTCCGAGCCCTTCCGTTCTGGCTTGCTGACTTGCGGCCGGCCATTACTTCATTCCAACCATAGTACAGCTTTACTGATCTTCCTTCTTCCCCAGATTGGAAAGGCTGAAAGTTTTTTTTTTTGCCCCAAAGAACCTCAGCAAGCCTCAAAAAGTCTCAAAGAACCCCCTTGTTGCTAACCAATAATACTGGGCAATAAAGGTGTTCAGATAATGAACAAGAGTTTACTATCTAAACACCTTCCATCTTGTCACAAGAACAAGATGGAAGTAATAGTATGTCTTTGTTTCAATAAACCTTCATTTTAGTGCACTTTTTCTTGTCTAATTCCTTGTCCCTGCTTATTAGGCGCTTTTCGTTTAGCATGTGCGACTATTTGTACCAAAGTGATGTACAAAAACATGCTCCCCTCTTACGGAGACAGCTCAAATGCTCTCTACTTAATACACCCCCATTGGTTTCAAAAGACTACAAAATTTTCGTTAAGTGTTACTCAGTTTTAAAAGAGATGCCTATGCGGACTCTTTGGGGATATGACAATCAATTTGATAAAAAGGAGTTATAGACATGAGGGTGGGGAACTGATATCGCAGATCGCAGAAGTATATCAGATACAAATTCCATGGTGCGACAATACATGCGGGAACCAGCCCAGAGTCCGCTGTCATGAGTACCGATGCCGCAGATCACGCAGTTGATGGGATTCCCGCCAAACATTGCGTCATGTCCGAAAGAAATCAAAGGTGGCCGACGTTTCGGAATTTTTAACCTACCGTAATATCCCAAGTCATTGCCCATCCCAATTTTTGGGCAAATATTGATTTAGAAAAAAACCGAGTGATTGCCCAAACTTACAAATCCCACAACACGGACTCAACGATCCGTGAACATTCATCCCACCCGAATAACATGGCCACGAACCTTACGGTTGGAGGACGTCCATGACAAAGTAAAAGAAGCAGGGAAAGACACTTCACTTGTTTACGCATTTCCACCCCGATTTCTGCGACCCCAAAGTCGGAGTGTGCACAAAAGAAGAAAGATGGCAATAACAAAATGAAACATTGTCTTGCTTACGAAAAAAGTTAGTTCAAACAAAAAGAAAAGTCGGAGAGATAACACAAGGAGTAACCCGTTTAGGGATCGCGAGGTTGGCGAACACCTCATATCCTTGAATGTACCCGTGGAACATAAGGTCAAAGTCCATCTGCCCCGAAATAAGGTCAACGCGAACTCGCTCCTTTTCCCGGTGCATCGCAACCGTGATTGGTAAGGTTGTGCAATGTTTGAGACAAAGCCAACGGGTAAATAAATATTTGCTGGAATGCCGCACACAGACGTTTGTAAAGCCTACCATTTCGAGCTCCGTGTCCGTGGTGTTGTGCCTAGGGATGCCGCGAACCACCCTAGGTTCGAATTCGAAAGGATTCAATATTTTCGAACCGAACTGATGTTCGATTTCGAAAAGTTTCGATATTTTCGACCGTAGGGAGGTTCGAATTCGAAATATTCGCAACTTTTCAAAATCGTAGGGTTTCGAATTCGAAAAGTTCGTAGCTTTCACGGTTTCTGAAAGTTCGGGTTCGATTATTTCGAATATTTGTTTACTTGAGGTTCGATAAAGTTCGAAGATTTCAAACTTTTCTAATTTGAAATTCGAGATTCGAATGTTTCGATTTCTTTGGATCTAAAATTCGAAAAATTCAAACGTTTCGAATTTTTAAAGACATGAAGTTCGATAAATTCGAAGATTTCGAATTTCTTTCTACATAAAGTTAGAAAAGTTCGAAGGTTTCGATTCTCTTTTAATGCTAAAATCAAAAAAAAAAAAAAAAAACTTTGAAGGTTTTTGATTTTTTTTAAGTCCAAGTGCACAAAGTTCAAAGTCCGGTTTTCACGTTCCGCCACAGTTTCAGCTTCAAATAACGTATTCACGCCTCACTGGTTTTCACGAAATCAGGTTTAGAAAAGTTCGGGTGTGATATTTAGACTGCGCAAAGTTGGTCAGGCAATTAAATGAGACGACGAGCGCCCCAGATGTGCTGGAATATTTGCCAGTGCAGTGACGTGTAACAATAGAGCAGTAATTGTGACCGCCAGCCCGGGGTGGTCATTTACGTGCATTACGAAGTAGTGATCCTACGAACGCACTGTTTAACGATACTCATCCAGTTCGGAACGGCCAGGGGCAGGCAGGCGGTTGAGGTTCAGAAAAACCTTGAAGTGATCTGGCAAACTGCCCCCCTACCCCATTGCACGCTGGTAGTAATCCGATCGAACGCCGCCCGAGTGACGCTGGCATATAGTAAGTTTAGTTTGTACATGATACAAAATCCTGAGACTGGGAATGAAATTTGAAAGAAAAAGTGTAAGAAGACAGAAAAAAGGGGACAGGACAACATCTCAAACTCAACTCAGCTGAAAACTCAGCTCAGGACAACGTCTCAAACTCAACTCAGCTGAGTTTCAGACGTTGCCCTGTCCCCTTTTTTTCTTTCTCCTTACACTATTTCTTACGAATTTCATTCCCAGTCTCGGGATTTTGCATCATGATCAACATACACCAGCCCCCGCCTGCACCTTGACCATTTTTTTTTTTTTTTTTGTCATTGCTTTGGAGGTTTATTTTCTGGGGCGGAAGAAACGCCGAGCAAAAAGCACAGAAGCTGACGCAACTTGAGGTCGAGGAGCGTTTTATTATACCAGTGGTGTCGGAAGTAGAAAAACGGTGGGGGAAGGGGGGGGGGGGAGAAGGGGGGGAGCTCCAGTCTCTCCCCCCCCCCCCCTCCCAGATATTTCGGACTGTTAAAGAAAACGATACGGGGAAAGAGGGCATGGTCGAGCTTATTTTAATCTGAAATTAATGCATATGTATAGCTACTGTGGCTCTTCACTGCATAAAAGATCGCTTAGATGGGGCCGGTTCTCACATGCAGCGAAGCGCTGATGTAACGCTGCTCACGTGCCGTCAGGTACTTATCGTATGCCATGAGCAACAGTTTTGACGGTGCGATACAAAGCTGGTGAACGCTCCCGTCGGCGCGTGCTTAGCACGGGGTCAGCGCTATGCTTGTAGCACTCCGCTGCATGTGTGAGCAAGCCTTTAGAAACTAGTTGTCAGGAGGCACTACTCGTCACATGCTCGGTGGCTCGAAAGTTCAAAGCTATGTCTTTTCGACCTAAATAGCTGTGCCATTGGTAAAAAATAATCAATAAATAAACATAACAATAAATGCAAAAATAAAAAGCTGGAGAGAAAAAAAAGCGCTCAAGAACCCGCCGGAAGTGTTGTATTCTTGCATATTAAGAGGCCCAGAACTATGAAACAAGTTTCTCCTACCAAAATGTGTACAGGCCAAAAGAAACACGTCCCAAGAACGTAAAATGAGAAAAAAAAAAATTTTTTATGACGTGCTGAATTTTACCAAATTTAGAAATCTTCCCCCATGAGTTAATTTATTCCTCAGCGTGAAAAAAAAAACAAACAATAAATACATTATTTTGTATTCTGCAGAGGGTAATGATATGTACTGTCTCTGGTGTTAATTTAAATGCGATACCAAAACAATGTAGGCGAAAAAAATTACCAAGTTTAGGGCATAATTGTCCGTAGGTACATGTTTGGATATTTATTCCAAACTCGTCTTGAACAACAATAATCATATCTTAAGACGACACTCACCTAAGCTATATACAGATCATTCTTAAAAAGTTTAACATCTCTACCATTAATAGCTTCGGCTAGGGTGCCTCAATGTCCTTCTGTTTAAGGTGATGCCATCGTTTGTAGTACCCGATGCAGACAGCACGCGCTCACAGGCAAAATACAAAGAAATCGAGGAAACTAAATGTCGCCGTAGCACAGTCAGCGTCACGAGCACGTGCAGGGACACGCTCTTTCACGCGCTTCAGAACAAAAAATAAAAATAAGCGTTCGAAACAAAATGGCCAGATGTCATCACCCCAAGCAAAGCGCACATGAAGGCACCCTAGCTTCGGCTATTGCGCGCTTCAATTATGGCACAAATGACAATTGTCAAAAACCCGTCGTCCTTCCTCGCTCCTCGGGAATCTTTTTTTCTAAAACCAAGCATGCCAGGTGATTGAAATGAACGGCATTGTCTTTCGCAAGGAATGCGTCACCCCATGTAAAATTGAGAAAAAAAAATTACGAATGTACCTCGCTGCTTGAATCCAAATGAAACCGCCCGCCGGTCTTTCGAAGTTCGACGAGCTTCGAACTTTTACCCAAAAAGTTCGAAGTTCGTCGAACTTTTGACCTTTCAGGAATCGAGAGTCCGACAATTTTCAAAATCTTTAGATTAATAAGGTCCAAAGTTCGAAAATTATCGAATTTCTTAGCGTAGGAAGTTCGCAAGTTCGAAAAGCTTCGAACTTTGTAGTGCAATAAGTTCGAAAGTTCGAAAGTTCGAAAATGATCGAATTTTTTAGTTTATCAAATTCGAAAGTTCGACAAGCATCGAATTTTGCAGCGTAATAAGTTCGAAAATTCGAAAAGCGTCGAACTTCCTAGTGTAACAAGTTTGAAAATTCGACTTCCGTCGAATTTCTCAACATGGAAAGTTCGAAAATCCGAAATCTTTCGAACCTTTCGAACCGCTTGATTCGATCATCGAAACTTCGATTCGAAAAAAGTTAGCGGCATCCCCAGTTGTGCCCAGTCCACGCCACGCAACAACGCCGCTTCAACCCGCGTTGATAGCAAGCCACGCGCGGATGCACGCATGAATGCACTAAACAAGGAAGTTGCACAAGAGTCTGCTCCTTGTGATTGACAAGGCACCCAACTTGGCCTGATGCCAAAGTATTTGCCAACGTGATCGCCAGCTTTCCAGCTTCCCCAGCATTGCCCTTTGACCATTCTTTCGTCTGCTTTTTTTTTTTTTTTCTTTTCTACTAACGAAGCGAACATGGTGGTGCTAGAAATGTGCTTTCCTGGAATGAACATTTGCGTTGTATGCCGATCAGTGGTGTTTGTGGACTTTGCGATAGTAAAACGTTTTTTCATGACCATGTTTTGCATAAAACAATGAAACTAATTCGAATTTTGAGTTTAATGTACCGTAATTACCCGATTCTAACGCGCACCCTTTTTCCGGAAAAATAGGCCAAAAAATCGCATGCGCGTTAGAATCGGATACGAAACCGAAACTATCAAAACAGCGGGAAATTTTGTTCCACCTATCGCCATCGCCATCTCAAGATGGCGCCGAAGCTTTTTGCCATCTTTCCTCCGTGCTTTTAGCAACCATTTCGTTCCTTCTTTGTTCCTTCTGCGTCACAGCTGCAGCCACTCGACGTGTGCCTCAATAAGCCAGTGAAAGATCGCGTTCGTCTGCTGTACAACGAGTGGCTGACGAGCGGCTCCCACTCGTTCACGACGAGCGGTTGGCTGAAGCGTGCGCCTCTCGAGACGCTCGCGGGATGGGCGCGCGAGGCTTGGGCCACGATCCCTTCGGCCATGGTTGAACGCTCGTTTAAGAAGTGTGGCATAGCGAACGCGCTTGACGGCACCGAGGACGACATGTTGTGGTCAGCGGAGAGCGACAAAGAGCTCTCGGAGAGCGACGAGGAGGGAGATGAGTGACTACTTCGGTAAATAAATCGCCTGTTTCTCTCGCATTCGTTGTTCTTGATCACGAAGTTCTGTGCGCGTTACAATCGGAGGTGAAAGTTTTTCTGGTTTGTTGGCCTGGAAAAACGGGTGCGCGTTAGAATCGGGGGCGCGTTAGAATCGGGTAATTACGGTATCTCTTGTGCAGTCGCTCTAAATAGGTTCAGAAAAATGGGTGTTTTTCTAGCTTTTTCTAAACTTTTTGTGCTTACCCACGAAAACATGGCCCTTCGCACCTTTTTTATGAACTTTAGGTGGCAGGGAGGAGGGCGACGACTCGGAATATTACAGTATGCATATTTAGTGAGGAAAAGGGGATGGGCCATCTCTTGGTGGAGGGCGTTACATGAGATGCTACCGTAGAAAGGCGACCACAGAAAATGGAGAGATTCACAGAGAAACTTAAGCTCACCCTTGGGAATCTCTCGGCTTGTTCTGGAACGAAACCTCAGACAGCATTTCCCTCATGGCAGGCTCAGTGAGGAAGCATTTTTCACTGTCTGGGCTTCCACTCACGAAAACTGCACCAATGTCGAAGGGACCTTCTCGCTTCACAACCTCCGGCACCTGCTCCTCTTCCTGAAACAATTCTTTTTTTTATATTATTAAGCGCAAAATTTTATGCTGCAATTTTATGTCTACTGTAATCAATGGTGGCCATAAAATTGGTTGTCAAATTCAAAATACAAATTTGAATTGGTGAGGGTCGTTCATTGAAACCCTGAAGGGCAACCTCTGGTTGGAAAGGGTACCTCCTATCCTCGAGTAAACGATTGTTCACACACTTGTGACTGCTTGGGAAGAAGTGCATTATGAACTCTTGTGGTCTCTTACAACAAGAAACCAGACTGGCGTCACCTATTAAGTGGCCGTGGAACACTTGGGATTTCTGCAATTTGCTTTTTTTTTTTTATGCATCCTTTTTTCACAATTGGCTCAAAAAGCTTTCGTCAATGTTTCAACGACCCTTTCTCATTGATAGCACATACAATAGATCTTGCAAATGATAAAAAAAATCTTTTGTTCTAGTGAAACGCAGTTCGAGGACCACACCATAGATGGCACCGCGTGCCTGTGTTTTTTTCTCGTAGCAAGCTATCGCAAGAGGTTGTAGGTAGTCGCAAGTGTATGAACTGGCTTCAAAAGGGCACTCAAGTGGATTCCAAGACTGTATATTTGTGGCGATGACTCTATCTGCAGGCTGTAAGCATCCAAAAAAAAAAGCCCCAAAATTACCGTCGTAGGTGGCTGTTTTCTGTATTTAAATATAGTCAAAGGTTCTGTGCCTCAGAGCAGACATCAAGGAATGACAGCGGATGGCATTTCCAAACAATAATTGCTGCATTACGTCTCCTACACCCAAAGATTTTATGTTCTTTTGTCAAAATACAACGCATGATACGCCTAAAAGGAGCAATAATTGTAGCGTTCAAAATCACTTTTGCAATTAACTATTTTCATTGGTCAAATTTCACGGAGGTGGTGGGGACCCGAGGCTGGTCCCCCCAAGAGAAAATAGTGTCTGTCTTTTTCTATTGTTCGGAGTTCACTAGAACGTCTCGCCATCTATAACCGGTAATTTTTATTGACTAAAGCCCAACAAAAGTATATGCCACCAAAAACAAGCTTCTGCAAAAAGCACTCAAGTGCTCCTTTCAGACTCTTACTCTCCAATAGACTTCTGCAAATGTTTTTTTTTTTATTTTTTACCCCGAAGTTTGTATTAACCCTTTAAGAACTTTGGACGAGCCTAGATCATCAGGCTGGAGCCATCCCCAAACCGTTCAAGACGAGGATAGCTTGTCTGCTTTCCCCGGTTCACATACTCAACTATTTTGGATAAACCAGGCTCACTCATGGCTTAGTTTGAGGCTCTCCCAACAAATAGCAGCACCAATCATTTTTTACAGCAAAGCTGTTAAGGGCTAGTTTCCCCAGTATCGTGTCCATCAGCAAACAAATGATGACACGAAACTCTGGACAGCTACTGCCATCTATAAGCGACGGCGGTAACCAGGCAACCGGCATGCTGCCATCGCTCATAGATGGCAACAACCTTTCCAGCCTTTTCACCCTGGCTTGCCAACTTGCGGCCAGCCATTGCTTCATTCCCACCATAGCACAGCTTCGCTGGTCTTCCTTCCTGACCAAAGTGGAAAGGCTGAAAGTTTTTTTTCTTCTTTTTCTTGTAGCTAGAAATTTGATTTTGCAGGCAACAAATTTAATGTTGAAGACAACAATTAGGCAGTTGAAGGTCATAAATTCCCAAAATCTAAAAAATGGTGAACAGGTTAAAAAGGGCTCGTTTCTTCAAGGGCAACTCCGCTCAATTCTGAAAATTCCGGGATAATGAGAGATTTCATATTAGAAAGCACTAGTAAAAGATACTACAGTCAAGCCAGGTTATATCACACCCGGTTATTTCGAATTATTGTTTTTATCGAACAGGCCAAACATCCCCTTGAAAATCAATTTAATAGTAGCGATCTCCCACGGCCCGACACTCCATATAGCGAACTAAAACGGCCAAGGTTGCTTCTCCAGCGGTGGTGGGATTGTGCTGGCTGGCCGCGAGCACATAGCTCGTGTTGCAGGGCTGGCAGATGGCCAAGCCAGCATACGAGCATGGGCGCATGGGGATACGCAGCGAAAGAGCAGTTGTAAAAACAAAGCCCAGCAACCGTAAAGAAAACAAAAGTGGAGGATAGCAAAAGCAAAAAGAAGGGCAGCGCGCGCACACACACGCCTAGGGAGGGCAGGGAATGCCCGCTATTGGGTAGCGTGCGCTCTTTCCCCGAACACCCTTGTCTAGTCGCTGCGCGACTCCTTAGCCTTAAAATAAAATAAGCAAAGAAAAAATTTTTTTTTTATAAGTTGAGTGCGAGTGCTTTGACAACGGCTGAGCAACTGCACTTTGAACACCTGTGTTCACCTTTTTCTTTCGCCAGTTTTTGCTTTGCCAATTTTTTTCTTTTTTTGCTGCCTGAATTTAGTGAGGTTTCTTTTTTGTTGCTTGCTTAACTTTATTCTATGGATGGAGTGGCCGGCTTTTTCAGTTTTCTCTCATTTTTTTAAAGATTATTTTTGTGTTTTGTTGCCGGCACTGTGTGAAAGTCAAACACCGTCGCATAAACACGGAGGTGTCTGTGATCTTCACAAACTAAGCTCTACTGTATTTAGCGGCTTTTAGAGGCCCTATTTGGAAAGGTTCCGTTCGTCGCAGCCTTCGTTATTAGCAGAGACGCGCGGAAATTTCAACTGGGAGCTTAAGTTGACATATTTCTGTACATCAAATTATCAATATATTGTTAGGAAGGTGAAGACGACGACGGGGCAGTGGCGCGCACGACCATCTCGCGCCAGGCCCCACTAGCCGGCTCGGCCTCCATAAATCCTTTGTCTCTTCTATCATCGTGTACTGTCCTGTCCTTTCTGCTGCCGACAGCATCACCCTAACAGTATGGTGGAGGTGCGGAGCCATCCTCATCTCCTTCATTGAACATCGGCGTCGCTGTGATCCTATGAACCCGCCTCGTTGAGGCAGTCATCCGCAGCAGCAGACCAAGCACCAGCCCATGGCTCCGTCGCCCAGCCCCCGCCCAGACGCCATGACAAGCCGAATCGGACGAAGCCGCATCAGACGAAGCCGACAGACGATCCCCCGCCCCTATCCCCAGCCCCCGACGCTCCGACGCTTCTGAGTGACGTGAGTCCCCCAGCCCGGACCGTGCCGTCGTGTGGCTGGTGCAGAGGTCTGTGACGCTGCGGAAGAGGCCGAAATTCAACGTTTCCATCTTCATCCTCACCCTCGCTGTCGGCAGCTGTCCTTTGTTCTTCTGTGTGTGTGGCTTTGTCAGTGTGCTTCATGTGTTCATTTATTCACCGGCCGGGTCGGCCGTTTTCGTCGGAGGGAGTGCTGTTAGGAAGGTGAAGACGACGACGGGGCAGTGGCGCGCACGACCATCTCGCGCCAGGCCCCACTAGCCGGCTCGGCCTCCATAAATCCTTTGTCTCTTCTATCATCGTGTACTGTCCTGTCCTTTCTGCTGCCGACAGCATCACCCTAACAATATCAAACTGTTTTACGATCCCCTTTAAATTCGATGTATCCGGGTTTGACTGTACATCCTTTGCTTTGCAAAAAAAAATGAAAGCCGCTTACAACTCCCTGTAACGCCGAATTAGAGCGCAGCTCTTGAGGAGGAGGAGGGAAGGGCACTGGGGGGGGGGGTTAAACTAACCAGTGGGGGGTCACGTTACCTTGGGGGTCACATGACCCCCAATGCCGATGATGTCATCACTGACGTCACTGATGACGTCATCAGTGACGATGACGATGCGGGTACCGATGGCGTCATTAGTGACGTCACTGATGACTTCACCAGTGATGATGACGATGACGATGCGAATGTCGGTGACGTCATCAGTGACGTCGCTGATGACGTCATCAGTGATGATGACGATGACGATGCGGATGCCGGTGACGACATCAGTGACGTCACTGATGACGTCATCAGTGATGATGACGATGACAATGCGGATGTCGGTGACGTCATCAGTGACGATGACGATGTGGATGCCGGTGACGTCATCAGTGATGATGACGATGACGATGTGGATGCCGGTGACGTCATCAGTGATGATGACGATGACGATGTGGATGCCGGTGACGTCATAAGTGATGATGACGATGACGATGCGGATGCCGGTGACGTCATCAGTGATGATGACGATGACGATGTGGATGCCGGTGACGTCATCAGTGATGATGACGATGACGATGTGGATGCCGGTGACGTCATCAGTGATGATGACGATGACGATGCGGATGCCGGTGACGTCATCAGTGATGACGATGACGATGTGGATGCCGGTGACGTCATCAGTGATGATGACGATGACGATGTGGATGCCGGTGACGTCATCAGTGATGATGACGATGACGATGTGGATGCCGGTGACGTCATCAGTGACAATGACGTCATCGGGGGGTCACGCGACATCGGCGGGGGTCACGTGACCTCGAGGAGGGGGCCACGTGACCTCAGGGGAGTCACGTGACTTCGGGGGGTCACGTGACCCCCCACAAGGTCACGTGACCTTGGTGGGGGGCTCGCGCGGTGCATTATGGGACATTTCCCATGATGCACCGCGCAATTACGCCGACGCCGACGGCGACGGCGACGCCGACGGCGACGCCGCTCAAGCCGGAAACGGGCCCCTAAGAGCTGCGCTCTAAAATGGGATACATTGTTAAGTCTTACTTTAAACATTAGCAGAAATTAAAAACCGAAACTTCAGCTCCACCTGGCAAACATTGGCCTCGGGACGCCGAAAACATGGCTATCACGGGGGACAAGATATCACGTGATCCTCTACGCAACGACGGGCGGGACCGAGGTGGGCCGGCAAGCCAACGTTGGGGCAGGCATGTGCCAGGCACAAGTGTCGTCTGCACTGCACTCTTTACCACGTTTTGGTGCCTACGATATTCGACGACGTCTACAAAACCGCGCCACAGTCTGCGCAAGTAGTGTGAACAATACTTCTAGACAATGATCATAAACAGTGAGACGACGATGACAGTTGTGACGTGGGAGAGGGCAATAACGGCCAGACGGCCCCCAAGAAGTGCGCTGCGCAGGCACGGTACGCCAATCATGTGGACATCGCTTATAGGTTTCGATTATACCAAACCATTTATAGGTTTTGATTATACATGGATTTTTTTATTGTTCATTTAGACATGACGAATTATACAAGTGACAAAGTATGTTGATGATAAGTTATGTACGACACAAGCTTTTCTGTAAAATAATAGAACAGGCATTTGACGAGCCGTGCTGTGGATAAGAACTTTTTACTTTATTGCGCACCAAGTGTGCACTATAAAAAAAAAAACTTTTTCCAACTAAAATGTTTTTTGTGGTCCATCCACTGGGTGTTGACTATAGTCTGGAAAATATGTTACTGTCAAAATAAGGTGGTAAAAAAGTGGTCCTTCAATTTGGCGTACACTTGCAGACAAAAGAATAGAATCTTGGACACGTCAACACACTTTCTTCACTCACACTAGCACAAGTGGGTGTCAGAACGCAAAACGTGTGTGCACAAGTGTTGATAAACACATCAAAGAAAACACAAATGGACAATGTGAACAACAGACGTTAGAAAAGCAGAGATCACCAAGCACAGGTTATCGGACCGGTCGTATTGGTTGAGGGAAAGAATGCAGTTTTGTTATTCTCTCAATATGCAGGGCAGAAAGTGTGTGCACCAGGTTGTGAAGAGGTGCCACCGTTACATGGATCAATTTTTTTAGGGATGTACTCTTAAAAGGCTTAACCATATTTATTTTTTAATCTTTTTATAACAGAGAGAAGTTAACTGTTGAAATTAAAAGATTTGGGAAGGTGGCACATGCCACCACTTAACTAAAAAGATTGAGCTGTACCCATCCATCCATTTAACTAATTGCTTGTGGGTACCACTAGGTGGTGCAACCCACCACCCAATTCTGAAGGTTCGGCCATATTCATCTATCCAACAAACCAGCACTTTCAAGTTTCTTTCATCTGTGACTGTAAACAGTGAATCCGGTACCTTCTTTGGCAGAACCTCAGGGCCCTTGTTCTGAAGCCGTTGGCTCTTCCTCCGCTCAGTCGGCAAGGGCTTTGCTGAGGCAGGTTTTCTGAATAACAAAGAAAAGACAGTTGTACCATGTAAGTCAAATGGATCATTGACCTTATGAAGAAAGGGCATAAATCGGTTCCTCAATGCATTGCGCTAAGATTCTGCACAGAGGTGGCTGAAGATGATGCATGTTGCGCAACAAAATTTGAAAGCATTAACTTATCTAAATAAAGAGTTAAAAAATTAAGAACCTAGTTTCACTCAATACAGCATCCATCTGCTAACATCAGGGATCTGCCACAACAGGCGATGGATGGAGGCAGGTAAGACTGAGAGCACATGTCTCTAAGGGCAGAGGTACTGATTTTTGACACAAGAAAATACTTTGTTATTTCTGCTAATAAAACAAGCTGAATGGACAAAAAAACCAGCAAGAATGACGCTTTGTCAGGCTATTTTGGTTATATGCCATCAGTGGCCGCTATCTCTTGGCTGCTGCACCAGCCAGACATCTTTCATTTGCAGACAGTCGACGTAAGTAGCAAATTCACTCCGAATTTTTTACTGTTTACTAAAGCAAGTTCATTCTTTGAAATTTTGATACACAGAATGCATAGTCTTTGGCCACCCCTGTACAAACTCTCAGCGCAACGTGTTAAAGGGGTTGGGACACGAAAATTAAATGAGTAGATTATTCTTGAAGTGAAATGGTTATAGGCTGCTTAGTTATATACACCAAGTTTTGCGATTTTAGACCTCTAGTATTTGCAATAATCAAGTTACAAATGTCTATCAATTACATCTGACGACTGGCAAAACTGCCTAAATTAGTCACACCATGCTGCCCGTAAACTATGCGACCGTCATATTTAGCTGAACGCTCTCTCCATCTAGGTGCCCCCCTGCTCACCTCGCCAAGGTACGATCGCACTCACGCTGCTCGGCTACTCCAAAGCTACTTTTGCTTTCACTCCCTTGCCCTTTGACCTTCTAACTTGCATGCACGGGCAAGATCGTCGCGGATGATGGCGAGTTCGTTCGTGACGGTCTCACCGTCGTCCCTGGAGCTGGTTGCCAGCGGGTCGAAGATAACAATCACTCTCACCGCTGCGGCGATCAGTGTTGAAGGTTCCGACGAAGCGAGCAATGCCGTAGACGACATTGCCTCCAAACTGCGTGTAAGACGCGGAAGGCAAACGAGGAAGCTGAAGCGCGAGACGCTGAGAGAGCCGAGTCTGTGAGTGCGTGCCAGGGGACGCTGCACGTTAGGCAAATGATTTCACCGACACAACAAACATGGTGGCCTTCCTGAATGGGGTGGTTCCAATAGTACCGCATTGAGATTGATTCATCCACGAAACTCTCACCATTTTCAAAACCATATAAGCAAAAACATAGGAACATACAATGGGCCCTAGCAGTATAGTTATTTCAGATTTTATTTTTGGTGTGTCCTAGCCCCTTCAAACGGCAACTCCGGTCAAAAACGAAACCAAAATAAATGACTGGTATTGCTTCAGTGGCACGAAATATTATGTCAAAGTGAAACAGCGTACTCCACTAAAATCGATTTTAAAGATATGACCAGCTGCTCTTTAGCAAGCAGCAAGTGGGTTAGCTTTTAGTTAAGGAACCCTGGTGCAGCACCCTTGCGACGTCACGGTGCGGTGGAGCTGCGGTTGATTGGTTGTATCGCGTACTGCAGCACCACGGTGACATCACGTCGCGTCCGTACGGCTGATGATCAGTGTTGCCATCCCTTTAGTAGATAGTTTCGGTTTTGCCGTAGACGTGCGAAACCAAACTGTGAGCCGTGGTATTAATAAGACTACACACAAAATCAAAGAAAAAAATTATACTTTGTAATTTAGGGACACTAATTCAGCTGAAAACAGTTGTAATCTCAAATTAAGAAATACTGACTGGAGTTGCCCTGCAAGACGCCAATGTCCATTCGAAGTGCTAATCATTCCTTTAAATCGCAAAGTAGAATGATTGCAGGAAACATTACTTAACCCCCACATGGCTCAAAATATAAGGTGTGATCATGAAAGGTTGGATGAATCGCTACCTTGTGGCTGGCCTCTTGGGCGGAGAACGAAGCTCGAACTGAAACAAAACAAAAGGTTGGAGCTTCACGCTCTTCTCGCTTACGGCCTTAAGCATACCTTGTCGATCCCGAGAGATTCCAGGAAGGCCATTTTCTCGGCAATGTTCTTCTGTATTTTGGCGCGGTAGGCCATTCCCTTGTCATCCTAAGAAGGGAGAGTAACAAACATTGCAAAAAGCGATAGTAAGCAGACGAGCTGGTTAAGAAATGTCATAATCTAAACCCCGAGACACTAAGAAATAAAAAAACGGAAAAGATGACAGAAAATTTCAAACACAGTTGGGCCTAGGGTGCCTCCATCTGTGCTTCGCATAGGATGATGCCAACTGCCTGTTTCCCTTTCCCCGACCGTCTCCCACCACCATTTTGTGCCTTTCATTGTTTCCCCGTGCGCCAGAAAGTTGCCATTGTGTCCATCGGTCCTCCCATTTGAGGAGGAAACGCTAATCCTCCCTCCGTGGGTTTCACAACGCTGCTCCGAACTTGTGAGAAGGTGCTTGTTTCCAGGAGGGTTATAAGTAGGGTTCGGGGTTTTCGGTTTAAACCGATAAAAAAACGATAAAAGTATGTCAAACCGCTTTCTAAAATTCGGTTTTAACCGAAAAAGGTCAATTTTTTAGGGCCGCGTCGAGATGGGTGGGGGAGAGAGAGAAAGAGAGAGGGCTTTGCAAGGTTCGACATTGTGTGACGTCTTCGTGATTGCCCTCTTCCAAGGTTCAACATGCAACAATAGAGGTCTTGGATTGGCATTCAAAGGACATCTGTGTCTCTTCTGTGATCAGGCTTAGTGTGTCAAGTTCGCGGTTTGAAAAAAAAAAAAAAAAGAAGTTTGGATGTGGGCTAGTATAAGGTTTTTCGCTTCATGCACTTCAGAGGACATCGAGGAAAGCCGTCAATACCTTTCTTAACACCCTCTCTCAAACTTCCCTTTGGTTAAAAACTTAAATACAATGGATATTTGCTTTTTGCCATTCTGCTGGTTTCTGTACGGTCATCATCTCAAACGGTCACATCGTCAGAAAAGGAAGGAAAAAGAAGTGCGCTGAAGATTATTCCCGCGAATTCGTCAATTTTGAGGTGTGTCCTGACGGAAGTTGTAGCGAAGACCACGTATGCATATGTGACGTTATTCTTTGAGTGATCACCAATATCACAGCTACTAGGACCATCTGATCCGGTGTCCGATGGTGTTTCTTTCATATTCACCGAAAAAAGCCGGGAAACTTATTTTGGAATAAATATACACCGAAAAAAAAAAAAAAAAAAAAACGAAAATTGAATGTTAAAATAAACACCGAAAAAAGTACACCGAATTTTGAAAAAATAAACCGAAAACGCGAAACCCTAGTTATAAGCCCGACGGATCATCGCCGAGAACCAAGATGGCTGCTGGTCTGTCGGCGAGTGGTATTACAAAAAATGGCATCACCCTAGCAAAGCGCACATGAAGGCTCCCTAGTTAGGCCTACCTCCCAGACAACATTTTATTCATTCTAGAGCAGTGGTTCTCAACCATCGATGTTTCGCGGACCCCTTGTGGACCGGCGGAAATGATGGAGGACCCCTTTCGAGGTGAGGGGAGGGTGAATGTATAAGTTAAATATAATAATGACGTAATAAATGGATTTAACTAAGGGCTAGCGTGAAGTAGACTTCTCTTATTGACATACACACGAGAAAACTAGCCCGAAAATGAAAAAAGTCCTTTTCTATCTGAAAAAAAAAAATACCATTTCTATTGCCGGGCATAACTGATAAGGCAGGGCTTCGCGGACCCCGGGGGTCCGCGGACCCCCATTTGAGAACGACTGTTCTAGAGTATGGATCTGTTGTATGGAACCTATATTAAAAAAAAAAAAAAAAGCTAAAGTTGAGGCTTGGGCGAGTTGGTACATACTTCGGAAATTAAAAACAGCGCGGAAAGACGAGGACCAGACATTCTCTGCCCCGGACAAGCTGTCCAGGTTGTGCAGAGCTGTTAACCCTTCTTCGAGGGCGGCCACGGCTTGCAGTACGAGGCATTGAGATTGCTTCGTCCCGTGTTCGGAAGGGGTTGTTTATCCTCTCCCTCTGACGTGTGGCAGGCACTACGTTGGCCAGACGGGCCGCTGTCTCAACGACAGGTTGAGAGAGCACGCTTACAGTGCCTCCACAACCGTGTCTGGTCACCTGGGCATTCATTGCCGCGACTGTGGTTGCCTACCCGACTTCCAACGGTGTGAGGTTGTTAAGCGTCATAGGGACCAGCTTACTCGGGAAATTCTAGAGGCTGCTGAGATAGCGAGGTTGGGTGCAGCATGTGTAAGCAGTCCTTCTGTGGCCCTATCAGGCAAAGAGATGAATTTTCTGGTTCCGTGACTTGCTCGTTTTTTAGCACATACTCTGTACGGCTGTGTCATGGCGCATTTCATTATTATTTTTTCAATGTTTTTTATCATTGTTTTATTTTTATTGGTGATACATCACATGGGCTGAATTTTTTCTGTTCTTTTGTTCGTGACACCGCAAATATATATTGCGAGTTTGCGTTCAATAAACTCAGTTGTATGTCAGCGCTACGTCCGTATCACCTCTTTGTCTGGCCCTCGTCTTTCCGTGCTGTTTTTAATTTCCAAAAGAAAAAATGTTAATCAACTGGAATTAATCCAGGCTAAGCTGCAAGATTTATTTTTAATAGGCGACTACAAATTTCTCTCCTTCATCCACTTTGTTATCTCTTGGGCTCGAACCACTGTGTAGGAGGCGAACGATAGATTGACCCAAAATGTTCAACAGAATGTCAATGAAGAATGTGGCACTGAGCAAACTAAATGCATTTCATTTTCTACTACTATGTACACCAGACGATCTCATCCATTAAATGTTTTGTTTTAGAGTCATATAAATTGTTTTAAAGATTCGTTTCTCAAGAGAACTATTGATGACTAGAATGAAATTGACAGAGATATATGTATTCTTTCTAGTGTTGACTTTAGTAGCACAATAAACAATCTTTCTTTCCCTCAATGTACATTGCTTTCAGTTAACAATTATCAAGGACAGCTCGTTTTGTTCATGCACCTGTATTTTCCACTCCTGTAATGACGTCATATGAGGTCGCAGTGTGTATAATATAAGAAATTTTTAAAAAAAATATAGCCATCTATTTGAACAGAAAAGAGGAAGACAAAATAAATGCCGCCACAAGGTTTTGACGTAACTCAGCCAGAAAAGGCACCACACCAAGAGCAAACACTCGTCGCCAAGCCACCCGACATGATAACCTCTGCCAAGGTTATGTGAATCAACCGAAAGACAGCACTCTCTCCCCTCTTCCCCCCACCCCTTCAACCCACCCACCCCTAAAAACAAAACAAAAAATCACAATAAAAAAAACTTGCTTTAGCATCAAGAGATTTTGTGTTGTAAGGTCAGTTATTTTATTTTTCCACGTCTCAGGGTTTAGACTGCAATGCAACGAACTTTACACACTTTGTACTCCTCAAATTAAGCAAAAATGTTTAAGGCAGGTGCGTCTCTGACAAGAAAGGTCAGTCCAAAATGCAGTGGAAATCAACCATTTTTTTCTTCTATCCGATATTACTAAATTGGTAAAACAAATGATGCATCCGGAGCAAGAGTCAGTCACGTAAGAGCAAAAAAAAGGAGTGCATTACATTTTCTGGCTCATCGTTTTCAGTGAGGACGGTGAACTTTCGTTTAATGCCCTTGGTAGGAGACTCCGCCGGCTTTTTGGCACCACTACTTGCTTCCGCATCCTGAAGTTTTGGCTGCAAGGTAAATGAAATCACTGTATACACCCTGCAGTGGCAGTCCAGGAAAATTTAAGTCTCGGAGCAATGTTTTGGAACAAAAACAAACCCTCCATGTTATGAAACACCTTTCATCAGAAAAATTCAAAACAGCACATCATAAACCCGATTCTGTGGCACATCAATGCAGGTTCCTACTGGTGGTGTATAGTCGGGTGATCACTATGGTATGAAGCATGTTTAACACCCCTTATTAGTTGTACTGTAATAACCAAGTTGCCCCTTTACAGCTGTAAAACAATGTCACAATACGTTCTAGGCACACCCCCTAACAGCCGTACGAGCTTAAGATGAAATTTATTTTGACAAGTGTTAGCAGGGTTTATATATGTCAATATTATCAATGAGAAATTTGTGTATAGTACCAACTTTGCATCAAATTGGTACTACACTGAGTTTTCGGCCTGACTTGGAGATCAGCATTTCCTGGGCATCCTAACTCATGAAGACAACATGCTTTGCAATAACTGCAGCAAATCACAGTGTTTTCCTTGCCTCTTATCAAATGCCTCTTATCAAATTTATCAAGTTCAGAAAGCATGGGGCCAGAGTAGTATCCAAAGAAAATGTAATGCTCAGAAAGCCACTGGAGTGGCTGCCATTGTATTTTCGAAAACATAAAAAAACAAATCATGTGTCCCAACTAAGGCACTTTTTGTATGATATATGAAGTTTAAAGGATCCACGGTAAATTAGTTCTACTAGAATCCAAAAGAATACAGATTTAATGTAAAGTTTCGAGAAAACGCCTGCCCCTGAAAAATCCCCCATCCCGTTTTTCTGACTAAATATCTGTAACATAAAAATTCCAAAACATTGCCCATTCCCCAATTTCCGTCGGACGTCACGCGGTGTCCGACAGAAATCGCATCAACCGCGCAATTCGCTGTACCGGCACATCTGGTAAGCGAGTTCATAACGGGTTCCTGCATTTTTGTCCGCGATCTGCAAGCGCGATGCTGGCTCCCGTTGCAAGCGAGTTGTTCCCGCGTGTATGTTGCACTGTGAAATGCAAATCTGCTGCGTCCGCAATCTGCGGTATCCGTTCCCGTGACATAGAGTTTGTAGCGGGTTCCTGCGTTTTTGTCTGCGGTCTGCGCACGCAATCTCGATTCCACGCCAGTTGGCCCCACATGTATGTACAGCGAGCAAGTGTTCCAAAATGCGTCTTTGGCACATCAGAAGTAAGGAGGGGCACGCCAGTTGAAAAGCAACATAGAGAAGGCGCAGGTAACACGCGATGACGAGGCCGCCAAGCCCGCATCCTCATTGGTTGAGGTGGGGGGAAACAAAAGCATGTGGCACGGTCGGGAGGTAAACAAATGCACGACGTGCACAACGAGCGGACCAACTTGCACGCTGTATTGCGTCATGACATACGATTCTGCTGCATTTGCAATCTGCGGTATTTGTTCCCATAACATACGAGTTTGTAACGGATTCCTACGGTTTTGTCCGCAATCTGTGCTCGCAATATTGGTTCCCCTGTCAGGCAAGTTTGTGGCGGGTTCCCAAGTGTTTATTGCACCACAAGACTTGAATCTGCTGCGTCCGGAATTTGCAGCGAGTTCTCGGCGGGTTTTGGCAGGTCCTTCACACTGTGAAACGCAACTCTGTTGCATCGGCAACCTGCGGCATCCTTTCCCATGATACAGGAGTTCGTAGGGAATTTCCGCATGTTTATCGCATCGTGAAACGCGAATTCGCCGAGTCTGCGATCTGCTGTACCAGTTCCAGCGTCACGTGGCTTGTGGCCGATGCCAGGGTGTTTATCATTAATTTTTTTTATAAAGTTTTGTTGTGGCAACCCTAAGGATAGCCCACCCCATGTTTTTCACCATTAATCTCGTCATTTTGGGTGGGCGTTTTTTTCAAAACCTTACAGTAGTGAACATATAGTTTTAAGGTCTAGCAACAAAATAATCTGGGTTCCCTAATTTAGAGACACTTTAACGAGAAGGGCCATCATACATTCACAGCACTCTTGACAAGAAAACACAACAATTCATAACAAAGAATTCCTGCACCAAGCACAGAACCAAATGAAAAGCGCTTGCGAGCACTACTTGTTTCACGCTTCTTACCATATGTGCACAAATAAAAAAACTGGAACATGTTCATTTTCAGTGTCAGAATTTTTACCAATGATTCCCCCCTCCCTAACATTGATAAAAATCTCAGTTCGTAGACCCCTAGCCAAGTTTGAGAACCCTCATTTTTGTTACCTTCGATTCAGACTTGTTCGGATTTTCACTTCTATTTGTAACTTCTATTCATATTTGAACCAAAACAAAAACACTGCATAATGCACCTGGATTTATTGCCCATTTGGCTAGTCTTGGATCCGTTCAATAACAAACATGATTATGAATGTCGGCGTTTCCTGGCACCAATGCTTACAAACAGTAAATAGTAATGTATTACTTACCCATCTTTCACTCATAGAACTGTTAAAAAGATGTTGCCTAGAGCATTCCCTATTTTAATTCGCCTACAATGTGTCATTCGTTACATGTTCATACAAACTGTGAGATAATAAAATGTTGAAATTGTTAAGTAATGATGATTTTGTCCAGTTTTAAAAACAGAGTTCTTCCTGGCCGGCAGACAGACTAAGACGTTTGCTCAGCTTTTCGTGGACACACATTTCATGGACACACGGTTCGTTGACACTGTGCGTATGCAATGCGTCTCCGAAGCTCCTGTGACGCATCGCATTTGCGGCGTCATGTTTTCCTTCACGGCCAGGGATCCACAAAAGCTGGCGGGGTTGTGAGCTTTGTCACTTGGTGGTATCAATGCATTTTAACTTCAGAGTGATGTATTGATATTCGGTTTATTCCTTTTAAATAATGTGTTGGTGTCCTTTCGAAGAAAAAATTGGTGTCTCCATGATATGGCAAGAATGTGTTTGACATTTAGACAATAAAATATGAGCTACAATTTTGTTGCAGTATCTTGTCTAAGACAAGGATGAAGCAAACCACGTTCTGCACTGCCTACGACGCTGAGGCATGTGATCCTGCACTCTCTTCACAAACCTAGACTTCATGGACATTGTTAAGTTGGAAAGGCACTTTTAACCAAAGCCCTCGAAGATGGTGGAACAACCTCAGGTCCCATAAGTCTACTCAGCATAGCGACAAACTGATGTCTGCAACATATTGCAAAACCTGCAATTATGGAGATATACTCAACGGAAGGTTCCACAATCAGATTGGCCGTGGGGTTAGAGATGAAGCCTTGCAATGAAGCCTGCTGAGTGAAACCAGACTGACGTTGGCCCAAACAGAGAATTCTGCAATTGCTGAAGGATGTGCGAAGCATAATGACGTGGAGATTCAAAATACATGTAACGAAGTCAGCCAAGTCCATAACGTGGCCAAAAACAGATCTTCCAGAATACCACATGCCGAGGCAATGGTTGTAAGCGGCACGTGCTTCATCTTCGAAAGAAGACGAACTGTGCGAGCTGTGAGCTGTGCAATCTTTCGTCCAATGTGCTTTCTCTCATCATAGACATCATGATCAATGAACAGTCAACAGTGATGGAACCTGAGTCAGAATGCATGTTCTGTACCAACATAGAAAGAACAATGACATGACTCGTGTTCCAAAGCAGCAAGTGCAGCCATCCAAGGAAAGAACTTGCTGAGACAACATAAAATATGTTTGCGACCCCAGCATTCCTATACTTCGTTTCAGCTTTGGTCCGAGCGCGGCCGATGTTATGAGCCGAAGGGCCAATCAAACAGCGCAAAAAGCGCAGCGTCATGGCGTGCTTTCTGCGCGTGATAAGACTAGCCGGCGGAGGAGCACGCACAGAGAGACGGCGAATACCGGCTGGTCCTATCAACTGCAGGGAGCACGCTATGACGTTGTGCCTTTTTCGCTGTTTGATTGGCCCTTCGGCTCATAACATCGGCCGCGCTCGGACCGAAGCTGAAACGAAGTATAGTGGACAAGAGAGTGTATGCAAGCCTTCTCATATGAAACTGGTTCTAGCCTCTAAAAGCTGGACTCACCGGTGTCCACCTGTTCAAGACCACCCTACAAGACGGCAAATTCCTGGAGTTAACCAGAATCTTCGATGCCGGCTCGGGAAAGGGTTGAATACCACGAATTTGTGTGGAGGTCGAGACCCATTCAGCACCAAAGTCCTGTAAAGCAAGACAAGGTGCCAGTATAGGCCCTGCCCTCCAAGGTTGAGGAAGAACTTGAAAAGTTAAGCCAACAAAATACCCTGAACCTTTGAAACACTCAAGTTCCTCAAGCTGAGTTACACCAATGGTCGCACAATTTTTTAAAAAAGGAAGAAATGGTTGCAGATTGGCAGCAATTACAAAAGCCCGGTAAACAGGGCAGGGAAATGGAAATACTGGGGGATCAGTGGCCGGGTGCATTAGCGCACCGGAGCGCGTGGAGCGAAAGCTCACGTTGCAGAACCCAGGGATGCTGGGTTCAATTCCCACCCCTGCCCGTTTCGACCTGGATGAGCATGGCACCGGCGCGCAGTCATATATATCGCTACTGCATTACGCATGTTAAAGCGGTACGGAAACAAAATTCCAGTGCTCATTTTTTAGCTTGAATCTGTTGCATGTTGCAGCATTACCTCAAAGTTGAAAGGCACAGGAAAACTAATTCTAATGTTAATTAAACAATCTTTCAATGTGCACCTGGTGGATGCATGTGGAGCCTATTTGGGAGGTAATCTAGCAATGTTGCGAAACTTGCTATGTAGTTCTGAAGTATCAAGTTCCATCGGAGCAGCGTCACTCTTTGGAATTCAACATTTTCACCCCCTTCATAGCTTTCCTCAACTCACAAATCGCGCATTGTACCAAACCCTCGTTTGTGCACCCGGAGACAGCCATTCTCCCCCTAGAAGATTAGCCCTTCACTCAAAATTTTGACAAAAGTTGCTTTTCCCACCCCGTTCACCCCCAAGCCAACAGTGCTGTGGAAGCTATGTGCTCCTTGGGCCAGCCACACGCTTGTCACCCCACAGCTACTTTAAACGGCTCGGTCGTAATGCGCTGACGCTATTGACGCCACCACAACGCTAACAACGGCACCAACGGCAAAGCTCATAACCACGTCAGCCTTGCTACGTCCCAAATGCGGGGAATCTTTTTTTTCTGTTTTTCTTTGTGCCGGATATCCCATGACTCATCGCACTCTCCGTTCGCTTCTCTTCGAGCGCTCGCTCGAGTGCACCGTTTGGAACGAAAAATATAGCCAGTCGTTCAAAATACAAACGGGCGATTATCATTTACGGTTATTATCCGTTGTGCTCGGCTCATTTCCGAATAAAATTTAAAGATTTCAATTTTCGTTTTTGTACTCCTTTAAAGACCCCAAGCTAGCAGCGGTATAGAACTGGCAAAACTACCAATCTACAGAAAAAAAAAAAAAAATTACCATTGGGCTGACTAGCTTCCTGCTGTCTTAACAAACACAACATAGTTTGGTAAACCTAGGCACTAAATGCATCAGAACAACTCCTGAGCTACCTAGTCAGCTCCTGCCACTTCACACAGCTTGATCTTGCACAGGCCTACCAGAAGATGACTGTCAGTTAAACGTGAGCTAGGCTTTTCTTCACAATGCACAAGGCACTGTTAGAAATAGCTATCTTCCACCTGAAATATCTATCTCAGCAGCCACTTTTGAGGGAGGAGCTACATGCCAGAAGCAGGGGTACTCATCTTTTAAATTACATTCTTATTGCAGGTACATCTAAGGACCACCACGATAGGCGATTGCAAGCAGTTTTGCAGCGGTCCCAAAGATGACGGATTACGCCTTAACAATGCAGAATGCACTTTTAAAGGGGCAGTGCAACGGTTTTAATGTTGAAAGAATTGCCAGTTTGCATTTTTTATATTGTTTATACAAGCCCAAGTGACCAAAAACGCGTGACCTTTCCCCGAAAAACTGCTATTCTGCTGCGTAATCGCAAGGCAAAAAACGAATTATTTGCCGATCTGCAGCCACCTGTGGTGGTTACGGAACTAAAATGACGGCGTCTCTGGGGGTACGCAGAAGTCAACAAACCCTGTCCCTCTCCGCTGCTACACTCGCCGTCAGCCTTGTGGCGAACCGTCCTTTGTGTCCATCGCTCGCCGCGACCTTCGATGAGGCTAATCCTTTGAAATTAGATAATCGCGGAGGAAGCGGCTGCGGTCTCTGAAGAGAGGGCCCAAGGGGAAACCACGTGAACCACCAGAGTACATCACTCGAAAGTCGACATGGACGTCGTGGAGAGTTGAGAGGCACTTCGACATTCGATTTGTTTCATTTTTTAAATAAGAACTAGCGCTCACAAAAAAATGCTGTTTTCTGTTTTTCGTTCCATAGGTGACGCAGATTAATTTCCGCAGTTAATTGGCCAAAGTCTGAAATTCGTTGCACTGTTCCTTTAACATAAGCCAAATTATGTTCTTGGGATTGAAGCATGGCCTCCAAGATCCCAAAGCGAGCAAACGGCGCAAACGCTTCTCCGGCCGTCCCATTTGTGCGAAGAGGGCGTATGCGGAGGAGTGCCTCCGCGGAGAGGCGCTCTCAATCCAGGCATCGAATTCGCCGTTTCAGTGGTTTCAGCATGGCGCAAGGGAGATGAGTCAAACAAAAAGTCGTGTTACGTCGAGTTACTGCAGCTTCTATTTATTTTTTTTTTGTCTTGTGGTAGAATGGTAAAACTGCTTTGGGGAAGTACACAGGCAAGCTGCGATGCTTATTTAATTAGAAATATTCATTTAGACAGGTGGCGGCTAGTGCTACAAGCACGCCTTTTGATATATTTAACTGCAATCTGTAGCGCGTATACAACTCTAGAAGGCTCCGTACATTAAAAAAAAATGAATTACCCTAAATAAAAAAAATCATGCTGTACTTTTCCTTCTCCACGCATTGATTGACATAGCTTTTTGAGCTTGAGTTAAGGTTTGATACTCTCGAACTGCAGTCCTCGTGGTGTCCTTCTTTCAACATTTTTTTTTATTATTTATTACGCAATTTATGGGGGTAATATCACAGTGTTGGCTTATACTAGGAGCACCTTTAAGCCAGGGTCACACTGCTCTCACACGTAATACAAAAAAAAAGTCCGCTAACAAGAGTCACCGCAATATCCGTGGTTCGAATGCCACTTGCCAAGTGCCTCCTTGAACTCCTTGCCATGTGGCATTCGAAACACAGATCTCGTGGTGACTTGCATTCGAATCTGTTTGCAGACTGCCTTTTGTATGATGTATACGCAGTGTGACCCCGGCTTTGGGGAAAAAATTATGGCAGTGAGATACAACCCCCTCGCAATGATTTCGCCTTTTTTCTTTATAAACTCTGTAATAATTGTAGGTACTGATTCAAAAGGTGGGGCGTTATCTTGTAAATGTCTAGTTTCTGGCACATGTAGCACACACCACCGTATCCCATTATGCACCTTTTGACATAATTGATATGCCGACAGACAATGGGATCTCAAGAAAAAGAACTTGAATTATTTTTCAATTCCAACCCTGTTCAAGCCTGGTTTATTCAGTATTCCAACCTCGTGTATTTACAGATTCCAAGCCTTGAATTTTTAGATTAGATGCGAAGCATGTTGCAATGCAGTGAACTCAAGCAGTTTCTTTCGTTCTGCTACCCTGTCTGTCATAGTCATGCCTATGTTGACCAGGAATGGCCGTACAAACTTCTCGATTACAATCCTAGAATTTTTCGTCTCATAGTCATCTCTTGTGGCGCAAATAAAACTAAAAAAAATTTAGCTTCGTACAGAAAAAAATATATATGTATTTCCCCGAACAGAAACAACCATGCTGTTTGTTTCATCTTCGTGATTTGTTTGACCTAGCTTTTCGATCCTGAGTACAAGGTTTGATACTACAAAAGTGCAGACCTCGTGTCGTCCTTCTTTTCATATTTTGTTATTATTTATTACGTAAATTATGCAGGTCATATTGTTGTTTGCTTGTACTATAAGCCCATTTAGGGAAAAAATTATGGCATTTAGATACGACTTATATTGTGGATGCAGGCACTTATATGTAGATGGGTTACGCCGGCGAGGGTGTGCACTGTGTAGGTATGTATGTGTGCGTGTTCATGGGGAGAATCTATGGTATGATGGCAATGCCGCCGGGGAAAAAAAAAAGGAACGCCGCACCACTAGTGCTTTGGAAGAGAATTCGCAGCACACACACAAAATCATACACGCACACACAGATGCTTCAGCATCTGTTTCTCCGCTAGTGTGCTTCCTCTCCCAATCCCCCGAACACACTTCTAAAGAACAAGCTGCTAAACAAACAAAAAGTAATGGTCGGCTTGGCCCTCCTTGTAGACTTGAATGCAAGGCCTGCACCCGGCCCGGGCCCTTCATAAATGTAGCCGTGAAGCCCGAGCCCGGTCCGTGGGCCGCGCGCTGGCCCGTACCAGTGCAGATCCCTACCTGCGACACTGACGGCTTCTCCACTCTGTAATGACTAGGAGGACATTGCCACCTCGCGGCAAGCGACGAAGTTAGCACAAAAAAAAAAAAGCTCGCACTGCTGGAGAGCGAGCCGAATAAAACAACTAGAAAAGCCTACGCGCACGCACTTCGGGATCTCAGAGACTATGATTAAAGATACACAAAGAATGGGGTATGACCAACTGAGGACGAGTTCAAGGCCATACATGAAGCTCCTGAGCCCAGTAACAAGCAAAAGCCGCAATCATTTCTGAGCAACTTCTACCATTGCTCTCGTAAGGGTGCCACCTTGGGAACATTGTACAGACCGCTTAAAGAAACACTGACAGAGTATTTATGCTTGTCAAGGTTTTTATTTGTACAAGCATATGAGAGCCCAACTACCCAGAAAACATTTTGCGACTCGAAATTTTTTTTCTTTCCGCCCGAAAACCACCGATCGAGAATTGGCCGGTTTGAGTTGCGCTCACAGCCGTTTTCTATGGTTTAGACACGAACACCAAAGATAATCAAAGTTGTGGGTCATAGAAGGCACACACTCAATACTAGAAATGGACAAAAAATATGATACCCATTTTTTGTGACTTCTAAAAAGCTGCAAATACATTAATAGAAAAGAAAAAAGTTGCACAGCCACATGACTTCTGGCACCTTTCATATGCAACGATAACCATCGTTGCATATCACAAGCACCTGTTGGGATAACTCGGCCATCGGAGAAACTTCCAGCCTGATGCTAGGCTCAAGCTGCAGTATTCACAGCCAGCGTGCTTCTAAAGAACCATTGTCCATAATATGTGACCACTTTCCTCATTCTTTCCCCTGCGGCAAGGTCTGCACATCTTGCCCCGTTTTTTTTTTTTTTTTCTTAGAACAATTAATAGATTGAGTTTCTGCAGGGGTGTTAATATGTACCCACGTCTCATGGTTGGCAGCCGTCGATGGCACCGGGCATAGAGTTTCTTGACTTCCATCGGCTGCTTGCAAGTTTCTTGCGGGCATCTTTGTCGGGATAAAATTGGATCGATTGCGTTGCGCCTCGCCCCTACAGACACCGACATAAGTGAGAAGAGCAAGAAGCGTTGTCGAAGGTAGGAAGTTTGCGCCGGAGGCGAGACTGAAGCTTCAGCCTGCCTTTCTCTTTGGCGACTGCAGATGTCTCAACTACGTAGGGTCAAGGCAGTCCCGCGATTCTCTCAACCCTGCCAGTTTTCCGGTCAGTGATCCACGCCTGTTCTTTCTCAAGTGGCTTTGAGGAGTATGGCCCGTGTCTGCTGCGTCAAAATTGGTTTTCAATTTAAGCACATTCTTTGTCTCCCAGTCTCCGAGCATCGTGCGGTTGGGAGTGTGCCCTCGGAAGGGGAATTGCAACTGGGAGGGACGTTCAAATGTGGTGTCCCGGGAGAAGTTCTGTGGGGCTGAAGCCCAAAGATGCCTTCTAGAGGTCTAAGTAAAGAAGTCTTATACGGTCACTGAAAAGTCGAGAACAGAGTGGAGGTGATTCGTTCGTTCCGCCTCTAGTGTGCGCTTCCTACTCTTTGAGGACGCTTCGGCACCTTGTTTACATCGAGCATGCGCACACAGCCAAAGCATGGCGGAAGGCACGGAGCATGCGCTGCAGGCCGAGCATTCGAAAGACGCACACTGCCATCCTCACTCTTGTCAGTAACTTTGAACATCTAAAAAAAGTTTTCCATAGACACCTTGAGTAGCTCAAGATGTTTAGGGCTTTTTGAGTCATCTACGAGACACCTCGTGCACCGGAGGGTGTGTCCAGTTTCCGACTCACCCTGGACATGCATGGACAAGTAGACCCTCCTACGACACCCTCTCCAGGAGACAGGTATGCAAAGGACGCAAGTGCCACTGCTGCAATTTCCTTTGCGACAAGGAGAACGAGACGATGAAACTGTTTACTCTCATTTCTACATACGTCAGGGACAACGGGAAGGACGGCTCACTGGAGAGGGGGCAGAAAAAAGGAGTACTCGCCCGGTTTTTTTTTTTTTTTCTTCTTCCCCGCTTCGTTTAGGAATTTCGCCACCTTTGTGATAGCAAGGCGGGCTTCCTCTAGACAAGCACCCATCGCCCTTTTTTTTCCACAAGGCATACATTACGCGTGGGAACTATGATCACCGCCAGGACATATGCACGAGCTTTTGTGTCGCCAGCTGATGTAACTCACGTTTTTTACTTGCTGTAACAGTTTGAGAGAGCCCCCTTCAATGTTGCTTTGACTTTTCCGAGTGTTTAGTCGCGATAAGTCCGAGCAACAACCATGCGCTTGCGCTGGAGGTTTAGTTTAGGCACACCAAAGGATGATCAAGGCAACCAGAGTAGGCACTCCTCCCGTCGTGCGCTATCTATCGGTTTCACGCGTTCATGGCCACATAACATTGAACTGCCTCTGACGAACCTGCAATGACTATCTGCTACTTTTATTGAACAATTTTGGAGTCGAGGCCCATAGAGGACATCATGGCAGATTGTGCACTCGTTTGCCTAGTTAAAAAGCGGTACTCACCTTCGGGCGGATGCGACGCCCGTAGAAAGAAGTCTGAAGGTCCATTATGACGCTAGACCAGCTAGACATGCACTGTCTTGAATACAATATCGCAATATTTTCAATAACCGTTAGAAAGCCACGACAAAGATGCCGCACTTGCCGCGCAAACCGAACGCCGAACGCGCGCGAAACGCAATCCGCCGCATTGCGGTCGAAATGATCGAAGCGTGAACGTGAGAAATAAATTAATTTAATTTACAAATTAAGTTTTCTCTAAACTTTTGTAGTATATATATATATATAAATTTCAAGTCCATCGCCGCCGCGTTTAATACATATGTGATTAACGCTTGCGACAAATATCGCAAAGTGAAGCCGTGAAGCCACGCAAGCCACAAGTAGCCACAACCACGTCCAATCCAAGATGGCAGTGGGTGTGTAATGTTTTCCTGCCGCTCACACTCCTGAAACGAAAATAAGTACCACAGATCGATACGACTGGACACCGGGCCGTCTTCCAGTCTTCACGATGGATCAGAGGGACCAGAGAGAGCAACTACTCGCCCTCAAAGTCATGCGACTGACTCGGCCGTCACTCTTTTCCACCCTACCGGTCGTCTGCGACTCTCGGGATATCCCGGGCAGCATGTGGCTCCAAGACCTTAAGCAAGACCTCGGCGCTCCGTTGGGGCTCGAACTCTTCGGCACCGGCAGCTTCCTCATGCTCCCGCAGAGCTTCGGAAACATCTACCTCGGCGAGACGTTCTCGTGTTACATGAGTGTGCACAACGACAGCGAACACACCGTCAGGGACGTGTCGGTCAAGGCTGAGCTCCAGACCGACTCCCAGAAGGTCTTCCTCACGGGCAAGAGCGAGGGCACCGCCGTGCCTGAGCTGCCGCCCAAGAGCAGCATCGACGAAGTAATCCACCACGAAGTAAAGGACATCAACACGCACATCCTCGTCTGCACCGTCAACTACTCGTCGCACACGGGCGAGAAGCTCCACTTCCGCAAGTTCTTCAAGTTCCAGGTGTACAAGCCGCTCGACGTCAAGACCAAGTTTTACAACGCCGAGTCGGACGAGGTCTACCTCGAGGCGCAGCTCCAGAACATCACCTCGTCTCCGATCAGCCTCGAGAAAGTGGCGCTCGAACCGTCCCAGCACTTCAACGTGTGCCAGCTCAACAGCTGCGCCGACGGGCAGAGCATCTTTGGACAGGTCAACTTCCTCAACCCCCACGACACCCGGCAGTACCTGTTCAGCTTGTCGCCCAGGGTTGCCGACGCTGCTGTGGCGCCCGCGGCAAGCGACAAACGGAGCCGAAGCGGCATCACCAGCATCGGGAAACTAGACATCGTCTGGCGTTCGGTCATGGGCGAGAGGGGTAGGTTGCAGACGTCGCAGCTGGAACGGATAGCCCCGGGTTACGAGGACATCAGACTGACCGTTGATTCGGCGCCGAGCAGCGTCAACCTAGAGGAGCCGTTCGAGATCACCTGCCTGGTGACGAATACGTGCCAGCGGACGATGGACCTCGTTTTGATGCTCGACAACTCGGCGACGTCGGGTTTGCTGTGGCAGGGAACGTCGGGTCAGAGCCTGGGGAAGCTGGAGCCGCAGACGAGCCTGAGGATCAAGCTGGAGGCCGTGCCGTTCAGGACGGGATTGCAGGGGGTCTCGGGCATCAAGCTCAACGACACCTTCCTCAAGCAGGTGTACGACTACGACGACATCACCAGCGTGTTTGTGTGTTCGAACACAACAAAGGTTTTGTGCTAGCCTTAAGTTTAATGGCTGGTTCGCACGTTTGCTTTTGAGTGGGATTGCATGCTTTGCGGCTGCTTGGAAGGGGTTTACTACGATTGATTGAATGCCATTTCGTCGAAGCACGTTTTAGAGAATGGGCACAGTTTAGAGAAAGCAGAGCCTCAGTTTAGGGAAATGCCGTTTGTCGAAAAGGGTACACTATTTGAAAAAGGCTTTTCTACTTCACGCGTGTATCACTGGTGCCTGTGTTAACCCAAGCTCCCCACTGTGCTCCCTCTGCTTCGCAGCGGCAGTCTGCGGCGGCTCATTACCAAAATGTTAACTCATCTGACTTATCCGTACACGCCCCTTTGCGGCGGTTGAATTCGCTAAAAGGAGGCTTATCGTCATTTTTTCTAAACTTGGTTTCTCTATAAAGGAATTCGATAAACTGGGGTCGGTAAAACGGCGTTCGCTAAAACGAGCTTCTCTAAACCGCATGCCTCTGGCTTGGAAGCACCTGTTGGTGGAACATGCTTTAAAACAATGAGAGCAGTGCACACAAAAGGCGACCACAAGATTATAGAGCCCACATACAGCCCACTTGCACACTTTGTTTGCAAGTCAGAGCTGTGTGCGTGTTTCCTTCTTTGTTTTCATTGTTTTAGTTGCAGTAGAAGAGTCTGTTTATGAAGAGAAAAGAATAACCAAGATATATTTACCATTCGTTTTAAAGGACGCACTGCTCTATCGGGTGGCTCAGGAACTGCACATAACTGGACTGGTTGTTTGCAGTACTTTGCGAGATCAAGTCTGTGGGCTATCTAAGAGAAATGGTCCTTGCTTATACCATTTTTGAAATTATTTCAAGTCCATGGGAAAAGAACTATGCACGAAACAATGGGGGATATGTGCAGGTCGAAAGTGTTCTGAAAGATGTCCCCAGTGCATTCCCTTGTCACTCTTGTAAGCATTTTCAATGTGCTCGATCGCACTCAAATGCAGACTTGAGAACCAGCCTTTGCTTGCAAGATTTTATTAGTCCAAAAGGTGCTTGCTGTGTTGCTGTGATGACATTCCAGAATGCGTCGGCATTTTTTGTTTTTCTTGTGCAGAGCATTGCGTTTAAGTTTATTAATGTTTTGAATGAGAAGCACTGTTTGCTTGGTTCGTGCAACACGATTGTTATTGATCGAAGTCTTCAAGCCAGTGACGTGAACTGTTTCACTGCAGCACGTGAAACGCGTTTCGGCAATAATTTTTCCTTTCCAAGGTTTGTGGTTGATTAAAAATGCTCACGCACAAACTTTCAGTTTTGTCTTCGTTAGAGCACACTTTGCGTTTCATGTGATAAGCTTTTGAAGCATAAGACCGAGGGTCGCTGCTGGCACAATATCTCTCCACTACCTTGCCTCTGTCACGAGCACAAATGCTATACTCCATTTCACGATAACTTGGCGAACTGTGGAGGGGGCGGCCCCCCTACCCAATAAGTGTCGGAGCAAGGCGCGTGACAACTAGGGTGTCGGACCGGAACCGAAACAAAAACCGGAACCGAACCGGTATTTTAAGCCGAACCGGAACCGAACCGAACCAAAATCTTCGCCGCCATCTTTGAACTGAACCGGAACCGAACCAAAAAAAAATATAACGGTAAACGGTTCAAGGTAATTTGTTTCTTTTTTGTTAGTATCATGAAATGAATATATGGGAATGAAATATTGGCAGCTGTATTTCTATGTATTGATCAAATCGTCATATACAGAATTGCAAGGTATGATAAATTGTAGGTTTTCGTGGTGCTTTTGTATGGGCACTACAATTAACCATGTGTCGCATTCTCACGTGACGTCATGGTGTCGACACATGCTGTAAAGTAATGTCACATGATTCATTTGAGTCAAGTCGATTTAATTTGAGGAAGTCACTAGATATATTAACCTTATTGACAGCGTCACGTAACATGACATCACGATTTCACACCGAGAGTCACGTGACACCGTGAAGTCCTCAGGTTCATGACAGTCTTCATCACCAAAAATTCAAGTAACGGGATCATGTTCAATTAAATATGTTAATAGCCCAAATCTAACAATATCTGAAGCTCAGCCCAAGCTTTTGCTTTCCAAACCCTAGCGCATGACTATGATGAACACTGACGGTATATAATTAGCATCAGATCACGTGGCCGCTTGTTCAAATTGCGAGTTGGGGAGGGGATCGACAGCTGTCTCTTTCCTTTATTTTTTCTGCATCTGCTATTGTGCGGAGGGGAAAACTAATAGATGTTTTCGCAAGCTATTAACGTCAGGAATGTTGCACGACCAATTTTACATTATTGAGGCTCTCAAACGTTTTTTCGTTGTTGCTGAACTGCCTTGAAAAGATGTGCCCGAGAGTCGAAGTACTGAAACGACTAAATGCGACTCATTAATATGACGTTACAGAGAACTACATGTGTGTATGGAAGAAATACTTGAAAAAAAGAAAAAAAAAAAAAAAGATCCTAGTGGCCCCAGAGGGACAGCCAAACATTGGCAGTTGCTCTAAATCTCGCACGAGCGTCGTTCGCAAGCTATTTCCCAAGTTTCGACCACCTCTGTATTTTGTTTAAAGGAACAGAAAATGATTTTTATCCATTTACTAAATACTACTCAGAATAATTATCAGAATCAGAATAATCAGAATAATAAGAATCAGAATAAACGTTAATGACTGAATAAACGTTCCTTATCTCTTCCATCTAGGCAATGGCAGTCGTCAAGCAAATGAGAGAATTATGAGCATCTTTCATCCCCTCAACTCGGAGCCAGAAGCGGCCATGTGGCCTGGTGCCTATCCTATGCCGCCAATGTTACCCCCGCACTGAAGTTGGAAAGAAAGAAAACATGCGCTGAGCTTCAGGCATTGTTAGAGTCCGGATATTCTCACCGCCGCAGCGGTTGGACACGAGCCACTGCCCGAGTTTCCTCCGAGGCATTGATTGTTACGAGCCGAAGTCGAGTGCTCACGCAGTTCTCGTGTCCAATCCATGAGCCGCGCTCGACTGTTGTCAGGCGGGCGGTGTTCATCCCACAATTACGTCATCAATTTTTGGCGAAGGCGAGACTAAAAGAAATAGTCACGTTTCACGTGAGCGTTGTGTGTTGTTTGAAATTCCTGCACGAGGGCATGGCTGTGACGTCGTGACCCTACCAACCAATCGGGATTTTCCAGTCACGCCACCGACATCGGCTTTTTTGCGACATGAGCTCCTTAACGCTGTCATGTTAACATCAATTAGCAAGGGTGATGCTCATTTGCAAATTAAATTGACTGGCATCTTGTCAAGAACAAAATTCAACAGCCAGGCTATGCCAGCATATTCTGTATGAGAAAATGTTCGCTTGGGCAAGCGCTATTTCGGGGCAGATTCGATCTGAGTGCAAAGGTGCGTACAGATTAGAGTGAAAATTTTCGATTTTTCTTTTCTGCATGATTAGTCACATCGCAATGCTGAGTGTAAACAATATTTGCTTAGAAAAACAAGCATTGTGATTGCCGCTCGTGTTTCTATAAAAAATGGCCTGAAAGGAATTGTCCTAAAAATTTCGTGACATTCTGAAACTTCTATTGCATTTAGCTCAGTTGTGTCGTCCTTATTTATACATTGTGAAACATATGTCGTAAACCATATTTCACAATACATATGGCCACGAGGTGCCCATTTCATGATTTTATGTGCTGTAATTGATTCCTTACTTAGTTCAAAGACACAATCACGGGTACTTTATGTGACTTACCACGTACACTTCACGGCAACATTCTATATTAACTGTTGTTATATATTCTATATAACAACAGAAAGAATAAAACAAACTCGGGACGAGTGACGGTATAGTTTTTATTTTATACCGTGTAGATATATATAAGCTTGAACTTTAGAACTTTACTTAAACAGGAGGAAAGAAAGGATGGTATAGTTCTAAATTTCAACCTGATCTATTTACAGGTATGTATCAACAAGCTCAACTTTTTTCTGTTGTACTTAAACATTTTGATTCAAGCAAAATATATATGACTTGTAGACAAAGGGATGTTGAGTCATATGAACACGACGTTATGTATGTTACTGTAGATTTTCTTTTACTGTTGCATCGAAAATTTTTGGTACCTGAAAACAAAAATGAATTGCACGGACGATGGAAAAAACTCGTTTCATGGCATAAATAGTGCCTATCGCCAGAAAAACGCGAAAAATATATTCTAAATTTAGCGGTTCGAACCGGTTTGAAGCATTATTTTTTGCTCCCCGGAACTGAACCGGAACCAAACCGAAAGCCGTGAACCCGAACCCGAACCGAACCGATAAAAATTTCAGTTCAACACCCTGGTGACAACACCCCAAGGTCAGTCATTACTGCCACAGGAAAAGCGCCGTCCTCGACAAAAAGTAGTTTTAGGCTTCTTTTTCTTTTAGTAGTGCTACGGTCAGACTCCCCTGACCGCAGCACTACACGACACGGGAGAAAGATGAGGAAATGTTACTTTTCAACTATATTTAATATGGACCAGCACTTTTCCTAGAACAATGTGACTTTTGAACAATGTTTGGACGATCGCAGCCGTGCGATTGACAGCTTCTGCTCAAAATATCTCCCTGGCATTAGAACCCGCCACAGATTCGAGGACAAATTGAGCGTACAGTTCTCTCATGAACTTTTCTCGAAGAGCTTGCTACTCTAACAGACGGCGATGTTGATGCGGTGGACGTTATGAATTCGAAGTTGGTTGTTTTCGCAGCGGACAACAGCCGGTTCCTCCAGGCCTTGCATTTGATGCAGTGACACAAACGCTCCCGTGACGTGGTGTCACGCGCCTCCCTCCGACGCTCTTATTGGGTTTGCTGTGGCCATAGCCTCCACTGTTCGCCAAGTTATCGTGAAATGGAGTATAGACTATGCGAGACTGGAAAATAATGCAAAGCTGGCTCTGCTCAAACCGATGTTCCACCCAGCGTCGCCGGAACTTGTAATAGGGATGTCGGAACCTACCAAAGCCCATGAAAAAACGGTTAAAGTGCAGGCGAGCTGGTGTAAGTTATACATGACGATTGAAAACCTGAAGCTGTCGTTTGAAAAACGGAAACTCGTGAAGTAGAAAGAAAAAGGGACAGACAATGTCTCAAAAAAGATGTTGTCTGTCCCACTGAGACGTTGTCTGTTCCTTTTTCTTTCTACCTCACGAGTTTCCGTTTTTCAAACCAGTCTCAGGTTTTCAATCATCCTACCAAAGTTCGTCTTTGACTAGCATGAAGTTCAATTATTTTACGCATGATCAGAACTTGAAAACGGGGTTGGGCAGTATTGCGATACAAATGTATGGTGATAGTATTTCAAAAATATTTTTAGTATCTGTATTTCTGTATTGCAATACAATTTCTGATATGTATCACAATACTTTTGTACTGATATATTTTAGTATCGGTATTTTTGGCCATCTTCGTCATGTATCCCAGGATTTGTATTTCCAAATATGTCTTAAGAGTATCTCTGCCCAACTCTGCTTTAAAATAAACTAACACCACCTGGCAGGAGAAGGGTGCAATGTTTGTTAAGATTAAGAAACTAACTAGGGTAAATCATTAAAAGAATTTTTGCTTTTATTATAGTGTAAATAAATTGTACTTATTCCCTAAAATGTAAAACACTAATTGTATTAGGATTGTGGGAATATTCAAAGTTTCTAATAATAGTTATTCGATATTCAAATCAAGATTAACTGCAATATATATTTTTTCGTCCAAAGTTTTGAATGCGGCAGGTTAGCTCCGTTGAGTGCGCTTCTTACTGGGCACCAATGCACTGCGGAGAAGCAACACCAGCAAAGCTCGCTTTTGCAGGTGTTGCTTCTCCACAATGCAACAGTGCTCGGTAAGAAGCGTGCTCAACTTAATTACCGCGATCAACATTTCGTAACGCGGTTGTTTGCAAGCAGGCATAAGTATGTGAACGAGCTTTAAGAAATGACGAGACCACACTGCCAGAGTTCCTTTTTTTTTATTTGCTAGAAATCAAGGCATGCCTGTAAAACCAGCGGACAAAACAGAACTATACATATGCCTCTGTTTCGGTAATCTGCTCTATAAGAGAGGGGGCAGGAATGTATCACAAAACCATAGTATAACAACGTCGAAAAAAAAATTAAAAAGGGGGAACACTTTACACGGGAGTAACTGGAACTTCTACAAGAAACAGTCTTTCAAAGTCTCTGCCATTTTGTACAGGAGCAGTTGCTGCGACAAAATAAGATTACACTCTGGAATGACTTTGGTACGCCAAATTACACGAAGGGTTTCCCTCAACCTTCGCACTGCGCGTACCATCGTTGTGTGCGCAACTGCCCTCATTGTGTTCTTCGTCGCACGCTCTTGGAGAGAGGGAATGTGTCGAAAACCGCTTTGCGTCTTTTTGTGAGGCTAGTCTGATTACCTCGTAACTTTGTCTCTGCATCTTTGGGGAGTATATAGTCTGCACGAAGGAGATTTCTCGAGGAAAGAGGATGGCGGGACGTCTAAGAGTCTTATGAAGTTTGGTTGGAAAAACAAGACCCTTAGATTTGGTCACCTCAGGGAACCACGAAACAATTTCTTTAAAGTTACAAATCTTCCAGCTAAAAACTATTATGTTTTAATAAGCATGCCCTATGAAAACAACTTCACAGTTCGTTTAACAACTCATGCTTTCCCCCTGAAGTGACCTGGTGTTTTATTGTTGTCTACCAAGATGTCATATGTATGTTTGAATGAACTGTATCTTTTTAGTTGTTCTCAAACAACCTAGTAGTTGAAAACTATTTTGTTTAAATATGCGACTGCATACGAAAGCCCTTCCATGATCTCTTTAACAATCCATGCTTCTCCAAGACTGACCTAGTGGTATCTTGTTCATTTGCCGAATGAGGATGTAATATCAAATGCTAATTAACTGTTTTTGTTTTGTATTGTGCATGTTGCTGTGAGGAGTAACATACACAGAGAATAATGAGTGCTGCTTAAGCACATTCAATGCCGGGAATGCAAAAAAATTATTAACATATGTCAACGAACACTTAAAAGCAAAACTTCTGTTAACATGAACTATAGAGACAAACTGGTATCACAAATGCATTCAATAAACACAAAGCTCCATAATGATCGCAGCGGCCTCAGAAAGGCATGATGTCAGGTTTGTAGCAACACCTGTGTCCCTAAAATGCTACTAGCAAACCAAAGCATCTAGATAATCACCTCCAGTCTGTTCGACACACATTGTCCATATAATAAGGCATGCAATAGTCCCTCTATTATTGCATCAGTATACTTGTTGGACATGTTGGAACTGCAGGAAATTAAAATTCCAGCAATTCTGGCATGATGAAAGCCTACAAATAACCAACACGGCATGCTGCATTTCATAGTCACAGTGCACCAAACACAGAATAGTAGCATTATGGTACTTGTGCAGCATGATATAGCATAAATCAGTTGACAACAATATCATTTTAATACTGCGTAATCAATACAAGAAATATGGTATTTCTACAATTCCTGCAAAACATTTTGCTTTAAAAGCGTGATGATCATGTCTGATGCCTACAGCTACCTGCGCAAAAAATGTTTAGAGGGATGCATGCTTCGACTTTAACAATGATGACACTTAGACATGATGAGGTGGAAGTGCCATTTGGAAACTAAAAGGATACTAAGCAATATTACAATTTAAGAAAGAGGTTTGTTTTCTTCTTAGGCGGGGATTAAAATGGTCCTCAATTTATCGCATAATAAAATAATTTATGATCACAATCTGTTTGAATTAAAACTTGATCAGCCTTACACATGTCACCCCTTATATGTCTCAACCACAAAACTGAACTTCAGAAGTTTCTGTCGTGTTCCCAGTAACTAAACAGCATATTGCACAAAAGAAGAACTTCAAGCACTCTTTCAGCTTGTCAATTTCACCTCAGGATATTTGCGGGTCCAGAAAAAATATAACACAACTGTCAAAATAGTTTGGCCTCTTCCCCAAGAGACCACTTCTGACGGCGGGCTGCTGTCAGCAAGAAAATTGAACTTTCGCATTCACTTCAGCGTATCTTTAAAAAGTGGCAACTAAACAACATATTGCACAAATCAGGGCTCAGTTTCATCCACTCAGTCTGTAAAAGTCTGGCAGCAAACACTAACGGAACTGTCGGAAAAGCTTCTTCGCCTCCCCAAAGAGCAAATGAGCCAGCCTCTGATGAAAGTTAAACCCACACCTTCTAGGGAGCAAGGCCACAGTGCTGGATTTTCTGCACCACTTACCGGAGAGCAACCCAGGGCATAGATTGGACATAAGTGCAGCATCAGCATTCGACTGGAGCTCGTGTTCAGTCAGTAAGAATGCAAGTCAGAGCCAAACGCTAATGCAGCATTCATGCCCATTATGTGACCCGTGCTGGCCATGCAGTAGGTGACAAAAAATCGAGCACTACACCATGTTGTCCAGAAAATGGTGGATCAACGCCTCCGAAATAACGAAGCTGCAGTGCTGAATTCTCAATGTCACCTGCAGAAGACCAATGCCAACAGGGGGGCAGATCTGACATGAGTGCTGCGTAAGCATTTGGCTGAAACAGACATTGAGTTGGTGAGAACGCAAGACTCGGCCAAACACTGATGCGGCTCTCATATCCGATTTGTGGCCCATATTGACCTTCCTTAGGTAACGCCGAAAATCTAGCGCTACATTTTTTTTTTTTTGTTATCTAAGAGGTGCTGGCTAAATGGCCGTCTGCTGAGTTCCCGTCCCTCCAAAAGCAGGCACCGCGCGGCCGCCTTGTGTGGGAACCGCCTTGCGATCATTCTGCACCCACAATGCCTTCCTCCCCACTGTTGGTGATTGGTGGGTGAAGCACCTTCTTGGTGATGCCGGGGCTGGTATTGAGGAACGGGAATCCGTTCACCATCACCCCGTGCGTCGGGGTGTTGAGCGGGGAAGGGAACGGGGAGTTGGTGGGCGAGGGTGTCGTGGGGTTGGAGCGTGGCGAGAGGTGGCCGCTGCTGCGTAGGGACTTCAGTGCCGAGTGGATCCGGAAGTGGACCAGCGATTCCAGGAGGTAATCACGATAGTTGTTCCTGAAATGGAAAGAAATGTTGTGGCCACCGTCCGTGAAGAGAACTTCAGACTCAAGCACGAATCATCGACAAAGGTCTCAAATTTTATTCCTTCAAGTATTGTGAGAAGTGATTGCCGCTCTTGTAGGAGACGGGACAGGCATGACGACATGCGCCATCGTCGTCAATGTCCCACCTTGTCCTCAGCAGCTCACTAGTGTCGTCTGCTCTGTCAAAGTTCTAAGACAACGCTGGCATTATAAAAAATTGGTCAGTGGATAAGTGTGCTATGCTGCATAATCTTCCATAGAACTATGTGTGGGTGGCACTTGAAATGAGAAGGGGAAGGTTAACAGTTCGCCGAGTTATGCTGGAGAGTCGCGTCAACTGCTCGTGCCGCAAAGGACGTGAGCTCGGCCACTGTCCAGAGCGATGAGCGAAGAGTGTGGAATCACGACTAACAGAGCAGCGTCCATCGCCGTTTCAAACAGGAGCACGACGCATTGAAGCGAGCAAGCCAGCAGATAAGAAATTGCTGCAGAAACCACTCTTGTTGTTTGTCTATGAATTGTGATAGCTTTCGTCTAGAACAACCTCAAGAACGACATCTAAGACAACATCTAGAATGACCTCTAGGACGACCTCAAGGACGACGTCAAGTATGATGCCTATAGGACGACGTCAAAAAAGATGTCTCGGATGACCTCTAGATAACCTCTAGAGCAACCTCTTGGACGACCTCAAAGACGACGTCTAGACGACTTCTAGGACAACCTCTAGGATGACATCCTAGAGGATGACGTCAAAGACGACGTCTAGGACGACCTATAGGACGACGTCAAGGTCATCAGGTCCTTCGCCGAGAGTGTGAATGTGAAGGAGTGTGATAATTTGAGCTGAAACGGTCTACTGTGCATACCTACTGTACATTAGGAGGCCATAAAGTCCGAGAAATCTGGGTGGGGGGAGGTAGCTAAAGAATGCTATCACATTAAAAGGATGCACACGCATACTACGCCAATCTCGGCAGCAGGCATGGTGCACCGTCAGGAAGCGCGGCAATGCAAATCGGTTGGCACTCCGGTGTTATCGGTGTGACGTCACTTCCGTGACCAAGTTTTTGTGACATAGATCTCCCAACTTTGCACCCCTTTCCAAGCACAGAGAAAGACAGTTCTACATCAAAACGCAATAAGTATCCTGTTGGTATACACAACATTAAAAAGTTCAAGAAGCTTCCCACTCATTTCAATGACGTAGAGCAAAAAATATGTCCTGCCCCGAACGCTGCGCTCCATAAAGTCGCTTAACTGCAAGCACTTTAGACTCATTTGGTGCATGTGACCCTTTCTCTGACAATCGGGTGTTGGCGGCAAAAGGAGGAGAAAGACAATGATCTGACTCTTCACATTCAATAACTCTAGCCGCAGCTGAAATTCCTTGATACAATTAACACTGGGTTTTTCTTAGAAGTACAGCCAACCAATATTGCAGGAATGCACAAAAGATGCGTGCCATATGAGCTAGTGCTTCGCCGCAATTCACTTCCAAGGGCCGCTTATTTCATTGCTGTGCCGCCATTTGCTTTTGAAGGCTGCATGAAATGTGGGTCTCATGCTTTGGCACACTTAACGATACATGCAAAACAAAAACAAGGGGCTTTCGCCTCAGCAGACGTCTAGCGCCATCTAGCGTCAGCGAGAGAAAGGAGACAGCGTGATGGGAGCGGAAGAACGACGGAAAGTCAGTTTATAAAAACAAGTCGTAATGACAAAATGTAAATTTGTAATCTAAGCTCCTCAATTAAACCTGTATGTATTGCAAACAATGGCTCAAACCCGCATTCCTATTGGCAACTTTTTATGCGTGAAAAAGAGCTGCAAACTTTGATAAACATTTTAATGTGGGAGACAGGAAACAGGAAAGGCAAGAGAACATAAAGCTCCAAATACTGCAAAAATAATTTGACACACCACTATCTTCAATGGAACAGTACACAAAAAGAATGGTCACCAATGCAGAAACGTGCAATAATCTGCTCCAACGAGCTTGAAATATAGGTATCTGCATGGCTGTGCTTGTCATCAGCCCTGCTGGCTCAAGTGCCAGCCAATCTGGCTTAACCTGGTTAGCGCCAGACTTTGGACATTATATATTTTATTGTTTCGGCTTAGGAAGCAGAAAGTCGGGTCAAATTCAAAAGGACTGCTGACATCTGGCTCCTAAACTCTACTCACTAGCTCCTTCCATTGTCCACAGCCTCTTCACCTCTTTGGCTCCGACATGCTTTTATATAAACGTGATAGACTGTAGCGCGTCGAATTGAGATGCGAGGACTATGATTGGCTTGAAGAAGAGGATTTTGTGATCGTGACTGGCGCACAGGATGTGCTTCAGTTGCATATCTACACATGCTTGGCCTCTAATGGGTCCCTACCTGGCCTGGTCAAGCCACTCCTTGGCCTTGGAGTACTGCTGCTGCTGCATGGACAGGAAGCCCATCTCAGCAGCGGCAAAAGGTAGCAGGTATGTGTCCTCCAGGATCTGTTCTTGGCTGCGAGAGTGCAGAACGTGTGCCATTTCTCACTGCTCTTAAAGTACAATACTGTACTTTCCGGACTATGTTATAAAGTTTAAGTAGATCGCTCCGGTGCCTCAATAACGATTTCCAATACTCCGCTTATGGCTTTAAGCAGGCATTTTATCGTTATCAGGTATCGTTATTGGAGGTATCTGGGCATTCTACGCTAAAAATTTCTATTGCTTGTGGAGCATACCTTACATGCTAAAAAGGCAAAATTTTATGCAGTGCAGATCATAAAAGGGATTGCTGTCCAAGATTGCCTATTATGAGAAGATGTCATGGATTCAATGAATGAGAGGTAATTATGGTAATGATGATCTCTGTGTAACACAAGCTTTTCTGTGCACTAAGAGCAGGCATGTTTTTCAGGTGTGGTGTGTAGGAGGATGTTTTAGGTGCAAAATATGCACCGGGTACAAAATGGATGAAGGCATCACTGGTCTTCGTCCGCTTCTTACATTTGTCTATTCTTCTAGATCGTTCGAGCAGTCCACATTAACAAAAGCAGTACAAATAGAGTGATAGATATATTTACTGAAGTGCCTCTTAAAGGGCAACTCCGCTCAATTCCGAAATATTTAGGCTTACATGTGATTCAAATTCACAAAGCACTACTGAACAACTCTACGTCTTCGGATTCGCGAAATGTGGAAAATTATTTGTGTAATTTTAATTTAAACATCAGCTGATACCGAAATTGAAACTTCGGTTGCGTCAGGCAACATTGGTCTTGGGTCGTCAGAGGTAAGGCCACGTCACGTCGAACCACGTGGTCTTGTGACGTTCAGGAGGGAGCGAAGGACAGGAGACGCGACGCGGGCAGGTCGCTTCGCATGGCGTGGACGGTGATGGCCCGGGGGAGAGGGGGAAGGGGAGAAGATGAAAGAGGAGAAGGGGAGCGGAGATATAGACCAATAAGCGTGCAGGGCAGCGCGAACTAGCGCATCCGCGTTACGGTGATCACGTGAACGCCCGGTCAGCCAACACCGGGATGAGAAACTCATGACGTCATCGTTCAATTTCGCTCTGAGAAGTAAAAACAAACAAAACGTGAGAATGACGTAGTCATGCTTCTGACGTAATGGCTCAACGTTTGCCGCTCCAACTCCGTCGGACTGACTGCGCTGACGATTGCGCATCACGTCGCACGTTTGACTTGGCAGATTTCGGCGACTTGGCTCACTTGAAGGTTTGCTGGCCAGTTTATTAAATATATAAACGGAATTAGATCGTAATATTTGACATGGGGTCTTCCTATATGATACTGAAGAAGGCTACATAGTTTTCTAAATATCAAGAATGAAGCGGAATTGCCCTTTAACAAGCCAACTGGCCTCGGCACCAATGCACTGTCATTCTAGCATGATGATTATGCTGTAAGGTTATGAAATACCCTTTGCAATATACAACTTCAATGCAGACTGCCTCTTAGCTGTCTACCAGTATATATATCAGCATTTTGATATTCACAGGGTTGTTAAAAAAGTAGGAATGACAGTGTAGTTTGACCGCTAGCCAGAGCTTTTATCAAGATGCCAGACTCCAAACAATATCAATTATTTTCATTCTCTTCGTACTAGGATACAGTAGAATCCTCTTTCAGTGGGACTCCAGAAAACCAGGCAAAAGTATTTCACTTATTTGGACGACAAGACCGTCTCTTTGAAGACAAGGAAAGCCAAGCGAACATTCTGCAAAGTTGCACCAAGTTCCACAAAGTGATTTCATCATAGCTGAATGGGGGCTTAGGAGTTGTGGAGGAGTTCTACCACATTACTCACAACTTGAACACTTCCAGGAAGCATTCCTCGGCCTGAAGAGGGTGCCCCATGTAGCGCATGCACACTCCCTTCAGGAGCATGACGAGGCAGAAGTCGTCCACATACCTCTCGTCGATTTCTGTGCGAGGATGTAACAAAAGCGGCGGTCATGAGCAGTGCTACCATTTCTGTGGTATTTACAGAGAAAAAGTACCGTGACCATAATTTTATTATTACATAATTGTTTTCTGGATTAGTGAATTAAAAATGTGGCACAGCACTTCAAATCTACCACTCAGATATTTCCAATGGTTTGTGCACATATGCAGTAGACCCTCATTATTTCAAACTCCAGGAAGCCACGTATTTCGTTTGAATTATCAGAAGTTTGAAATGTCAGGAATGGCTACTCATACAAAGCAGATATCTTATTATTTCTTTTACATAGGCCTACTGATCATAAGTAGGTATGCCACACATGAAACATTTGTGAAATGTATGATAAGTTTATTTGTATTTCAAAAATGTTGTTTACCGTGGACTGTTTAGGCAGCACCTAACAATTCAAAACAAAATTAAGTTTGTTCCTCGGGTCAAGAAGTTGTTTAATGTAAACTATTAACCAGGAGACACTTGAGCGATGAAAACGGGCACCGCACGGAAGTTTACATAAAAACTTGCGCGGACGCTGTGACGTGGACTTGTGCTATGCCGCCCCGTCACAGCGTTCGCGCAAGTTGCTACAGAAATTTCCACGTGGTGCTCGTTTTTTTACCTAACGTGAGACCTGCTTGAGCCCCGTTGAGTGCGCTTCTCATCAAGCACCAGTGCACTGCGGAGAAGCAGCACCTGCAAAAGCAAGCTTCGCGGGTGTTACCTCTCTGCAGTGCACCGGCGCTCGGAATGAAGCGCACTCAACGGGGCCCCGAGAACATGTATGTAAAAACATGGAAGTATGAATTACATGAAAACGCCGTTCGAATTAGCGGCTTATGAATACATTAAAAACCTAACGGGTAAACCAAAACTTTATAATTTGTTTGAATTAACCAGAAGTACGAAATATCAGAGTTTGAATTATCGCCAGCCTGCCGTATGTACCAACAGCACTCGTAGTATATTATCTTATCCTCGAGATGAATAAAAGATGTGCGAATTGTAACAGAATTGTAGGCTAGCGCTGCAAGCAGTTGACATATTGAGCATTTCATCTTCCTTCACAAATGATGCTTTAGCACAGAATGTGTTTAAGGAGTGGGATGCACAAGGAAGGTGTGACGTGATGTCACAAAAAACCGCCACGGAAAACTATCACATGCCTGTCAAATTTAGCAGACTTACGTGCTGCTAAATTTTGAAGACAGCATTCATATGATGTCATCAGCGTGACGGTTGCCACGTGACACCATGACATGACACCATGATGTCACGTGAAACTTTATCTGTAAAATTAAGATACACTCATTTTTATACGACATGAAGCCATTATCATATACTTCTTATGATCATAAAAATTGGGTTTTTAAGTCATACGCACTTATATGTGAATATTTTTTATGCAAACTTTTGAAGAATTAGAAAAATTGGGAAGGGTGACTTAATACCTTTTTCTCGAGAAACCTCAGGGAGGGCGTTCTCGATCAAACCCAGAATTTGCAGGAGGAGCTTCTCGTTCCGTCCAATCATGGGGAAGCTGTTCCACATGTACATGATCTCCTGTAATTGCATTTTGTTTTGGCATCTCATCACAAGCATTCAACATCGAAGGGGCATGAAAGAGTGTTTTGAGATTGTCTTTTCATGGCACACACTCAATATACGGCTTCTAAAAAAAAACTTTGAAAACCCAAAACCACAATCATGCCTGACCTTTTTCTCTATTAAAATGCAACCGAACATCACGATGCACCCATTTTCATGAGATGTATCTCTGAAAAGGGTACATTGTGATATTTGGTCACATTTTTAATATAAAAAAAGACAATGAACAATTGTAAATTTTTATTCTCAAGATGCATAGGAAGCAGAGATTACAGGGATACTGCAACGAAATTGTAGCACCTATTTTATTGTCTAAATGTCAGCAACGTTCTGGCAACACCACGGAGAGAGACTTTTTGCTCGAAAAAACACCAAAAAATTACTTAAAAGAAATAAACCGAATGTTGTTTTGTCACTGTGCACTTAAAAGCAGCGCAGCTCTACAGAAGTGCATTGGCAAGCTGCTTGCACGCAACCCCTGTTGAACCGGATTTCTTTTCTCTCCTGGCCTATTCAAATTTTGCGGGGAGGGGGGGGCGGGAAGGGTCAACTAAAATTGCCAGGTTGTAATGCATTGACAATGACAAGTGGCGGAGCTAATAACCATGCCAGCCCCCAAGCAGCTTTGCCTATGCTGTACCAACTGACGTCGTGTCTGTGACGTCGATCGGTACAGCCGCAGTCATGCGTCACGCTCTTCGATGGCTGATTTTCGATCGCTCGCCGGAAGCCTTTGGAACAAAAAAACATGGCACTCCATTAAAAATACAAGCGTGCGATTGTCATTAGCAGATTGAGTTGGTCGTGTTTAACTTATTTCTTAACGTGAGTGGCATAATCTTAGCTTTCGATTCAGTATCCCCTTAATTTCGTGCCATAAAAAGGTAATTTCCGTGCTATGCTTCAGAAAAAAAAATAGCCGCTTTCCCGAAATTCTTTAACACATCTCTTTATATTTTGTCTTTTTCTTGAGTTTAAATGCATGTGTAATCTCACAAGTTTTATTTTTTACGTGCTCTTTTTTGTAGTTTGTTGATAAATTGCCATTTGAAGGACTGCTGTTTTTTTTTTTATAGGATTTTGATATTGGTGTATTAGAATTTACCTTCAGCAAGACTTATGTTACTGAAAATTCTGGAACAGTACATATTCATAAGAATACTTTCTGGATTGCTTCAAAGGAAGCGAGGCTTCAGAGGAAAAGCAAAATTTAGTTAGATGAAAACATCCAAAAAGAGATCTTACAGAGTAACAACTGTCCAGGGGAGGAACATTAATGAGCTTTTGTGTTCTGAACAAGGTTTTAGATCAGCTCCTATTATAATGCTGTCAATTTTTTTTTTTTTTTAGTTTTACTGCAAGAGTTATTACAGGTTTGGGAACCCAGGGGCCAATAGCAAAGAGAAAAAAATTATGTTTTATGAACCGGTTTAAAAATACATATACTGGATTTTAATAGTATTATGAAATAAACCATTTTAGCTGTAAACAATCTCAGCAAATGCACAATTGTAGTTTGTTGGCTTTTCCGCAGTGCAGATACGCAATGTGGCGAAGCCAACCAAACAGGGTAACTCTACGGAATTGTTTACTCGTTATTTTCACCCGTAACACTTCACTGTGAAGGGCTGTTCATTCGGGATTTTGCTGTACTGCCTCTGTATCTCCCCCCCCCCCCCCCCGTACCCCTTTACCCTGGATGTTTCCCGGGAGGGACAGAGGCACCCCTGGCAATGACAAGCTACCTCCCCCCCAGAAAGTACATATTTTTGGTGTTTGGCTCAAGGAAGGCAGATAGGCTATGACAAGTACATTTACTAAGGCAAAGAGTACAATTTTACCAACAATGGTATCACCTTCATCCTCAACTGCCTGAGACGTTTTGCACTCACCACAACAGGCAGAGTGAGCCTTCGTCCATTGTCGAAGAACTTTTGTGACTTCTTCATGACAAACTTCTCAATAGGAATGGACTTTCCGGCTATCTTTTGCTTCAAGCCTGGTACTTGTCTGTGGAAAAACAAAAATAACAAAAATGGGTGGGAGAATACGTGCATTTCTATTAAATACAAGTAAAATAAGCTTTTGTTTGTCTTCTTTCTTTTTGAGGTCAACATAACTACTTTACGTTGGTGGGTGCTCCCAGCTCTTGCCTGCCACTTGAATTGAAGCTTCTTTTAATGGTGTTTTATCACCTTCAATAGGCCCTTTTTGAAAAGTCCGCCCCAACGCCTGCCTGCCATTGCTTGCTCACATACTTTGAGTATGCGTTGGACACGAGGGCTGTCAGCATACGGCATGGACCTGGATCCAACCAGGCGCTTCGTGAGCAAGCAATGGTGACCGCCAATGTTGCCTGATGAACTTTTGAAAAAGGTCTCTTGACACATATATGCTTTTAAATGCAGATGAAGGGCAAGAAAGAAGCAAACTCTCCCTCGATTTCTCCTTTCCATTCGACAGAGAGAGAGAGACCCTCCTCCTTTCTGGAAGGAGTAGATCAGAGACCTGCCCCCAAGGCAGAGGAGGAGAGAAGAGTGTGAGAGGGAACGGAGAGAAGGAAACTGGGAATTGGCTTTCTGCCCAGCAGAAGACAATTCTGTAGGTCGGCCTTCGAACTATTTTAAGAACTTAGTAATGTCACAACTTTGGTAGGATAAATGATTTTGTTTCCTGTTTCTGTCTTTCTTTTGTTCGGTATGAATTAAACGCATCACAACACAACTTGTGTGTTGTGATGCACCACCGGGAAGGCATGTTGCTGTTGGTGGGCATCAATAAATAAACGTAAACAACCTGTTCTGGTATGAATTTCTGCCAGTGACCTTTTTTTTAACTTGTTCGTGAACATAGAGTGCTTTGAGAAACAACCGCTTCGAGCAGGGAGGTAAAGATGGAAGTGGAACGCGGCAAATTGTGAGCGCTGACATTGGTGGTCCCCAGAGAAGGAACGAGAAAGAGAACGACAAAAGAGCGGGGAAAGAAAGCAGATGATAGGTTAGGTGCATTCATTTTGCAGCGACGAGTCGAAGTTGTTAGAGTGCTTGACAAGTTTAAGCAAAACAAGGCTAGAAAAACACTAGCTACTGGCCTTGAAAGTGATGTTCTCTACTTCTTTCTGGATACCATAGCCTCATCAGCAACATGGTTTCATTGGAACCACCGATGTCTGCGTGTATGCTATGCAAAGCTGCCGAAATGCGTGGGACCTTTCTTTCAAGATTATTATATTAAATGGTTCCGAGGGTGTACCTGAGCAAGTTGGCCACCTCGTCGATGAGATCAGTGCTGCCATCCTTGTATTTGGCGTAGAGGCATGAGGCCTCGATGTAGACGTAGGTGGCCTTCGACCACCGGCAGCCCTTGCGGAGGACATCTGCCGTGTCGATGGCCTTGTCCCAGTCGCACTTGAAGCTGGGAAGCAGTTCTTTGTTCAAACCAACCAATCAGAGCTTTAACGCCACCATGCAGCTGAAATGTCGCATGCAACAGGGCCTAGGTAAGCAGCTCTGTGAATGTCGCCGTGCTGTAGTACTCAGTTCGGTCTCTCTAATATAACACCATAGGTAAAGGCTAAACCCTTAGTACTGGGCGGTAGCTTGCACCACTTTACGTAAAAACGTTTACACGTACCTCTCCACTAAAAATAAAAATTTTTGCTCTAAATTAAGTAATTACCACTGTGTCGATAGCCTTGTCTCAGTGACACTTAAAGCTGGGAAGCTGTTCTTTGTTCAAACCAACCAATCGGAGCTTGAACCTCACCATGCAGCCAAAATGTTGCATGCAAAAGGGCCTATATAAGTGGCTCCGTGAATTTTGTCATGCTGGAGTACTTAATTTGGTAACTCCAATGTACTAGTACACTGGGACACCCCAAAACAAAGATGGATGAATGAATGAATGAATAGATGGTAGTGGCGAATCCCTTAGTATTGGGCGGTAACCTGTACCACCTGAACTAGAGACATTTCCACCCCTCAGCTATATATTAAAATATTTTTCTAAATTAAGCCTCTTGTCAAATTGTCTAACTTACCAATTTTGTGTAACATGCACACTTTTTAGACCATTCCCACCAACCTCCCTTTCGTGACTGTAAACCTTTTATTCCTTCGTTTTGCTAACCTTACTAGCAAGACCCAGTGCTTCCGCCAAATTTCTTACCCCTTCCATGGGGGGGGAGGGGGGACTTTATACATTTCAATATCACATTTCCTCGTCTTGCTGTAACTATGACGAAAGGCACACATATATGTGCCTATCTCTTAAAATTTAGTCCCATATGTCTTTGTCTTTAGCACTCCAACTCCAGCCACAACCAGTAAAGAGCTCCGATGGAAGTTATCGAACAACTGTTCCCTTGTTATATCCTGTTTTTATGTTCATTACAATCAACCTTTGCACATTGCCAAGGTGGATTTTCCTTTAAAAGCATCTGTTTTGTTTCTTGTTTCCTGTCCCACGAAAGTGAACGTCCCTAACTGAAAATTATGGTCATGTTGATTTTTCAATTTAATGTAAAAAAAAAAAATGTCTAAAAATTTTAGAAAGAAGTTTCCAGCGTATGACACCGCAAGTAAAAGGCAATTAATTAGAAATATTTTAAAACCCAAAATCTGTGTTCTCAAAAAAGTACAAGGAAAAATGTTATTTTTTCTCTTTAACAAAATTAACAACTCAATTAAACTATACATTACTGGTCATGCTGGATAGCACTGAAATGCTACCTAGCAATGGAATGATTACGTGACTTCCATAAAATGTTTGATGCAAAAAGGTAATTCCTTTTATAGTCATGTCACACAAATAAGACACACAGGTATGTGCACCTCGAACATTGCGATCAAGTGCCCATGACTTTGCACTTTCTCACTATGTTCTTAGAGTGTTTTACCTGTGACACCAAAGGAGCTCCCAGTAGCAGATGTAGTGGAACGGAATCCACTCGTTCTGTGCCTCAATCGCCTCGTAATACTGGTTTATTGCCTGGAAGAAAGGGACGCTTTTGTAAGCAGTTATGCATTGCAAAACATGGGATGGCATATTTGGTTAAAACATCAATTGATGGAAGTAGAAGAGGTGACAGTTTTAGTATCAAGATATAAAGAAAAAGCTCTGAACATACAGCACTGCTATGATCTTATGAAAAGCAGGTGCTATTTTGCTGTTCATTGAAGGTTTTTTCGAACCATGGCTGAGGAATGTTTGGAGGTACTTACATTGTCTATTTGACCTTTCACTTGATGCATCCTGGCATTGAAGTACAAACTGAGTACACCCTAAAAAAAAAAAGGTTATATAAAATCTGCTGCTTTGAACACTGAATTACTCTTGCATTTTGCAGAAAATTTCACTTCATTCTACATTTTAGACTGACTGAAAAATTTAAAATCTAACCAAGTTTGAATAAAAAGAGTTAACAATTTTTCAGTCAGTCTATTCATTTCCTAACCAGACAGATCTTTGTCGAATATGTTTACATTTAAATCATTATACATAATATGCAGTTTGCTCTATATTCTGATTATAATACAATTATCTCTAGATCTAAAAAATAACTAACTGAAATTATTCTATTCATCTCTAGACTTTATTCAGGAAGCATATAGTATAGAAGCTATTAACTGCTAAATACAAAATATTGTATGGCAAATCTCTGGGAAATTGTGTTGCATACGCGAGACGTTATAGCATTACGAGACGAGTCACGTGACGTCAATTTGCCCGCTAAATTTAGGGTGGAAACTGAATTGGTGTGTAGGTCACGTGATGTTAATTTTCCCATTAAATTGAGAGCAGAAACTAAATTGCCATATAGACCATATGACATCAGGTCACATGACGTCCATTTCCCAGCTAAATTTAGCGGGGGAAACTGAATTAGTGTGTAAGGTCACGGGACGTTAATTTTTTCGCTAAATTTAGTGGGGAAATCGACGTTACGTGACCTATAAACCAATTCAACTTTTTCGCTAAATTTAGCAGAGAAGCTGAATTGGTGCGTAGGTCTGTGACGTTCCATCAGGCAACACTGCACGCGTTGCATTATGGAACATCACATACTTATACACCAATTCAACATCCCCACTAAATTTAGCAGAGAAACTGACTGGTGCGAATTGACGTGTCCCATGATGCAACGTGCAGTGTTGCATTATGGTACGTCACAGGCCACGGCTTCGCGTAATGCGGCTTCACGAAATTCGGAGCAACTAGCCAAAGAATGTTTCACGTTAAAAGGCAGCACCGTAAAATCCGGTAAGGGTGCCTTTCCCCGAAAAATCGCCCATCCCGTTTTTCTGGCTAAAAATTTGTAACATAAAAATTCCGAAACATGGCCCGAATCACGTTGGGCATCACGCGATGTCCGACGGGAATCACATCAATTGCGCGATTTGTGGTACCGGTACTTGTGGCAAGCAATTTCATAGTGAGATCGCATCCTCCATACTCTCAAAGCCTTGCAGTTCGACGATGAAGTCAGAGTGCCCGGTCTCAGATATGGAGCGCGAGGATCTGGCAGCACAGAGCGTCAAAGAGCCATTTCTCGGGGAACCTGGACGTCACCGCACAGCTTTTGCAGCGGCGAGGACCCAAAACACACTTGTTCGCTCCGGAGGAGTGTGTTTTGGAGTCTCGCCGCAGCGGGGAACCAGTCACGTGGCTCTTCTCTCATCAGTTGCCTGCCGCCCCACCTTTATTATTTCGGCGCCCGCTTCTCGTGGTGATCTGTCAGGCTTTGTCAGTATATAGGAGGCGATGGTAATGGAAAGCTTGTACATGTCTGTTTTTGTCCCTCTGTTTGTTTTGTGCTTTCTTACTGTTACATCTGTCCCAACACGCTCGTCAAAGTCTTCGATGGTAATGGGTTTCCACGCTTTTGTCCGCGATCTGCGCGCGCGATTTCGGTTGACCTGGCACGCAGATTTGTAGCCGGGTTTCGCGTGTTTATCGCACCGTGAAACACGAATCTGCTGTGTCCGCAGTTTGTGGTACACTTTCCCGTCACACAGGAGTTGTCTATGTCGTTGTGAAACGCGAACCTGCCATGTCCGCGATCTGCGGTATCAGTTCCCGTGTCACCTGGTTTGTAGCGGGTGGCCTTCTGTATACCCTTAATTAATTGTTGATAATGTTTTGATGTTTCATCCCGCCTCACGTTTTTCACCGTTGATCTCTTCATTTTGGGTGGTCGCCTTTAGGGAATTTTACAGTATATATACAGATCAATATTATTTGAAGTATACATACTTAAAATAATATTTAACTTGTGTTCTTCATTCAATTTTTTTTCATAAATTGTTTAAAAACGATTACGTAAATGAAAAGTGTTAGTTTTCTACTGTTTTTTCTAAGCACAAATATGAACGTTTAAGCACTGAAATGAAAGTTAACTCACAAAAAATCATACTACTAGCTGTTGCACTTTATGCCTCATGTTGACTTTTTGAGTAGTACTTAGAAAACTATATTGTATTGTAAGTTGTCTTGGGTAAATATGAGTTGTGGCATAGTTACCTCTGTTATAATCTATTTAAGTAAAAAAAACTCATATTAATATTATTTCGCATTGATATTGTGATGCATAGTGCTCAAGAACTAAAGTAACAGCTCACCTTTGGATATTTTTGTAGCAGACCCTTCACTAGCCTTTCCGAGAGTTCAAGGTCGCCATCACCGAGGCCTGTAATTTAAAAAAAAAGGCAATTAAAGGTACGAAACTCATAAAAAATATGAATATTTTTTTTTAACAGACATGCACAGAAAAGGTTTGGAACTATAACTGTACCTACAGCTGGACTTTGGCTAGAACTGAATTTTGACAACAACTGGACTGCAACAGAACTGGGTTTTGGCTGCAACCGAACTCGTGACTAAAATTTAATTTTGTCTAAAACAGGACTGTGACTAGAACTAAGTTTTGCCTTCAACTGTATTGTGACTAGAACACCAACTAAATGGCCTGCTCTGTTTTTTCTTCAGTATTTCAGTTTCAAACTCAAATTTTGTATTTTAACACATACCGAGAATGTACAGGACAAATGTGTGGTAGGCAACGAGAACGATGCTGCACAGGGGTCCTCGGAGGTAGTCCTGCATCATGCATCCCTCTTCAAGCTCTCGTAGACCCAGCACCTGCATTTCAGGATGGGGGAAGCATTCTGATTTAGCATGAAGAAGCTTTTAATCGGGAGGCAAGGAACAAACTAGGCAGATTTTGCCACTGCCACTGTCAGGACGGAACATTTACTGCTGGCTTCGACTCAAGAAGCACTCCAAAGTATGCTACAATGCTTATACAATACGGACTTTAAAAAAAATTTATAAAGGTTGGCATTGAATAAAAAGTAAATTAATAACTATAAAAAAGTGGTAAAACATTTACTAATTTTAAGAGCACTACATTAGTGTCTGTTAGACAGCTTCCGTGTACCTTCAGAAAAAAAAAAAAAAAACAGATTCGAAATCGGGACATTTCGCTAAGAAAGTGAGAATCCTAGCATGCTTTTTGCGACATTCCATGCAATGTTTTCACAAATATATTTGGCGTGACAAAAGAACCCTTACCAGTTTTGCAGCAGTGAAATACAAGAATCTACCGAATTAAAAAAAAATCACATGGGGAAAATCCTGGTTGGCAAGGCAAATAGAACCTAACGATGTAATTTCACTGTACAGCTTCCTGGCTCGCTCACCTTATTCCCAGAAAAGCCAATGAATTCCAAAAGCTTCAGGATCCTTGTTGGAAGCTGTGATATTAGCTGAAACGGATAAACATAAGTTACTCAGTGCTTAAAAAGACTTTGATGCACCACGATCTGAGACCATGTCTGAGAAATCTTTGTGATTAAAGTTCCTTATAGCTTTCAGGCATTCCGTCTTAATCTATGCGAAAAGACGTAGATACCATATTGCCAAATCTGGTCAATATAGTAGTTACAAAGTGCTTGTTGGTCTATTTATGTAGCAATCGTTTTTAAAAATAACTTGTTTATACAATGCTTAGCTGTTGCCTCCAAGCTGGCCTGGACATCGTTTTAATTATTTCTTCTTCACTTCTTGTCAGTACCTAATGCCATTATGCTACAAATGGTGCCCGTTTGATGATATTTTCTTTAGATGCAAGAGTGCATTTGCTAAACAGTTAAATTATTAGCATTGATGGAAATTGTTTTAAGTAGTACCAGACAACCACAGAACCTACATATGCAAAATCAAACAGCACTATCCAGCATACAGCAACGTTCCAATCGGCACCCAAAGTAGCAGTAGAATATAAAGCCGTTAATAAAAAAAGAAAACCATCATGCAAGCACTTTCATTGTAGTTGAATTGCTTTGTTTGTTGTTTGATTAGCAATCTTTTTCTAGATCCCCTGCCCCGCTTTGGTGGCAAAGCATAAACTAAATAAATAAGTATTAAAACCAATTGGAAGGTGCAATATTTTAATGTGTAATAGAAGTTAGAGCTATAAAATCCTTCCTTTGGTGTAACCAAGACTATTTAATGCAAATATGCCATTTGCAACTATGTTTTGTGCTTTCGTTATTTAATTTACTTGACCAATTTTAATTTTAGGTAAGAGTATCTCCCCTCTGTAATGCCTTCAAGTCACGAGAAAACAAAATAAATACCTAAATAAAGAAGTGTGAAAAAATGAATGAATGAATTATTTAATAAAAAATAAATCTTTATCTTGTAACAGCATTCCATAGAATGCCAACCTCTTAAGCCATCCTTAGTTGTGAGCACGTGCAGAACAAATATGACAGTCTTAAGGTTACTATTGATATTAACATATCTACAAGGACCACACCACAGTTTGTGCATTCCCGAGCAGCGCAAAATGGGCAAGCCTGTTTCACGCCCGCAAAGGTGGCACAAGCTGCCACTTGATACAAAGGGCATAGCCATTATTGTCCATCTATTCATCCATCCATCCCTCCTGCCTGCCTGCGTTCCATTTAGTTTGCTACCTGGGTGAGGCACGTCGGCCTGGAAGCTTACCAAGTTGAAGGCTCCGACGCCCAGATGAACGCCGCTCTCGAAGTGCTCCTTCTCTTTGGAGGTCTCCCAGTTCCTTGTTGCCAGCATCTGCATGCACTCCCTGCAGTGAATGCAAGTGATGAGTAGCAGCTCGATTATTGCACGGTCCTAAAGCTCGCGGAATAATTCAGTTACAATGCCTGGAACGGTGCGCTTACTTCTGCTCGAACGCGAACGCTGGACGCAGGCGCTCGGCGTTCTGACGCGTTCGGACGCTGAGTCGAGAAAAAGACCGCTAACTTTCCATCTACCCACTAATAATTCCGACAAGAGACCGGTACCCTGACGTCTCCGCATGCTCTCGTATCTCCTCTCTCCCGTTTACATCCCGCCCGTATTGACTTGAACTCTTTTAAGTTATCCTGAAGTTCGGAAATATATGTGCCACTCTCATGTTCTAGAAATACCATAGGAGATGTAATGTTGCAATAGTCTTATCAAAAGTGTTTTTTCTTGTTAAAAAAAATGCTTGGTTTAACATTCTTGAGTTCTAACCACTTAGTAAATGCCATCTTGTTCGATTAAAAAAAAAAGTGCTTCGAAAGATAGAGAAAAGCAGCAGTTAAATGAAGCACGCAAGCGGGCTCTCCCACCCCATACTAGAGGCTTCACCACGACATTAGTATCGATGTGGGGAAGCACCCTTGCCGTTCTGGGAAGATCATGCGTTGACCTTGAATACAATCTGCTTCTTCAAACAAATCATAATTTCATAGGAAACTACACTCTACGACGTAAAAATTCGCTAGCACTAATAAAAGCAGCTATACAAGCTGTCCAAGCTTAAACCAGCTCCAAGCCCATTTACCATCCCTTTGATCTTTTTAAAAAGATAATTAAAAGCGAAAACCTGGTGCAAGCGTGATACACGGTAGGCCTATATCGTCTTAAAGAAAAGTGGTCTGAACGCAATACGGCGCGATACTCGCCCGATTTAAAGCTTACACGGTGCTCTCCAACCAATAAGATTGGGTATAGTAGTACAAGACACTATTTATATCATCAATTATACTTTGTAAGATTGCCAATGCGGTTATTTCAAGCTGATGGCGAAAAAGTGGTGCCTAAAAAATTGGGAAACGTACGTAAACCAAAAGTGTGGTAAGACTGCCTGATAGGTGGCGCCTACGTGTTATCCCGTCGTAAACAGTTACGAACGGTTGAGACGGAATCGGTCACGGTGAAACGCAAATGTGTGAACCGTAAACAGAACGCTGAGGAAGCTAGGGACTCGTTCTTGGCTGGTTTCTCACCTTAGAAGTGTTATTGCTTCGCGTTTGCTTGAGGTCTCTTTTTAACGTCTGCTCAAACATATATGTACGGGTTGTGCTTACTTGTATGACTGGTAGCAAGACCGGATTTTGAGTCCTCCCTTGATGAAGGTCACAAGGCTTTGGTCTTCGACGAACGTCAAGATGGCGTTCTCGAGCAGGCATTCGGCGTAGCAGAGTTCCGCGTGGATCTCCTCTGAGGAGCGGAAGATTATCATTACCATCACTGTCGTCATCATCATCATTGTCGTCGTTTGCTTATTGTATGTGTTCATGAATAGATAAATTGCCTTGACAAACATAAAACAAAGTCGCTCGTTAAAACTAAGTACCGCGATCAAAGACTACATAAAAATTCCGTGTTATTATTATGTGCACAAGTGAAATACGTTGGAAATAATCACTCACTACCATTTATAAAAGGAAAACTGCTCTCGAACACGACATTAATTAAAAATGAATTTAATCAGTCGCCTATTGTCGCCGCAAAGTGGATATAATTGCGTGTCAATCCACCGGCCGGGTGCTTGGGGTGGGGGGAGTTCACAGCAAAAATGAAGTGAACTAGATGCCAGAAGTTTCAGAACTTACTGTTATCTCATAAAAAAATTATAGGCGAAATTGTTTTTCCATCTGAAATGAGAACCCGCACTTGCTACCAGACGTCCTTCATGTCCATGAAATCACGGGCTTCGTCCGCTACCATTTTCTCATGTAAAGTTTAAAAAAAAATCGTTTATAAATTTTTGAATCAAGTGAAAGTTGGGCGTCTGGTGCCAACCGCTAGCACTACGTTTTGGGTGGAGACCAAACGGAGGCCCGGTCACTCGATATATAATATATACAAAACAAAGGGCTAATATATACAAAACAAAGGGCTGCCACGTTTCAACTCGAGAACTGTTCTAAAGCAGTCCCTATTCGCAAAGTTCTGCCGAGAGAACACGCCAACGGAGTCACCACGTGTAGTATATGAGAAATAAAGCGGACCCATGGAGTAGGCGTTATAGTCGGGCCGCAACAGCATGCGAGCCACGGCCGAAGTTCTTCGCCGGAGTCGATTGCAGACGTCGACCCCTTGTCGAATCGCCTCTTGCGCTGCCTTGATGTCGCTCTGCGGCGGAGAAAAGAAAGTGACCTGTAGTGCGCTGCGCGTTTACTGCGCAAATAAAGTTCTTTTTTTTTATTTTATGATTGCTTTGGGTAACGGAGTGGCGTACCATATCCATCGTGAGCACGGCTTGCATGAACATGATTGTGGACTGCCCCAGGGCATGGTACATGCTTTCGTGTGCCCTGCGCAAACCGCAGAAAAAAGAAACAATTCATTGGGTCAGTCTGTGTTCACACTAATGCGCATTGAGTAAGTCACAACAACCGGTCAGCCCTTTTCACTACACTTGTCCTCTTTACTACGTACGGTGCCTTCTAAAGCATATCCGACAAGTGCGTCTACCGCGTCCTCAAACGTCGTCTCTCGATTTCTGCCTGATGACGTCATAGAGGTGTCACGTTGCCGCTTGCCGCGACCCTGGCGGTGCCGCGACAGCGGAAGTGGATGTGGCGAATGCCTGTTCTGCTGCAAAGTCGCTCTTCAGCCTAAGAGTTCAAGGCAACTTGAGCAGCTAAGAGCTGGGACGCCACGACGACGGTGACACTCGCGACAGCATGAGAGGCCGGCACCCGTGCTGCCATTTGGTGCCACTATCGAACCGCTTTCAATGCATGGGCGCTACGAGGAAAGCAGGTTGTCTGCTTCTTGCGCAGGGGTTGCGGTGACGTCAGAACGACACCGAGCTCTGATTGGTTTCGATTGAAAGGATAGGGGGTAGACCTCAATGCTAGAGGCCTTAAAATATACCCACTGTTTTTTTGTTTTTCTTTATTGGCAAATGAAAGCTTGGCGTTTTGATATCATTGCAAGAAGCAGACGAACTTGTGCTATGCATAGGGCAACAAACACACCGGTCAGAGACGCGTTCCAGGCACCATTCACCTACTGCTCGCTTACCGGTCATTGGCTGACCGTAAAGCAGTATGTAGAAGTAAGAATATGTACAGTCAAGGAAGATATAAAAAAAAAAAAAAAACTTTCAGCCTTTCCACTTTGGTGAAGAAGGCAGACCAGCGAAGCTGTACTAGGGTGGAAATGAAGTAATGGCCGGCCGCAAGTCGGCAAGCCAGAGTGGAAAGGCTGGAAAGGTTGCCGCCGTCGCTCATAGATGGCGGGAGCTGTCCAGAGTTTTATGTCATCAATTGTTTGCTGGCGGACACGATCCTGGGGAAACTTGCCCTTAACAGCTCCTCTGTAAAAGTCCAGTCGGTGGCGTGGCTACGAAGACCCCAAGCGCTATCTAACGGTAGAAATCCGAGCTATCGTCGAACCTGCTGTGTGAGCGAGCGTCATTTCATCGGGAGTTCAATTTTCGTCATTACTCCCTAGCTCGTCGCCAAACAACTGGCGAGTCAACGCAAATGGCAGTATAGTGCTCGGTGAAATAAAAAAAAAAAAAACGCTTATCGTCGTGTGTCCCGCGAACTTATCAAACGGCCGAGAACAGACCACTCAACCTGTCGTGAAACACTTTCATCGCGAAATGTCGCGCAACACTTTTTTTTATATATTTCGCCAAGAGAGCATTATAACTCAGCGACAGCGGGTCAAGCAAGGTGTGACAACGAAAACTGAAAATCCGCTGAAGTCTCGATAATATAGTGGAGCTTTCTTCCGATAGACAGGCTTTTTTTTTTTCTTCATATCGTCCGTGACTGTACGCGGCAGTTAAAGATGTTGCCAGCTGTTGGCACGCTCGGCCTGCCTTTGACAATCGTTATTTTGTCTTGCTGAAGTCTACATTAGGCATTACCGGCTATAGTTACATAAATGTGGCAGTTCCGGGTCAATTGTTTAATCTCAACTGATAGTAAACGTGAACAGAGCAAAGGACAGACAATAGGGAGTTTTGGTAGACCGTTTTCCCAGCTCCGCCGCGCTCTCCGGAACGAGGACGCCACAACTGCGCGTGTGCGGCGCAGTCTTTCTTGCAGAGTCTCCGATCTCGTAGCGGGTTGCGGAGAACGTTGCGGGACAGAGGAAACGATCTACGAAAACTTCCTAAAGACACGAAGGAAGCGGGACAAGCGCTATTGTGTGTTCTTGTTTGTCCCATGTTACTATTTAAAACAGCGCAATATAAAGTTATAAAGTTGCTGCCAGCTGAAAAAGCAGTTTTAAAAGAGAGATCAATGTCCATTTTGAAGAAACCCAAGTCTGAGGAATACAGAATTTGACACCAAGAGAAGAAAAGAAGAGCGTCTCCCCTCCCCTCCCTCCTTCCCTCCCTCCCTCCCTCCCTCCCTCCCTCCCTCCCTCTCTCTCTCTCTCTCTCTCTCTCTCTCCCCCCCCCCCCCCCCCCCCCCCCCCCCGAATTGGTATTTCTCGGTCTCGGATTGCTTCAAAATGTTCTGTATACACCAGCTCACTCTCGTCATTACGTTCTCTTTGTAGATATCAATTATAAATCATTGTAAATTAACAAATCTACAAATAAATTTAGCGTTGAAATAATCTCACTAATTAAGTAACAAGTAAAAACAATTACCACAACTCGAAAAAAAAAAGTTCGCGAACTTGATAAATTAGATGCACGGCGTCTGCTGACCAAACGCAATTTAGTTCTTTTATGCGCACCATCGAGGGCATCCTTAAAGAAAGAAAAGGTTATTAGTAGTTACGTTATTAGAGGCTATGGAGTTATGAACAAATTAGACGCCGTTATGCTCCGCGAGCAGACGACTGTGTACGTTCTCCGTGCTCCTCGAGGTTGGAGAAGCAGCCGCTCGTGGGCCCTCAGCAAGAGGGCCGAGATAAGCTGGAGTACCACCCACTTGGGTTTCATGCGCTTGAGTGCCTCTCCAAACTGGTTGCTGAGCAACAGGTCCAAGGCCCGCGTCGCTTCTTCGGCCGCCAGCTCCACGTTGATGGTCTCCATCGGCCTGGTCTCGATCCTGCGTCGACGCCGTCATAGAGCACCCCCGCGGTTACCGCGAATTTGCCTTCGCTCCACTCTGCATCCCGTTTCACCTCGAACAGGACCGCGGAGGACGCTACGAGCTATATATATATATATATATATATATATATATTGGGAATGAGTGAAGATTGACAAGTGCAGCCGTAGTGATATTGTGAACGAAGAGGGGGAGAAAGTGATTATTGAATTTATTGCATTAAAGTTAGGGAAAGAGAAAGGGAGAGAGAGCTGGCTCGCCAGCTCTCTCTTCCTTTCCTTTTTCTTAACTTCAATGCAATAAATTCAATAATCACCTTCTCCCCCTCTTCGTTCACAACATATACCGGGTGTTTGTGCGAAGACTTTCAAAAATCCTAAAACTTAAAGCGTAAAAAAAAAAAGAAAAAACTTTCTTCGGGAACAAACTACCAGCCACGGCGGACGTCAGGAATTGGCAAAAACATAGTAATTAGCCAAATAATTAATTAAAATTTGTTAATTAATTTTTTAATTAGTCTAAATAGACATATGGTTCTAATTAGAAAGTTGCTGAGCGTTATCGAAAACCACTAAATCAGTCACTTTTAAAAAGAATTTCGGCGCGTGAGAAGCGTAGTAGTGCACTAAAGTTACCGCTCTTTGAGCAGGTACAAGGCTGGGGCTAGATAAGAGACGGAAAAATCGCGCGGGCGCCTTATCGCAACCGCTAGCTTTGTACCTGCTCAAAGAGCGGTAACTTTAGTGCACTACTACGCTTCTCACGCGCCGAAATTCTTTTTGAAAGTGACTGATTTAGTGGTTTTCGATAACGCTCAGCAACTTTCTAATTAGAACCATATGTCTATTTCCACTAATTAAAAAGTTAATTAACAAATTTTAATTAATTATTTGGCTAATTACTATGTTTTTGGGAATTCCTGACGTCCGCCGTGGCTGGTAGTTTGTTCCCGAAGAAAGTTTTTTCTTTTTTTTTTACGCTTTAAGTTTTAGGATTTTTGAAAGTCTTCGCACAAACACCCGGTATATATACATATATATATATATATAAACGTCGCGGTGTTATGCGTATTTATTTGTATTTATTTTAAGTTTTACTTTAATGTTTCATCTTTTACATTTGTATTTTTAATTCACTGTCCGGTACGACGACGGCTTTGCAACTATCCGGGAGCATTCGCCCCACCCTCCCCTGCGCCCCCCTGCCCCGCGATCTGCTCCTTGCTCCCCTCTCTTCCGCGGCGTGCGGCGCCTAAGGGGACGCGGGGTGACCGTCGCGGAGACGGACGCCCACATCGGCTTAGCCTTACGGACAATTAGTACCGAAGATGTCGTTCCAGAGTCTGTGCCGTCCGTTTATGACCTATTGTACCCACCGCAGTGTCGGAGATCCCTTATACGCCTCTTTAGCTTTGAAACCCGCCGCCCTAACGTGGGAGCGCGCTCAAATAAAGCTTTTTTTTTTCTTTTTTTTTTTCGGGCGTTAGATTTTGTTTTAGTATGTTTGCTTTTTTTTATATGTCTTTTTACTTTTATTTTTCGTGACGTCACGTCCTCCTCGCCCCGTTGGCCGCTTACTGCTTTGCGCAGTCTGATGCCCTCACATGTATGCCATCTCCTGACGAAGCCGAGCCTCTCGGCGAAACTGTCGTAATACATGCAATAAACTGCTAGCATAGCAACTCCGCAAGTACGGATCTATGACTTATTACATTTTACCGGTCCATTGTTCTCAAGCTACTCTGCCTCACATATATATATATTACGCATCATTCTTTCATCGCGTGCTTGAAATATTTCTGACGATATTGCAAGAGAACATTTCTCGTGGGTGGTACGTAGGTCTAATATCGCAAATACTGCACAGCCTTCAGTCTAGTTAAATGCCGAACAAAAGCGTTACAGGGGTATTCGATACTTGGCACCAGTGTGCTCTTTCGTCCAAATTGCTTACAAGCTTTAGCAGCGCAGCCGTTCACACTTAAAGACCGACGACCAGTTCGCGCTTTCCACTTTTCCCCCGCTTCCTCCTCTCGCCCTTCCTACCCTGTCCACCGTTGTTGCCTCTTCCCTTCTCCCCCATAGTGAGGAGGGTCTTCTGCTTTGCAGAATCACGAGTCTGGTCGTCGGCCATTAACAGCCTTTATGATAAAGTTTCGGAGATTGGAGAGTATCGGTGGGGCCTGCTAGTTAGTTCTGGATGTGTGCTGTTTCGCGATGATGGGGGATCTATAGCTCTCGATGGAAAAATGACGAGGATACCCCCCCCCCCCCCCCCCCCCCCCCCGACGTCACCACTTGTGAATCCACGCAGCCCCGCCTAGCTCGCGTCAGCACGCGTCTGCCACAGGCAGGGTCAGCACGACCCTGCTCGAGCTTCCGGGCGTGTTTGCCGCTTGAGGACAGTCGGAGATCCACCGAAGTTGACGAAATGCGCTGGACCATTGTCTTCTAGTGGGTATCGCTCTAAGGCAGTAGCCACACTGACGCGAGCCTCGAAGCGTATATATGCTTCAACGGGGGAAGTGCCCTCGGGTGCAAGAATCGTTTATATAGAACGCCAACAACTTGCCTCGAACTTGTGATGTCTAGTGCGTCTTCGAAGACCTGCAAAGACAAAAGAATATTCATTTTACTACGACACGTTTTAGAACTGTTGACCTTTCATTAAAACAACAACAGAGGGAACAGTCAACTCAATCCGTGACACATATCGTCACCTATAGTGCCTGCGCAAATGAAATTAATGAACAAACAACGACAGCATAATTAATGGTAGTGAAAAGAACTGACGATAATTTGATATAAGCTGCGCAACGGCTCTTAAGTAGCACACAGAAACATTATGTATCCGCCGTTCACGTAAAATACTCTAGCTGTTGCATATTTGGATGTTTTATTGGAGCGAATAAGTTCATTGCGTGCTCTAAACAAAACTCTATGATGCCAAGCTACGCTTTTCTTCGAGCAACGGCTCGCTCTTTTTTTATAACCAACCTGACGCTACACTGGTGTTTGTAGCTTTGACATCAGGGTGCTTCCACGCCAGATCGTGCAATGATGATCCGGGTAATATTTATATTTTTTTTAATATTTATGTAAAACATATGTTAAAGTCATGTAGCTAATTTTCTTTCGGGGATATAAATTTTCGAGGCTAGAGGATTGGAGATTGTCAAAGTTTCGCTATGGTACGTACTTTGCAGATTCCTCAATCTCACACCGAATTATGCAAGTAATAACTTTTTTTCAGTTATTTTATTAGAAGTGTACGACACGTACATAAAAAAAAATTATGCAAAAAAAGAAATTACGAAACACGTCAAATAAACTCGTTTTAGAGACACATTCACAACTTATTTACCAACGAACTTCTTCATATTAAACGATTCAAAATATATTAAATGATCATCCTTAAATGTGGTTTACGAATATATCAGTAAACTATGGTTAGCCCTCAATGTATTTCTGTTACTAATGCAGAAACGCAGATAATTTCTCCAAATGCGGCAAAATTGCACATCATTATTTGAAAAAAAAAAAAAAAAACCCTCTGATTTTTATTTTTTTAAACTCTTCTTGACCATTTACGTTGACTTGAACTAACTTGTGATGACAAAACATTGAGTAACGCATGGCATCCTTAAGATAAAAATGACAACAAAGCTGAATTCAGTCAAATTGAGCTAGCACGTCTTCGTTATAGAGGCTTTGCCACACGACGTCGTCTGTGACTTTGTCTAGAACCGACAATGGCTGTACAGTGATTCGTCGCCTGGCTTCCGAGCTATCAAGACGCATCGCGATGAGCTCCGTCGGAGCGGTAACGGCCGCTGATAGCCGTGGAATATCTGCTGAGTTAGGCTCTCAAGGATACAGGATCGTACTGCCTCCCCTGCCGAAGGGCGTTCACGCCCTCAATTCTGTCTTTCTGCACGCCGACATTACGGCGAGGCCTTATCGCATTGAAGATTTTAAAGCCGGACTCGAGAAAGCGGGAGTACTAGGCGAAATCGCCGCATGTGGTTCATTTCAGATGAACCACGTGTGGATGGTGACTCTGAAAACACCGTTGGCCAAGAAGAAGCTGGTGGACGCCGCGTCCTTCGAGGCCAAAGGGAGACGCTGCATCGTCGTCGACCCGGAGAAGGCCGAGGTGAGGCTGAAGCTTCATTGGATTTCTTTTCACCTTCCGGACGAAACCGTGAAGAAGGCCCTGGAGCCGTATGGCAAGGTTGAGGACGTCGCCCGAGAGACCTGGCGTGTCGGAGGCTTCGAAGGTGTGCAGTCGACCACCCGAGTCGTGAGGCTTACCCTAAGGGAAGGCGTCACGCTCGAAAACCTGCCGCACCAACTACGACTCCCAGGCTGCACGGCCTTGGTGCTGGCCCCGGGTAGAGCTCCGCTCTGCCTCAGGTGCCGTCGAACCGGCCACATTCGTAGGGAGTGCCGAGTGCCGCGTTGCGAGAGCTGCAGGCGTTTCGGACACCTACGCGACGACTGCAAGAAAACCTACGCAGACGTGGCTAACGGCGGCCCTGAGGACGACGCCTCGGAGCTACTCATGGACCAGGATGAAGCTGAGGACGCGGCAGGCGGGAACTCGGAGGGCAGCCAACCTCAGGGGCGGGCCGAGACCACCGTGGTCGTCCCACCACCCGAGACGCCCACCACGGCCGAGCTCCCCGCAGAAAACACGGACACCCCGAAACCGGTGGGCGACGACGTCGCACGCATTTCGGCCCTCCAGGGGGACGAGCGCGGGCACGACTACACCCGCCGGGAGTCGACCCTGGCTGCCGTTGAAAGGGAGAACGACCAGAAGGACGGCGAGATGGACGCCGTGAGCGGCTCTGCCAAGCGTTCCCTAGAACCGACACCAACCCAGGAGCCCGGTCAACCGCAGAACCTGCAGGAGCGGGTGCTCCAGAGGTGGCAGACGGTGACTTCGAAGAGGGGTCGACGCCACGCCCCCCCTCAAGGACCACCGGAGGGCCACGTGCCGAAGGCTCCATAGTGAAGGAACTGTACTGCGGCTGAATAATATTGCTTAGGCGGCCTAGTACAAGTAAGAGTGTTGTATTTTTTTTTGTATGTGTTTACCTGTTTGACTTAAGCGGCTTTTTGTATCGTAGCCTAGCCTTCTCTCTATTTTAGCTCCGTGATAGTAATATGTCCCTTAGTTTCGTCACTTTAAACGTCCGTGGGTTAGCCTCGTCGAGGAAGCAGTACCAACTGCAGCGTCTGGTAGAGGACGAGCAGCCGGACTTTCTTGCGGTGCAAGAAACTAAATTGCAGACAGAAGAGAACATTGAGAGAGCGCTGAGGCCTTATCTCCGGCGATATGAAGTTGCCGCTAGTCATGCTGCGGGTCGGTCGGGGGGCTGTTTTCTTTTTTTAAGAAAGTCCGTGAACTATGAAAACTTGCAAGTTGTTATCGATGAGTGCGGGCGGTTCATTTCTTGTGATTTCACGCTCTCAGATGTCCAGTGGCGTGTGATATGTATCTACGCTCCCAGTAACGCGAAGGATAGAGAAGTCTTTTTTCAATTTCTACGTAATTATCTGGAGTGTGACAAAGTGATCGTGTGCATGGGAGATTTTAATTGTGTCTGTGACGAGCGGGATAGTACTGGAGCGGCCACGAGTGGCGACAGCAGTTCGAGACTTTTGAAAGAAATTGTAAATGTGTGTGGGCTCGAAGACGTCGGTGCCTTATGCACCATAAGAAGTGGCGTAAGGTATACGCATTTTCAAAATACGTCACACGCTCGTTTAGACCGTATTTATGTTACAGTTGACGTACTGCGCACTGTGCACGGCTACCGTGTCCAGCCCATTTTTTTTACTGACCATTGCCTCGTAAGCGTAAAAATTGGCAGGAAAGAAAGCAGAGCGTCTCGTTTTAACTGGCAGCTTTGGAAATTAAACCGAACACTTTTGAATGATAAACTTTTTGCAACCACTGTCGCTGAGCTGTTGCGGGGTGTGGTCGAAAAAGAGACTTGTATCAGGGAGGCCTGGGAAGAATTCAAAGAGGGAGTTAAGTTGGCCGCGGTAGAAAGGGCCAGTAACATCACCTTCCAAGCTCGAGCTCGCGAAAGGCAGTTGAAGCAAGACCTTAGCGCGTTGTGTCGAGTAGAGTGTGAGCGCCCTGGAACTTGCAGCGATGACATTCGGCACATCAAAATGGAGTTAGATCAAATATACAATGAAAAGTATAAAGGGGCAGTTGTGCGGGCACGCTCGGAGAAATTTCTGTTGGGAGAACAGCCGACTAAGCGAGCTCTGGCTGAGGAAAAGAAGTATGCCCTGACTCGAGAAATAAGAGAAATAGAATATAAAGGGAAAATTAGCAGCGATAAAGATGTTATAGAAGAAGCTTTTGTTGAGTACTTTGGGAAACTTTTTGGGGAAAAACCGACTCCCGTAGGATTTCGTAAATTTAAAGATTTTTTGTCACTCATGCCCAAGTTGGATGAGGAGGTTACAACGTGGCTCGAGGGAGAAATCACGCTAGGAGAGGTTGAACGAGCAATAGATTCGCTAGCGAGACAGAGAACCCCGGGTCCTGATGGGCTTTGTGCAGAATTTTACCAAACCTTTAAAAATGCCCTTAGTCCCGTACTGTTGGCCGTATTTAATGAGTCATTCGAAAATTACTGTCTACCGCGTTCCTTTGTAGAGGCCCACACCATACTGATACCGAAGTCGGAGGACTTGTCGAAAAGGCTCAGCGTGACGGGATATAGGCCGATTACATTATGTAACATAGACTACAAGATTTTCACTAAGATTATTACGCGTAGGCTCCAGTGTGTCATTCGGGACCTCATCGGGGATCACCAGACATGTGGCATTAAAGGAAGGTCCATTCAAACTAATATTCATATAGCGAGAAGCATTTTTGAAGCTGTTGGGAGGGATAAAGTGGCAATGATACAATTAGACTTGGAGAAAGCGTTTGATAGAGTTAGGCATGATGTTCTAAAGAGTATTTTATTGCATGTTAATGTAGGCAAAGTTGTCCTAAAGGGCGTAGATATGGCGTATAAAGGCTGTACCACCAGGCTGGTGTTAAATAATAATGTTTCTAAGAAAATTGCAGTGCTTTCGTCAGTCAGACAGGGATGTCCCCTTTCACCCTTACTATTTGCTTTGTACCTTGAACCTTTCTGTGTGAGCGTGATAACTAGCAAGAATATCCGGGGGTTTCTTTTCAATAATGTCGAAGTTAAAGTGTCCGCATATGCTGACGATGTGGCTATTTTTTGTAAAGACGAAGAAAGCGTCATGGAAACGGTCGTCCTCACGAAAGAATATTGTAACGCCACAGGAGCGGCAGTGAACTGGGGGAAATGTTGTGGGGTGTGGCACGGGAGGTGGGCTTTAAAACCGCATTACTTTGCAGGCTTTAATTGGGAAGCGACGCCATGTACATATCTTGGGGTGCCCTTGGAATATTACAAAGTTAGCACGCCGTACTGGACGGAGCTCGCAAAAGATTTAAAGACGAAGGCGGACACTTGGGTCAGTCGGAACTTATCAATTTTTGCGCGCGCCACAGTGTGCAATATTTTTTTGATCGCAAAGATCTGGTACATTAT